CACAAATCACACACCGAAGAAGTGAATAACTTCGTTCAGTTTTTCGGAAAACAATTCCACTTTCTGAGTTTTTAAATAATGAAAACAGTCGATTGCATGCTTCGCTTTAACACGTTTCCCACTGAATTATATTTTGACACCGATGCTTTGTATACCCTCCAGTATTTGCCTCCTCATCTTGTCAACAAAGATGTTAGGCAAAACCGGAGAGAGCGAACGGGTTTGTCGGGCACCTATACGAATACGAAACCTTTCAAAGAGGTTCGTTTACAGTCTCCAACGCCTGAGGTTAGGTAAACACAAACAGCGTGTAATATTTATGAAGTTCTCTAGTGTACCCTTTGGTCCATGCGCGGTGAAAATAATCAACCAATGAACAAACTTAAACTAACTTTCGAAACCATGAAACGTGAAGATTGCAGGGCTCCCAGACGAATTTTGATGCTCTTAAACTTGACGGTGGGCGAGGATGTGATCTACACAACCAATTTTGAGACGATATCTTGAGCGCCTTTTTGACCCACGCTATTATACTCTCTGAGAAAAAGTAAGAGGAGTAGCCTCTAGTTACAAGGAAGCCAAAGCTACTCTTCCGTTATGGCCACAATGATTGCAGGCATCCACTTTGAAGACAGGAATCAACTCACCCTAGTTAATTCGAGAGGGTCCGTTACGCGGTGATGGGAGCAAACAAATCTACAAAATACCGACTGATAATTTCATTTCCATCTGTGCACGATGTCTCCAAAAACAGTGGTGCTCCAGCAAGCGTACTGCAGTTCGATCGTTCGGCGGAATATCAGCAGGTGGTTAATTGAATTTGCGTGTTTGCTCCAGCGATTTATTGGAAGGTGGGCAACCTGTTGTCATCAGTGGTTGTTTAACTAATCATGATGTTTTTGTGGCTGCTGCTTGTATCAGCTGGAACAGTTTACGCCCATTCAATGAATTTTTGTCCTTTGCAATCCCTTCAACACTCAAAACCCACCAAGACTTCCACTCAAAGTAGATGTTTTTTTCACACACACGGTGGTACGGGCCCGTTAACCAAGATGAATGTGTCGGAGCTCCCAAAAAGGTTTGAAGTTTTGTCCGGGATCCATTGCTCAATTCTGACGTGGGTTTGTTTGAAAAAATTATCGGTGTTCCAATTCTTTACCTTGTTGTGTCTCTTGAAATTCCGATATGCACCTGCTCGGTGGTTTTCTAGATCGTAGAGAATTTTCAGTGGAATTTCACTGATTATTAAAAACCCTAAAGTGCATGTCGTTGGACGGCACTGGAATCCAACTGGAGGCCACCGGCTATCCAGTTAATATAGACCGATGGTGAAATAGATCATTAGGCGAGAGAGAAGGCTGTTTGATGCGTAAAAGTTGCCTGCATCACAAGTGTCGTATTATATGAACGTCATCCTCCATAGTCGCGTTCTTAATTATGACTAGGACACGGTTTTACTCTTCAGGAGAGAAATGGCCAATAGACAGGACAAAATTTCGCCGCAAAGCAACATCAATGCATTTTGTAGCTTGAAGTCGTTACCATCCTTAGGATTAGATTACAAGTGTACTATCCACCGGGGGACATTGATTAGGCAACGCTGATGCAGGATGTTGGCATGGGCAGGTGGTAATTACGGTAATGTATGGTTCAACGGCCTCCTTCACGCCCGCTATTAGAAGAATGTCTAAGACATTTGGTTTGTAGACCATTTAATTGCATCGCACCCTTACTACAGATGGGTACCTCAGATTTTTGACTTTGAAACAATCTAGCCTTTCCATAAGCGTTTTAGATGAGCACAATCCAATAAGGTTTTATAAGCACACATTCATCCGTTCGTACATGCAGCTGAAAAGTAAAGTGATACTTTCACACTTCATTACATGTTCACCATGTAAGTTTGTTGTAAAACTACACAAAATTTAATAGCATGATTAATTAGACGCGGTTTTGTAAGTTCTGCTACGAAGACTCTACACGAAGTCACCGAACAAGTCAGTATAGGACAGAGGCCTATTCAAAGAAAAATTCGAACAGCACACAGGAGGACGCCCTTAATCACTTAAAATATTTTGTCAAAGATGTTAGAACGCATTTCACTACGCTGTGGTGTTGGCACAAAACCCTTGAGGGGAAGGACAGTTAGAATGTAAGAGTCAAGGTATTGTGGCCAAAACACTGGCAGGCCAACTAACTTTTCCTGTGACCACAAACACCAAAGGACTCTACACAAAAACCCTTGAGGGGAAGGACAGTTAGAATGTAAGAGTCAAGGTATTGTGGCCAAAACACTGGCAGGCCAACTAACTTTTCCTGTGACCACAAACACCAAAAAACTCTACACAAGTTTTCCGCGAATTTTTTGGAAATTATCGACGTCCTTGACGGTTTTTGGTTTTAGGAGGTTGTGGTGGCAATGGGTGCAGCAGGTTAGTTTTGCCTCCAGAAACATGGGGACTGTAGTCCCGGTCGGTCAGAAAGAGAGCTTTGACTTAAATGGGTATACCAGGTGGAGTAGAAGAACGGGGACAAAACTCAGTCCTTGTGCCGCTAGGCCTAATCTTCACTCAATTTGCGGCAAGCAAAGGTGATATCTAAATGAACATGAGGGAACCCGCCTGCTCTGTTAGTGGAATACTAAAAATTCAGACAGTGAATTAGGGCATCAGGAATGCACATGTTGCCCGCAATCTAAGGTGACCGTACTACGTCCGTCATGAGCAAAGCACTTAAGTTGTCCCCGAATCCCACTAAAGAGACCGTGTCCTAAGTTTAAGACTTGACCAGAAAATGTCATTTTTGATGGGAACCAGCATCCTTCGCTGAACTAGGAAATCTGAAACCAGAGAATATATTGCATTTCCGAATATACTACGCAAAACTGCCTTCCGGTCACAGGAATAATGGCCAAAGAGCAAGGCAGAAGAATATTACGTAATCAGGTGGGAACAGCTGAAAGAGCTTTTGAGATCACCAGTTGGGGCGGCACTGTCGGCTATCTGCCGCTGAGTATCAACCAGCTGAGTGCGTTCCACGAAGATGCTGACACCGGCATGACTGAAGCTAGAAATATCACCGGAAGGGAATCAAGTGTCAGGGGAAGCTTCTTTCATGAAAAGAAGGCACCCAGCCACATCACCCCGAGGCGGTATGAATCGTAAGGAGATGGACAGGAAACACTGCACACGTTATTTTCATTTCTGTTCATCGCACCGCTCTCAGTTGATTCAGGATGCCGGTTTCATGAGGCCTAATACCCGAGTGGTAGTAAGAAACGAGTGCGCGGATATTCTGTTTCCAGTGAAGGGGTTGCATACTGCTTTCTTTAGCGCATCCAAGTCAACCAGCAAACTCTGCGCACATGGGACACGCTCTAGCATACCTCCACAGGCTCTTTGGCGGCTCGTCGACCGGTGTCCGCTACTTTCGTGCTACACGCACAGTGCGCTGATAGCCTAAGCGGTGCTCTGATTGGTCACTTTGGTCGTGTGAAACTCGGCAGAAGTTCAAGTTGTAACGATGCGTCTCGTGAGCAGTTTGAAAAGTTGTTATGTTCAGTAGCTTCTTAGCAATCCCTTGAAATATCCTCGAAATGGTAAATACGACAGCGTCCAGTTAATTGTACTGTCTCCACCTTATCGTTATTGAATTCGAGTACTCCCTATCAACACTATCGCAGATCTTGTGTTTGACAGATACAAGTGTGTGAGTAGCCTAATTTGATACAAATACAAGGGAATAAAGCACCTACCAACACTGTCGCAAGGCGTAAGTTTAGGAGATGATGGAAGTGTTGCTCAGTTTTTTCGAAGGTTACCAGTGCATTGCAGTAAGCCGTTTTCCAAATATTGTCTCCTTTCAAAGCACATCGGATGACACCAAAGGCCTCGTTTTCACGGACATACTTCGGGCACGGATGTATCGTTAGACCTAATACTTCGTCTATGCCGGTGTGCGCTTGACTGGTGCGCTTGACCAATCAGAATGCAATAATCCCTGCGTTTCAGAACCGTTGACGGCTGAGTTCAGTTCTTGGTGTGATGTCAGGGAGCCGTGACCGGACTGGGGACATTCAACATGTCCGGTCGGCGCACCGAATCTTTTACACAATGCCCGAGAGGCCTGTGCTGGATGAACGTGAAATACTAAAGCACACATCAGAATGGAGCACTCGTCATGCTTCTCTGCTTGATTTACCTGTGAAATTTACCACGAACAATGCTACAGAGAGTTCAGTTTTGATGAATTACATCAATGATAATATTGTGGGTAAAGATCTTATCTTCCGCGGCCCTTTCGGTGACAGAAAAAGTACGCCCAATTTGTCCTCTCAATAGTTTTAGCCGTTTATTGCGACTGGACGGCATCAGGTAGAGCCCTTGCGTTCATTGAGAACTTCATAAATATGGAAGTACTCCCCACTTACGGCAACACTCACACAACGACAAGCGTTACCTCTTTACAAACCACAATGTTCCGCCACGAGGCTCGAGATATAATAAGGAATGCGGTTCGTGCCTCTGAGGACGATGCGGTTATTTTTGTTGGTAGTGGATGCACGGGTGCAGTTCATAAGCTGATACACAATCTTCATCTAGAACAGCCACCGGTAACATAATTTTCTTATAATCACGCCATTAGATCGTCATTGTTGGTCCATTTGAACACCATTCTAATATTCTGCCATGGCGTCATCTGGCGTTCAAGGTTTGTCGAGCCGAGGCTGATCAGTCAGGGACAGTTTCACTAAAATCTCTTGAGTCGCTTTTGCAGGTAAATGCTTGTATTTTGTAGGGTCAATGAAACCAACTAGAAAATCGTTGCCTTTACGTTTCAGCCTCAGTTGTAGAGACGCACCCATATGTGGTCCTTGTCGTTGTACTTAATCGCCCGATGGTCAGTGTGTGCAGCGAGCTGAATTTTATGAATAAGTGTAATCCGTTGGGTTCTGTATAGTATCACCCGTTTTAACACCTCAAGCTGCTGTGCAGTAATGAATGTGGTTAGTTCCCTATCCAAGATGGCTCAGTTGTTACAGCGCGAATTTACTGACCGGAAGGTCCGTGTTTCGAACCCGACCTCTGCTTCTCGACTTCCTCTGTCTGGGCTTGTGCAACCTGGCAATATATGATCCGTCGTGCTTCTTTCGAGTGGCATGGTAGTTAGGCACCAAAAGGGTGCTACAGCTGGATAATATTTTCAAGATGAACTGGCCGTTCGTGGGACATGAGATCCACCCTCGGCTCCAGCAAGCAGTGCCACTGGTGCCATTTCAAGATTATACAAAGAAAACTTTTCGTGGCATTCAATGTGCTAGGTTTGGCGGTCAAATTCACTCACTATAGTGATGAAATGCTTCGGAAGACAACATAATACATCCAGTGGTAAGGTCGCTGTGACCCGCTCTGCCTTTCCGTCAACTTAGATAAATTTAAGGTCTACTTGACACTAGCTAATCAGTGGCGTAGTGTGTCAGTTCCATTGGTGACAGTTTACGGTTGTACAGAGTGAGTGCTCTTGGGAGACAATGAAATTGTTTTTCGCCGTCTATGTAAACGTTCACGGTTCATAGCCGTCAAAATACACTGGCGGGCCCATCTACCGTCTTCACATGCGGGTCTTGTTCTATATTCTCATCCCTAATCGTTGAAAGGTTGGCGACTACTTTCAAACTGGACACAACCGCTTCTTCACGTTTTCATGATGGCGGCCCTTGTGACTTCTTTGGCCCATCGTTTCAGGCTTCAAATGAATTAATGCGCAGATGGTTGCCGCGGAGAGTATGCTGTCAGTCACTAGCTGGACCGGCTGTCCAAATTTTATGTCGTCAGTTTTTCGTAGGAACATAAGGCCAGCCTTGCTGATACCGCTTTCTTTGGGTCGATACGTGGATTAATTAGTTTCAAAAGCGCTTGAATACCTGTGTGCCTTGATCCTGATCCTTCCCTCCAAGATCATAAAGCTTCTTGGGGGTATTTTACATCTTTCTCCTTCACTTTATTTGAAAATGGCAGCCATGCACTTACACTTTTGACCAGTGTACTTCTATCGATGACCGTCGTAGAGGACATGGTCCTAGGATCGATAGGTGGACAGCGGCAGCGGTGGACTTAGCAGCACGGTATTGGGTACCCTAAAAATGCTGAATGCCATCATTTCCTTCCGGGATAAGGTCTTTCTCATCCGCGTCCTGTAGATGCAAGGTTAAATAATTAACAGCTACCAGCAGTACCCGCGATATTCGTTTCCATTCCGAGGTGTAACCATCCCGCCCGCCCGCTCTTTCAGTCGTCAGACTTCGTATGACAGCGAAACACCAGTGGCCCATTCACATCCGTATCCACGTTTATCATCGATTATGGTGGTGCTTTTCCACAGGAAGGTACAGGACGCCACATTTGCGTAATCATATTTCACGAACTTCACTTTGTGATCGTATGTGCTTCCTTGCTAGTAAGATCTTATTGTACCACCCACCATGTCTTATCGCAGTTACTTCGTTAACAACGGAGCCTAGCAGCCCACTTTGTGGGTACCTACGCACTTGAAGCCTGTTGTTTTCACTGAGGTAGAATTCAAGAAAGAAGAAAATTTCGTGATCCCTATTTGTACGATTGAGCTTGGCATTTTATCTGTTACGGGATCTTTACCAGGCGATTTGTTCCCCTCGGCGAATCGTCATTGTTTGAAAGTTGTATCACCATTCGCACGTCACAACAACAGTTGCGCAATCGTTTCAAAAGGTTTCCTTGAATGACACATCTCAATCTGCCGTGACCTAATCACGGAGTGTGTTCATCAGTGTGTCCACTAATACCGAATCCGCTTGTCCTGTCCTTCAGGAAGTATTAGATACGGATAAATTTAGAAAATTTTCAGGCGATTGTTTGCAGGTAGTGATTGGGTGGTATTGATACCAGGCGTTGATTTACCGCAAAAGTCCTGCCGTAGGGTGGTATTGTACCAGGCGTTGATTTACCGCAAAAGTCCTGCCGTATCTGATTTACTCCGCAGAGTAAACAATCTTACGACATCAGTTTTTGTGGCTGCAGCTATGTTCACTATCAAAAAGGTATTCACCCACTATTCCGGGTAGACTGAGAATCTATTAGCGTAATTTTTGCTGGGTGGTGATCGGAAATTACTGTTTTCCTGTGTTCAGAGTATCTAACAGCAGAACTTCCCTACCTTCCAATCGTTTTAGGTTGAAAGCGTGAGTGCTCAAGAGATGGGTTGCAAACTAATCGTGTGCATGGCAGCGGCATCTAATGTGACTGGAATAATGGTTGATGTTGATGCATTTTCATGCTTGACTCATCGATATGGTGGTCTTGCCTTCTGGGACTACGCAACTGCCGCACCCTACACAAAAATTGACATGAATCCTGTAAGGACTGGGTAAGCCGTCGACTTTTCGAACTATCAAACCGTTTAAACTGGCAATCACAGTGTTTCAGTACCAACAGTTTGCATTTTGTTAAGTTCACTTATGCTACGATAGGTTAGTTTTTATACACACCAAGGGAAGTAGGGCCATGGAGATCCAAGTTGGACTTATTAACTATTTTCTTTGCTTCTAGGCCAGATCGTGACCTAGTGTATAAGGACGCCGTCTACTTCTCAATGCACAAGTTCGTCGGCGGCCCACAGACTCCGGGGGTTCTCATTGCTAAACGACGGCTTTTCAAAGCAGGCGAAGCACAACCAGATGGATGCGGTGGTGGAACCGTATTTTTCGTTCGCCGAGATGCTCAAGTCTATCGTTAAGTTCAGCTACGATAGGTTAGTTTTTATACACACCAAGGGAAGTAGGGCCATGGAGATCCAAGTTGGACTTATTAACTATTTTCTTTGCTTCTAGGCCAGATCGTGACCTAGTGTATAAGGACGCCGTCTACTTCTCAATGCACAAGTTCGTCGGCGGCCCACAGACTCCGGGGGTTCTCATTGCTAAACGACGGCTTTTCAAAGCAGGCGAAGCACAACCAGATGGATGCGGTGGTGGAACCGTATTTTTCGTTCGCCGAGATGCTCAAGTCTATCTGAAGGTATGACAGTGTCATTGAATAGTGCTAATCCTAATATGCATTCAGATGTTGATATTCTGAGTATACATACTAAATACCTCTTGGCGAACTAGAGAGCTCATTTTCACCCTTTCCCGGCCTTTCGACTACTTCTGTCTAAATTTGCGCATTGTGACAGTATCTCATTCCTCTGCTTCCTTCAAGTTATACATAGGTATGCACCGAAAGGATTCCACAGCCGAATAGTCATTACGTGTTCAATTTGTAGATAAGTGCAGAATGTCATCAGAACGGATAGCATAATGAAAGTATTTACGTTAGACTGCGCAGTTTTCCATTGATAGTGATCCCCGTTCCACCTGTGCTAAACCGTTCTCATCGCCGCGTTAGTTGATGTTGTTCGATCGGTCCGGTCAGTTCTGTTAACTACACTTGCTCAATACAATAGGGTACAGAAGTTTGTGGACATAATCCGGTCTCTATATTCGCATACTCCTGGGCGGGTGTATGATGAGCCCTCCGAAAGCTTCCCTACAAAAAGTGGTGTCAGACAAAGATGTCCACTCTCTTCATTCCTGTTCAACTTCATCACTGATGGAATAGTCGAACGCTGGAAGGTCTTTGAAACCCCGGTGTTCAAACTGTTGCTGCTGAGAGCCTTGTCGTTCTGGAGTACGCAGATGACATTGCCCTCATCCGTGAAGACTAAACCGAAGAACAAGTCCTCTTGGATAGACTGACCACTATCACATCATCTTTTGGCATGCGCCTCGTACCTTCAAAGTGCAAAGTTATGTTTCAGAACGTACAGCCTGCGAACACATCCCTTACGATTCAAGGAGAATCATCGGAGGTTGTTGAAAATTTTACATACCTCGGTAGTTATATTAGCTCTTACGGAAATGTTTCAGATAAAGTAAGTGCAAGAATCTCAAATCTTTTGCTAATTTGAGTCACTTCTGGCGTAAAAAATGCACCCCACTAGATCTTAAGGGTCGCGTGTACCAGGCTACAGTAAGAGGTGTGTTGTATAGGTGCGAGGCATGGCCTGTGCGGACAGATGATGCGACCGATTCCTCAGAAGCGTGGCTGGTTTAGGGTGGCTTCAGTTTATGAGTAACGAGGTGATTAGAAACGGGTATTTGGTTGTGTGGCAGGTACTTCACTCGGGGAAAACACCCAGCACCACCGATCACGATGGCTCAGTCATGTGCTAGGCATGCCGAAACACCGTTTACGGAGACGAGTGTTGCTCTTCAGAATGGCGCGAACCGCGGGTTGGGCAGCACGTGACTTGGCAGAAGGGCGTGAAAGAGATCACGAAGATTTTGGGTGTTGATGTTGTACGCCTTTCAGGACGCGGTCCCCGTGACCCAACCTGTGCTTGGCTGGAGACGTTGCAAGAATTGGCGGCTAACCAATGTCAGTGGCGTTCATACTGTCAGTTTCTTTCCAGATTGTATAATTGAGCGGTTGGTGGTGTAAACACCTCAGAATGCTTGACATAGGCCACCACTAGGCCTCCTCCGTCACCCACTCTTTTCTTCTTTTTTTCACTCTAGGGCTTTAAATATAAGCAGAGGAACGGCATTGAAGCAGTGTTGCTGTCTTTGATGATGATAGTGATGATAATGATAATGTTGATGTTGATGATGACGTTGGTCGATTCATCATCCATAATTATCGTTGACAGCGATACACCAGTAATACATAGAAAGAAAGAAAGAGAAAGCGTTCAGCTGTAGCACCGTTCCGGTGCCTAACTGCCATGCCACCCGAAGGAAGCACGAGGGCTGGGATACTGCCAGGTTACTCAAGTCTAGACAGGGGAAGTCAAGTGACGAAAGTCGGATTCGAATCACCGACCTTCCGGTCAGTAAATTTGCGCTCTAACCACTTGGGCCATCTCGCCCCCGGTAGTACGTACTGGCGCTTAGCTCAGGTATTCAAGAGATCTCATGTCTGTCGGTCCTTTAATTCTTCTTGTGCTCGAGATAGCTCATTAGTTAAGGCTCCGGCTTACGGACCGGAAGGTTCGTGGTTCGAATTCAACCTCAGCATCTCGACTGCTTCTGTTAGCAATTGGGCGACCCGGCTGTATCCCAGCCCTCATGCCTCCTTCTGTTGGTACGGCAGAAAGGCGGAAAGGGTGCTACAGCTGGACGATTATTTAAATTTTAATTCTTCTTGTCATTGATTTCTGGTGTGAGTAATCATATGTTGAGCCAACACACGTGATCACGCCTGGGGTAAGTCACGTTACTGTTATTTGTTCGCAGAAATGGCCTGAATTATATGTCGTTTGGTTGACGCGTAGATATCCACAGGCAACCCTACCTTTGGGACGAACCAACTATGGTTACTACTTACGGTTTGAGACGGTTTTGATGTCTAACGCACATGAATAACTCTATTGGTGACGTGCTTCCATGAACATGTGTACTCACTATCTCACAGAAGTTTACACTGGATCAGATAAGTCTGCCAAATAGTGATACCAATCTCAGCAAGAAGTACTCATTATGGCTATCGAGAGATAGTTTCAAGGAATCAGAAAAGGTGGGATATAGGCCTCTTTACTTAACTAAAAACTACTAGAAGCCTGATTCATCCGGTGTCTCGATCATGGGACACTCGTCCGTTATCCGCTCTTCAATAACTGCCAAATGTTCTCCATAGATACTCTGTCAGTTGGTATGTTCTTACTTCAAGGGACGTTTAGTTCCATCGAGACTTATCAACAATGTTCTATACGCGTAAAAAACAACAAACGTCCACTGCAAAATTTGTCTGCCGATATCATGACGAACAACTTGATGAAACGTAAACCTGACGAACGGCTAACCGGCTAGGTTGAAGAAATAGCATCGCATGTTCATTCTTAGCATGAGCTAAGTGTGTATGTTCTGCTTGTCACGCAGCTCAAGTGGGTTCAACCACATCGTGGGACCGATTGTTTCCCAGGTCATCCTACTTTTCGGTACTCTGTCGTTGGTTCCCGCTACAAAAGCCCTCCGAATAGGTCATGGTTAGACAGCACCGAGGCGTCAGCGATGAATACTGATGTTGTTATGTCGACAGTGGTGATCATTCATCTAATTGTGTTCCGGTAGTAAGTGCTTCGCTGCTTGTGGGATGGCTGTGAGAAAAATTGTAACCTTATTTCGTCGTTATCCAGGGTTTGCACTTATCTTGCTGTCAATAGTCCATTAAACCGTGATTTCCTTCAAACATCGTCGCCGGCCACATCTTTAAACACCATACCGGTGACTACCTGTCCTAGCTATAAGTCTCGTCGCATTTTGACAGGTTATTCTCGCATAATCTAGTTTCCTAGACAATTTGGGTTTTGAATAACAAAGCTGGAAAGTTCGATCATTGAATACACTGCTGATCTTAGAGTTGTCCAGGTAGTAACCCGTGCACCGGCCTGTGCTCGGCAAGTCAAGTTCAATAAAGTAGGCTACAGAGTTGACTTGAGGTATTTCAAGTGATGCATCGGTTCCCACGGTAAGGTGGCCGGCGGAGAAAAAAAACACTTAATGGGGGTTCCCTGGTGTGAGTAATCATATGTTGAGCCAACACACGTGATCACGCCTGGGGTAAGTCACGTTACTGTTATTTGTTCGCAGAAATGGCCTGAATTATATGTCGTTTGGTTGACGCGTAGATATCCACAGGCAACCCTACCTTTGGGACGAACCAACTATGGTTACTACTTACGGTTTGAGACGGTTTTGATGTCTAACGCACATGAATAACTCTATTGGTGACGTGCTTCCATGAACATGTGTACTCACTATCTCACAGAAGTTTACACTGGATCAGATAAGTCTGCCAAATAGTGATACCAATCTCAGCAAGAAGTACTCATTATGGCTATCGAGAGATAGTTTCAAGGAATCAGAAAAGGTGGGATATAGGCCTCTTTACTTAACTAAAAACTACTAGAAGCCTGATTCATCCGGTGTCTCGATCATGGGACACTCGTCCGTTATCCGCTCTTCAATAACTGCCAAATGTTCTCCATAGATACTCTGTCAGTTGGTATGTTCTTACTTCAAGGGACGTTTAGTTCCATCGAGACTTATCAACAATGTTCTATACGCGTAAAAAACAACAAACGTCCACTGCAAAATTTGTCTGCCGATATCATGACGAACAACTTGATGAAACGTAAACCTGACGAACGGCTAACCGGCTAGGTTGAAGAAATAGCATCGCATGTTCATTCTTAGCATGAGCTAAGTGTGTATGTTCTGCTTGTCACGCAGCTCAAGTGGGTTCAACCACATCGTGGGACCGATTGTTTCCCAGGTCATCCTACTTTTCGGTACTCTGTCGTTGGTTCCCGCTACAAAAGCCCTCCGAATAGGTCATGGTTAGACAGCACCGAGGCGTCAGCGATGAATACTGATGTTGTTATGTCGACAGTGGTGATCATTCATCTAATTGTGTTCCGGTAGTAAGTGCTTCGCTGCTTGTGGGATGGCTGTGAGAAAAATTGTAACCTTATTTCGTCGTTATCCAGGGTTTGCACTTATCTTGCTGTCAATAGTCCATTAAACCGTGATTTCCTTCAAACATCGTCGCCGGCCACATCTTTAAACACCATACCGGTGACTACCTGTCCTAGCTATAAGTCTCGTCGCATTTTGACAGGTTATTCTCGCATAATCTAGTTTCCTAGACAATTTGGGTTTTGAATAACAAAGCTGGAAAGTTCGATCATTGAATACACTGCTGATCTTAGAGTTGTCCAGGTAGTAACCCGTGCACCGGCCTGTGCTCGGCAAGTCAAGTTCAATAAAGTAGGCTACAGAGTTGACTTGAGGTATTTCAAATGATGCATCGGTTCCCACGGTAAGGTGGCCGGCGGAGAAAAAAAACACTCAATGGGGGTTCCCGTTAATTAGGGCGTCTTTCAAACTTTTGGGATTTTTTTCTGCTTCTGCCTACTACTTGTGATCTGACTTCGCTGGTATGTTTGTCCTACGCCTGTTGTTTCTTGCCAACGTTCCTGTACGTTCCCTTCAATCTCCAGTCATAGTGAAACTGCCGGAGCTTGTACTATACTACCATCTTCATCGTAATATCGTATTTCTTTATCGTCCTCATCCTGACTAAATCTAGTAATTCCACTTCCTTCACGGTAGATTATGGCCCTTTTTGTTGGTTCTCTACTCAGGACGTGGAGGAACGTGAGGAAGGTGGAACTCCGGCAATTGTGGAATCTATTCGAGCAGGTTTAGTGATGCAATTGAAGGAGGCAGTAACCTGTGACGCCATTATGGAGCGGGAGGATATACTGGTTAGGTACGTTATGCAACTAAATGTGCGTTCTTGAATAAGACTAGTCAATTTTTGAGTACCTTTGATAAATGGAGCGTGGTCCATCGTCATGCTTTTGGTAGCTTCAACCTTTTGTTCTTGCAACATTCTTTTGTCAGACATATATCGGTGAACGATATAATGGCCGTTGCAACGAATACGCGGTTTTCCATTATGTGCCCAAGCTTATCACTTGTGCTCATTCCTGGTGCTTAGTGTTCGACCTTCCCGCAAGACTGGTTTTTCGGTCTGCCCTGGTTGATTCAGTCGGTTAAGACCAAGTTCATAGTCAATGTCATTTAGGTGTTTATTTGCAATGTGCACTTCAGGTTTTGCTAGAAGACACATCTACGAACCTCGTTTGCTTGAACTTTGCTTATAATAAAGCTTGCCAGGTTTTACATCTCATTCTACCCGCGGCCTACTTTGCGATTACTTTAGGGACTGACAGTAGCCTGTAAATACGACTATCCTTAACGCTGCCAAAGGGCCTTACTTCCGTACAGAACTTTACTTGTTTTGATTCGGACTTGTTTGGTACCCCATTAACCGTGTCCCCTTCACTTCTCTGAACAATTAAAGACGAATTTGGGATCGCCTAGCAGATTGCCGGAACATCATTGTGTTGGGGGGCAAAGAAGCCCCACGATTACCTATCATATCGGTGGTCGTGCGTCATCCATATCCTTCAGTCGGAACGGCTGGTGGATCCAAAGCGGAAGGACGGTGTCTGTTTCTGCATCACAACTTCGTCTCGGCTCTCCTGAACGATTTGTTTGGGATCCAGGCACGTGGTGGGTGTGCTTGTGCAGGACCTTATGCCATGGATCTTTTGGGAATCGATGAAGCTTTGGCCAAACTGTATGAGGAAACTCTAGTCGGCTGGTAAGCATGGAGGGTGAAATAGTTAACGTGTACAGTCACATGTTGGCATATGATCTGATGTAGACTTTTGTGTGTCATTTGGCGTCGCTGGAATTTGGTAGGTGTGATAACTCAAGTTCAACAGAACTTAAGTTTACCTGCAAAGTACCACGTTGGTGCTGCTTGTATGTGTGGTCTATACCTAGCCATCATGTTGTTGGACTTTCTGTTCACGCTATCAGGCCTGCTTCTGCACAATCTTCTACCTCTGCGCCGTATTTTGATCTTCAGGCCACATCCTGCTGCATCCAAATGGTGGCGCTATAATGATTGAGAATGGCTTTCAAGACCCACGCATGTGAACTTTGCTGTGAGGTAGTTTTCCATTCGACATCTACCTTATTCTGGTCAGGATAGTTGTGTTAGCTTACTTGACTCAAGTTCATCATTTTGGTTAGCGTGCAGTCCAGGTATATTTCATGTTCGATTCTGTTAGAATACTGACAATTTCTGAATTCTCATGCCGTCGCGTTGCTGAGCACCGTTTCACTTCGATCTGGATGTTACCTGGCACATGATAAGACGATGTTTGCATAACGCAACACCGTTCAAATGAGCTCAGTATATAAGCCAAGGAAGACACTGTTTTCCATCCAGCTCACGTTTTATGGCGAGATGGCACAGTGGTTAGAGCACGAATTTACTGACCTGCAGGTCCGTAGTTCAAACCCGACCTTCGTCTCTCGGCTTTCCCTGTCTGGCATGGGCAACCTGGCAGTAATCCAACTCTCGTCCTTCTTTCGGGTAGCATGGCAGCTAGGCACCGAGAGAGTGCTACAGCTGAACGATGATCTTTTTTAGTTCACATTCCACACGACCTTCTAAGGTTGTTATTGTGTTTCCTATATCAGATTTCCCACCATTTTGCTCCTCGGTTAATCAGTTTCATCATTGTCACTGGTGATCAGTTAATGAATCTATTTTTGCACAATTTGTGTTCATCTTCTGGTCACCAGTTGTCGTAGACCTCAATGTGAGCGCAGATCATGAAGTTGTGGCTTGTTATCCACGGTTTTGTAATCCATTATTTCAGGCACTGCCAATGGACATTTTAAGCCTGCGGTCCAGCAATTATACGATCTTTTTAGAGTCGGTTGAGACAAGTCAATTAGGTATCGCATTGTCAGGTACGTTATCGGTAATCCCACGGTCCTTTGGCCTAAGCCGCAAATTCTCGCCCGACTGGTCATGACCCATGCACTCTCAGGCTGAGGCTTGTCGTGTCGTTCAGTTTCCATACTAATGGCATCCCTCCGATGATTTTTGTCATCGTTTGTCGACTTTACATGTGAGGACCGTAAATGTCGGGTTCATTTTTTCGAATTATATTTAGCAAACAAGATACGCCGTGGTAACGCCCACCATTAAATGCCACTTATTATAGCCGTTTGTCGGATAATTTGAATTGCTTATACATGTTATCCGCTTTTTAGCCCTCTGGATGCCTACAAACGCGCAAGACATTATGACACTCCCCAACTCGAAGTCATCAGGTGAGGACTAGTCTTGCAGCATTTCTCCTCTGAGTTTTTGTAAAAAAATCAGTGGGAGCCTTCCCCTCTTACTTGGATCCGGTGTATTTGTACGTTTCCCTCGGTCCAAATGAAAACTGTTCTGAATTACCTAAAATGTCTGCGTTGACTTGACTGTTACGTTAACATCTAAATTATACACGTCGCCACCTACACAGAAAACAGTCGAAACCGAGAACTACTATACTCTCCGTAATCGGGCTTCCTTGTTTTTTTGGAATCCTTGTACTCTGAAGTTTATTCACCTACTTTACGATGACTTGTGTGGGCATCTCCCGTATCCAGCAGTGTCTAGAACCACTAGTGTCTGTGACTGGCGAGTTATTCCCTGATATAATGGTAATCGGAGCCTAGTTTGTCATAGATTCGTTCATGAAATAGGCACGCACAATTACCAACGCAGTTCTCACCAGGGAGGACAAAGCTACATAAATCGGCACTTTCCATCCGCCAGTCATTTTGCAACAGGGTCTTTCAACTTAAAGCTATAGTATGCATCCTGGGTGCACTTCTGAGCTGGAAGGTCTCGGATGTTAGTCTTACTAACGTAAAGACTGGTGTGATACTGCGTTCGGTAGCTACCATTCTGTGGTTTATCAAATACATGTAGGCCAACATTGTCTGGAGCACTGCAAGCACTTTCTCGACATTTACCGGTGGCGGCTTTGTTTGGAAGTGCCACTGCTCAACCCATAGGAGTTTTGTGTGTTTCGTCGACCAGAGTTCCTTAGTTGGGCTTCCGATCTTCTCATCAAGCATCTATGTCCATGAAGCTGTATTAAAAAGCCGTCTGATGTAGGAGAAGTCTCTAGTGAGTCTTAATATTGGAATATTTTAGTTTCTGCCTATGTTTTAAAGAGTGGATCTCTTGATCTATTGTCTATCGTCCCCCCTAATTCCCTGCTCGTGTAATAAACAAAAAAACAGAGGCCGCAGAGGGTTACATGTTTGTGGTTATCCGGTGAAGTGCAGTCTCGTATGGTACTCTACGATGATGTCATACCACTTCGACGTATCCTGTGCATATTTGAACTCACTGAAAAATAGGATTCACAGAATGATTGCAGTAGAGTACGTGAAATATGCACTCATTGCAATGGATAATCACTAAGTGACTCAAGAGTCATGCACTTCCTACCACTTTATCCTTCCAGACCAGGTTTCACGCGTATCTCTGTACCGTTTTTCGTTCCGGATGCTGAGGTCGATTTCATTTTGGACGCGCTGAAGTTTGTCGCCAACCACGGCTGGATATTCTTGCCCCTATATCGATACATTTCATCAACAGGAGAATGGTCCCATCGTCAGCACGAAATCAGCCGTGATCGCAAATGGCTGGGTAACGTGGACTACTCAGAGGGAAAGATGTCGTGGTCTTCCGCTCGTATTACTACTGAAATGCCGGTTCCAGAATCCTACGAAGTGAGTGCTATTGGATTAGTTGTATAGCGGCAAGTAAGACGTTCACCGCTACCCGAATTTGCCTTTCCTTTCCCATCAAGTTCTAGCTGGTGGCTGGTCATTCTTCTTGATCTCTGTACCTGTTTCCTTCTTTTCAGGCCTGCCTTAGAGCTGCACATGAAGAAATGTGCAGAACCGTCAAACTGGTCGATTTTTCCACATCTTTCCCCGTTCCAGACGATACTATTGCTTTCGATGAGTCTAGTCACGAGCTTCGTTGGTTTCTACTCCCCAGTGAGGCAGCTGCTCAGATCCGCAATGAAATCGGTGAGCGTACCTACTGTGCTTCTATAGCCTAATTTTGTGATTTTCGGTTACCTGGTGCATCCGAAATGGATGGTGAACGTAGAGGTATTATTTTTAATAGCCTCGGGTTCTATAGTGATTAGTTTTGGAATAACTCTTACTATCACTTTGCACTCTGAGTCGAATCCAGGTGTACCTGAAGAAATGACTTTGAGCGGCCTGACGTCTCCCAAGAGCTTGTTTATGTATTTCTCTAAAGCAGAGCAAGTTGCCAAGTAATGAATTTTATGACGGTGACCCTTTGCGTTTTAATATCTGTTTGCGTGGCCTACCTTTTCCTCTATTTCTTTACGTGCAAGCACTTGCTGGTACGAATCGATCATGTTGTACTGGCATGATTGCCATTGATGGGTATCTCCATGGAGTTTCTTCCGCTTATTTTCTGCTCAGCTTTCGAGGTGCATTCATTTTCGCGGTACGACGGCAGTTTCCTTGCTCGGCTCCGATGCTTAATTCACATCCTCCAAAGATTAATTTTTCCTGCATTCTATTTCGCTTTATCGCCGTCATCAACGAAAACATGCCAGGATGAAGTATTGGCGTCCAACTGCTATGTCTGGAATAAGTATCCAGACCTGAAGGCTGAAGGAATGCGTCATTTTAGGATGGGTTATCAAGAGGTTAGCAGTACTTTCCACCCAGAGCCTTTTTGGATCTCAGGCCAAAGTCCCAATAGCATTCGTCACATGCACACTGCTGTTGATTCCCAGTAAGGATAAAACAGCTGTACAGTGTCTCTTGGCTTTTCAGCACAAATTGGCTTCACTTACTCGCAAAGGCCTATGTACGACGTAAGATGGTGTGTGGCAGAATAATGATAAGTAATAAGTGTGATGAGAGAAATATTTTACCAAAGGTGGGTGAGAATTATGACAGCAACTGACTTTGGTCCCGTACCATCTCGAAGGGTTTTTTATCCTTGTGTGTTCCTCATCGTTGGTTCTTCATTCCGGGGTTCTTGTTTGTCTAACCAAAGCCAGTGGAACTGTAGAAACATTAATTCGTCTTCTCCAAGTGTGCCACCATCCACTAGCTTCCTACTGAATCGAAGCCGTACAAGCAGAGTCCGTTGAGGTATGATACTATGTATTAAACGTACTACACGATTAACTGCAGGAATTGAGTCCTTACATGGAGGGTTGATGGTGAAATATTACCATCCGAGTTGGTTTCTCAACTCTATGCTTCGCCATAGGCATATCGTCCTGTATTCGATCTTGATTGGTGCTGTTATGTAGGCGAAATGCGCCTGAACTTCTACCGATCCACTTCTTTAATAATGTGGTATTATTCAGCAATAGCGCCACCCTGTTTCGATGCGGTCGTCGACAGCGAATTAGCTAGGTGTTCCAGACAATTTAAATCATCCAGTAACTGTGATCTGACGTCCAAACTTCATGTTCGTTTTTTGTGTTGTATAGATTGGTTGTTGGGTCTGCAAATAAGAAGACCTTTACTCCGGAAAAAAGTACTTGTTGAAGTATGTTGGAAGTCACAAGATCACTTGATGTGGAGAAAATTGACTTTATCCGTTGCATAGGGGGCGAGATGGCCGAAGTGGTTAGAGCGCGAATTTACTGACCGGAAGGTCCGTTGTTCGAACCCGACCTCTCAACTTCCCCTGTCTAGGCTTGGGTGTTGCGATTTATGACACCAGGCGATGATATATTTTAACTATCCTGCGCTCTCAGACACTATCACCTATGTACTCCAAACCAATTCGCCCGTTATCATTCGGAAGAAAGCGTCGTCAGTCGTTCCCATTTTATTAGCCCCCACCCTATGTATTTTTTATGCGTTCTAAATCCCCAGGTCAACTGTCAACCCCTGTACCGCATTCCTCACCGTGGCACCCGGGTTCATTAAGCAAATGCTTCTGTCCGGATCTGCAAAATAACAAACACGAAGCAGCCTTATTCCGGACCAAAACTTCCTCCTGTTTGATGGACCCACCAAGTGAATCATGCCATACGGTTAATGATCTGGATAACCCGAAGAAGCAAATCGACGTTTCCGTGACTATTCGTCAACTCATTCGGCCACATTCCATTGGCCCGCTTAATTCGGGGCATCTGAGGGTGAAAGATATTACGGTGAACAGTATAACCCTCACGCACCATCATCGGAAACGAGTTCTGTCAGAAAGTACCACAAAGCGGCCGAACACAAAAATGGGACTGAAACCATCATTGTCTGAATCAGTCCTTAATGGAGCGTATTTAACACGACGGAATCGGTCGTCGAGTGCTGAACAGCTGATCTTTGATTCCTTTGATGCACCGCCTCAGCTCGCGCTAACGAGGAGCACAGCGATTTCCTCATCGACCGAATATTTTGATATTCGTCAGTCCGTTGACGAGCCGACTCTCAACAACAGTGCATTGGTTCAAGTCTCCCATGATCCACTGAATGGTGCTTGCAGCGTTGGTCGCAAAGCCATGAAACACACAGCAGAGTTTGTCGGCCAACAAGATCTAAGCCGCCTGAAGCCATCAAATACCTTATGGCAAGCACCCCCGAGAGATCTGTACAAGCTCGTATTTCGAGTGAGTTGTAACTTGTGTCGCCGTGATCAATTTTCGGGTCATTAGAGATATGGTCAATTCATCTATTGACTGACATATTGGCTGTCGCGTACAAGATAACTGTTGTGTTTAGTTTTCCGCCTGGTAGTCTAACATCCCCCCACTTTGAATCCTGTTGGACAAGAAAACGGACAACTACAAAAGTAGTTATGTTATGAGCCGGCGATCAATGGACACGCTGCAGGAGTGTAGCTCTTTTCTTGCTATCGATCAAGGTATAGTGTAATACGATTTGGTTGTTCACCTCTAAAAGCCAGTTATTTTTTTGTTAGTGTATCCCCATAGCTTGCGTTTCTGTCAACTTTCTTAGACAAAATTTGGTCACCTCCGGATAAGCTCCGTAGTGCAGGTGCTATCCCTCTTGTAGAGTCTGGTCACATGAACATAGAAGGCCGATCACCTGGTCCTTAGCTGAACAGTGTTGACCTGAGAACGGAATACTTCCTATGGAATATCAGACAGCCTGACCAAGAATGATTTAAGTATATTATTGATTCTCATAGATGATTTCACTCACTTGTACGACCAGTCCGCTCTGCCCAATCCACCTGTATGTGTTTCCAAACAAATCCCATCTTCACAAGTCCTAGTCTGAATATGTTGCATGTATTGCGCATTTATTGGCAGAAGCTTTTCGCTCCTCATAGTCTAAACACCACTGCTTCCGAAACATCGCCGAAATTTTGTAGGCCCATCGGACTTAGGTGATCTGATTGTCAGATAGGTTTTGGATGGATCCGAAACATCTTACCGAGCATGACTCACGCCTTTCTATTTGGATTATTTTTTTGTGTTGGCCTTGAAGAGGTGAACACCAATTTGAATGTCAGTTTCTTCTTCTTACCTTCTCAGGTTAATCAATGGCAGGAATTCCTAGTTATTATGTTCAGTAACCCCCTATTTTCTTTCTTCTGCATCAGGCTATCCGTCAGTTTGACATGATCCATCCGGGTGACCGTGTCCTCGTTTGTCTCTCCGGCGGAAAAGACAGTTTGTCGCTGCTCCATTGTCTTCACCAGTATCAGTGCATGCTTCGAGGTTGTTGGTCGTCATCCCGTAGTGGACTACCGCCTTCCGCCATATTCGATCTGGGTGCTGTGACTGTTGACCCAGGTACCCCATCCTACGACCCTAGCCCACTGATTCCCTATATGGCTGATCTTGGGGTTCCTTATTTTTACGAAAAACAAGGTGGGTTAAATTTAAGCTACCAATCTGTCTCTATAAGTTCTATATATAATTCAAAGATTTTTGACGTGACTCTCATTCAGTTTGCCCTTATGGATTTGGTTTTGGCAACCATTCTGCTCGGGCATACCCTTGAGTCCCCGGTTAGTGCTGGATTAAGTTGAGTACTTTCCCTCCATATAATCTACCAGGAACGATGTTTTTCTTTCACTTATTTTTTATCCTAGCCTTTTTGGTCATCGACATGTGTCCCTAACTTTGACGTTTAAGACGTCGGTAACAGGATAGTGGCTTAGAACTATTTCGTAGCGCTGTTCTGTTTCCAACGGAGAACTTAAATATCATGTTTGAGACCGGATTTCTGGCTTTGTCGTCATTCGCACCTATCGACAGACTGTTCACTCTACGCGGTTAATTGGTCACTGCACTCCTGTAATTGTTCATCTGTTCGTCTGCTTCAGGTATTATCCGCCAAGCAAAGGAGCTTCCATACGAAGTTTCCAGCATCTGTTCATTCTGTTCTCGAATGAAGCGTGGTCGAATATACGCCTGCGCTCGACGCAACGGATACAATGTCATTGCGTTGGGTCAACATTTGGATGATGTTGCCGAAAGGTTTGTGAACTTCTTCACTTTGAAAGATGACCACATGTTTTGGCATTGAAGCTATGCGTTTCTCTGCAGGTAATCGATATTTAACCAAACCAATCCACTGGGACAACCTACGGCGCTGCAGTTTGATAAAATCTTTTTTTACAGTGCTGAAAAATTCCAAAGGCATACAGGGCATTCGTCAAAATCCTTAAGATTTGCCGAATTGAGTTAGTCATATGCAACCCTGAATGTATGGTCATTCAAATCCCTTGGAATCCTGAATAGTATGTAATTTTGCTTGAACTGCTTTAGATGAGAAGAATTCGCAATGCCAGTCTTCGTAAATCCGGCAAACTATTCAGTTCTTGTCGAAAACTCTGATGTATGTGTTAGCTTTTGGTCATACCATATCATTAAATGTCTTTTTGAGGCGATACCCTATTGACCTAGTAAGTTTTCAAACTGACGTTTAATATCAATATCGAAGTAGTTTTGTCTCACCAGAAGATACACTGAAGATCACAACTGTGTTACTTACTTTCAGCTGGAATATATGTGTTTCGCCGCCCCCCCTGAACAAGGGGCACTCATGGGGAACGGCTCAACTTGTGGGGGGGGGGGCCAGCACCCCACCCCAGCTGCACGAGCAAATGTGAACATATTTTCCTCAGCTTTTGGTGTAACACGATAACATACTCCGTGACAGCATCCGAAATGTAATAAACATTCTGTAGAGAAGTCAACCTTTATCGTCCACGAGTACCCTTACGATAGCAGAGGTTAATAAAACACCGTTTGGAAGCCACTACCCTACAAACGCCAAGTGAAATTGCACCATGGACTCAAGTTTCGTTCCACATTTGTGCACGATCTGAATATAAATATTTTCAATCGGCTGTGGGCATACTCTCCAGCAAGAGAAAACCCTAGTATCTAGGCTGCCTAAATCTCCATTACGTCTACACACTTGTCAGATGGTTGACGGGCGATCACACCTGTGCACTGTGTGGTATCGTCAAACGATATTCTACTTCAAAGTTGTATGTTATAGCGGCTTCCAGAGGCTGAAGTCGTGGGTTTAAATCTGTCACTCTCTGGAGAGGCTATCCAAAGGGCAGACCACCCGTCGAAGACAACCCCTTTGTTTAGTTAGTGACAAACGATTTGGTAATAAACTTTGTTCCAGAAGAGACAAACTCGCAGAAGACGCTCCCTTCGATCGGTGTTTCAGAATGGTCTCTCGAAAGGCAATAAGTCTGTAATTGTATCCTTCTAAAGGACACACCTTTAAGAGGGTCCATCCATTCAAGTGGTCCTCCTGGGGTACAAAGCTTTTTTCAATTCGCATTACCGCCTGCATGGAATCACCGAAACTGGCCTTTTTGATAACTGAACTCTTTTATCGAAGAACTCACGGGTTACCAACCACAACTGATTTCTTCTGAAAAGCGAAATGTACGGAGAGGGAAAATAGCAGTCGTTGCGTGCAATAAGGATGAAAATCGCCTTATAAAATCCCCAGTCATTTAGGCCAAACTATGTTCCAATAATGCCATTGTACAGATACCTGGTTGGTGTGAAAACACACGAATTTCGCCTCTTGGTCTTATTTAGGAGGGCCTTTTTCACAACACTGGGAGTGTTCTCTATTGGTAGGTAACGAGCTGAACTTGCAGGACGGATCAATTTCAGGAATAGTCTTACGGTAGTGGAGTGAAGTATGGTTTACTTTGGGATCGCCTTTCCTGTGGGTCTGCCCTGTACTTACTCTCCCCACCATTTGTAAGTGCAGCCAGTTGTGTTTATCAACGTACGGAATCGGGTTACTTTGAGCAGAACTTCACTATAAGCATTACTGCATCATGTTGCAAGACACTGCTCACGTGCATCTTCGTCTGCCACGACGGATTCGTGTGTCGTATTGCTTAACTGTGCGTAAACAAACCGGGATGGCCTAAGTTACTGTATATTCACAAAACAGACATGTACTGTTATCCGTGAACAGTGGGCGTTTTAGTGTAAACAGCCATACCGTCCCTGGTTTGCTTCACTTTGTCCTGGACTAGGTCTTGATATGATCTTTATGATTACGGTCTGTCCAAGTATTCCCAAAACCAGTCAGCAGTGGCCGGTCCCTTTCGACACGTATTACCGCCATTTTGTCTACTTTGTTTGATAATGGATGGCATTTAGGTGAGTCTCTTATCACCACAGTGGCTTATCCAAACACATCTGCTGGTGAGCAGTGAGGCCCCCATTTGATAGAGTTCTGTACTTCAGTAAACAGCTATCCCAAAATAGCACTGTCATTGGGCAGTAAACCAGTTTATTTTCTGAGGTATTATTACTGGCGGTGGCCAGACATGCAACAATATACCAAATTCCAAAACATAATTTCGGGATCAGTGACATGGGAAGAAGCACCACCTCAAAATAGATTTACGTTATCAGCAGTGTGTGGCATATTTCCGGACAACCAATACCAGACATCATCATTATTATCAGCTGTAAAAACTGCATACTTGTCGTACAGTGGTTGTAGCTGCCAAGTTTCGTTCACCGATGATTTGGGGAGGTGGGATGGGTAGTTGTGCATTGGAGGGGGGAGCTGATAAATCAGTGCGTAAATACAGTGGACTGCTAAGTGGGGGATTGTGAAGGGAGCTATGCATTGAAGACATTAGCTTGGATTCACAAGCGCCATTGAGGGCGTGACTGAGCCATGTATGACAATGTCTCCATTGTCGTGGACCATCTCGGGGTCCCCGTCTTGGGAGACGCGACTGACCGGCGAAGCTGAGTTTGCTGGTGATGGCTTTTATACTTCGCCGCCAAGTCATTGACTGATCTCCCTGGTTCGCTTCCACTTTTCACGTGGTTATGCGAAAACAACCCTACGAGGAAGTCGGCCGACCGGCACACACAGCACGTGGCCAAGCAAGCGCAACCTGTGCAGTTTGATCAGTTCATCTATCGTGGGCAAGTTATTCTTACGAATACCATTTGACGTACTTCAGAATTGCCGACACGGTGTTCCCACCAGATTCGACCAATGCTCCGAAGACATCGATGGTCAAACACGGAAAGTCTTGACGTCCTCGGCGCGCAGCGGCCAGGTTTCTGATCCATATAGTAATATGGAGCGCACCGCAGCATTGTAAACTCAACCCTTAACAGATAAGCTGATGTCACGCCTATGCCACAGGTGACGCAAGTTCACCAAAGCTGCTCTGGCCTTCCCAATCCGGATGGAAATATCACCTTTCGCTAGACCACCGGGGCTCATACAGCTGTCTAGGTAAACAAATCTGTCCACTATCTCAATCGGCTCATCCGCAAGTACGACGTTAGGATCTGAGCCCACACAATCTTGCAGTAGAAATTTACACTTTGCAGGTGTGAAGCGTATGCCAAACTGTGAGGCGCAATTATTTAGATCATTTATATCGCTTGCATTACCACGGCGTCAGTCCAAGGGGAGCTATGTCTTGTGTGTACTCCATGTCTGTGAGTGAACGCCCCGGGAGCACTTCGACCGCACAGGCATTAGAGGCTGATAGTACGTCTTCCATGATCGTATCAATAACGAAGTTGAAGAAGATATTTGAAAGTGGACAGTCCTGTCTGACAGCACTTGACGTGGCGAACTCGGAAGAGAGCTCTCCGTACACCTTTACACGGTCGTGGAGTTGGCGTAACCCGCCTTATGGAGGGTCAAAAATTTATGGGGAACACCTTTGCTCCGCAAACACTGCTATGGTGCTTGACGGTGCACAGAGTCAAAGGCAGCTTTCAGATCAAGAAATACAACCATTGATGGTTTCTGGAAGCAGCGGCGCTGTTCCAGAATCTGTCGGAGGATGAAGATGCGATCGATACATCCTCTTGCAGGACGGAACTCAGCTTGGTTTTCACGGATCTTTACCTACCTTTGTTCACTCAACCTTCAGGCATACGGGATAATATTTTAGTATAAAGTAATGAGGGTATTCTTTCTTCAGGGGAATAGTGCACTAAATTATTTTGTCGGTGAGTGATGTTACGGATTCTCCAGGGGTATCCCTTGAGTCATTATATCAACCGAATGCGCTATACAAAGGCCGTCTAGTGTTTCAGCTGATGCGATATTCGGGATATCGTCGTATACTTTTCTGAGGGAAACTACTCTTGAGGTTGCTGAAAACTCTGCAAGTCCACTACCAATTTCGTTCTTTTTCGGCTCACCGGCTGGACATTTTCCCCGAGCTTCCATCAATCTGGTGGTAAACTAAATTCTTCCCAATCGGTGACAGTCATTGAAGTGTTCATGTTAAGGGAAAGGTAGACGATTACTGTGTTGCTCTAACTCGCAGTTCTAGCTTTTTATCCACTCATTCATTTGAAACATTTCGAGAATGAAGAGCAACTGACTGAGTGTAATGGGTTTAATAGCCTTACTTTGAGTTAGGGCTGAGTTGTGCCTTAAACTATACCGAATCGAGAAGCTTTTCAGGGTTTCCTAGAAGTGCGCAGTCTTACACGATGAGAGACCCAAGTTTCACTGTGGTTCAAACGTCCTTTTCACTGGGACAGCACTCATCGTGTGACAATATCTTAACGAACCGATGGCTGGTGTTACACAATATTCAGTCCTCTGGTAGCGCTTCTACGGATAGCGTGTCACATATCTGAGACATTGGTCACCTACATTCTGTTATCGAGATGAGTATATTTTGCCAGTTCCCTACAAGTTAGATTCATTTCGGACGTAAATGTGACGGGGACTGTGCCTACCTGATGAGCGAAACCGGTCGTGGGATGTCAAACACTTTTCAGCAATCTTGTGAGTAGTTTTTTTCCGATATCTCGAATATCATACTAACACTAACTGAAACATCAAGCAACCTTTATGTATCAGCTTCAGTGGGAGGATGTCATAGACGAGGGATTCAGCTGAATTCAGTTGAATCTATCATGAAAACCCAATTGGTGTGCAAATTAGTGTTTCTCGCGAATTTTGTACAATTTGAGTTCGTGTGGAACACAAGGTTGACAGGAGCTCGGGGACTGTGCTTACTTGATGAGTCTCAAAAAGAGCGAAACCGGTCGTGGGCAATCGAAGAGTTTACAACACTCCTACCAGTAGTGTTTTCTTAAGAAAAACCGACATTGATTTTTTTTCCTAATGTTTTTCTTCAGTCTTGGTTGTACTGTTAATCTGTCACGTACAAATGGGGGGTGGTAGTGCTGCATACTGTGCGCTAGGACATGATGACCTGAAAAGTTTGAATGCCACTGGCGTACAAAAGAATCCGGAAGTTCCCCTATAGATGTGACAGATGTGTTAGATAGCTGATCTTCGAACTCTGTTGTTAACTTAGACTTTTTGTTTGTGTATTCCTTATCACGTATCTGCATTTCTAGTACACTGCCAAAATGGGCCTGGCGTAGAGTAAACATTACTAAGAATAAGATGTTGGGGATAGTTTGTACCAATTATCCTACATGAAGTGTGCACATACTTTGCGCTGAAAGCAATAATTCTGACTCCATGGAGTCGACTCATTTTATCGCAGATGCCAGTCATATTGACAAAATTGAAAGCGGATGTGGCGCCATCCACAAAATCCCGGCTTCATTAGCTTTGCTTCATTTTTCCGATGACCTCTGCAGATATTTTCACCACCCGCGAGTTAATTAGATGTTAGTTGCACTGCTGGGCAGACGTAGTTTGTTATTTGCATAAAAATGTCATACCAACTGAAGCGATAATCAGAGACACTTTGGATCTTATTTTATGAACTACTAATCAACCACTCCATGAGCATCCACTTCGTGTTATGCAGCTTAATGCTGATTGACATTAGCCGAAGTGGCCTTCAACCGTCTCTGGGTGCTGAATTTTTAGCAGTTGCCAATGCTATCTAAGTTACCGGTTGACATTTTCGATCGACTGGTGTGTCTCGAATTAATTATCTTGTAATCAAAAGACCATATGAGTTGTCAGCTGTTCTGTGTGACTAGTCGAGTTAATATACTGATCAATGTGCAATCGAACTCACCCTCCACGTAGGACTGGGTGTTACCTTCTTTATAGTACACACCTATCATCCATTCGTTGCCATTGTATTCCCTTTCTCTGGTCATTACTGTTCATGGGGACCCTATCGTAATACTACTCTGATATTAGGCTACACGCTACTAGTTTCATTCCGGAACTTCTGTTGACGTTTGGTTATCTCGATAGAATGATCTGGTGGAAACTGTCTGCCATTCCGGCTGATCCTTGTTCGGCTTCAGCTTTCGGTTTTCTGTAACCCACCAGTCCACCGCTAGCAGCGAACTTACAAAGTCAGCTGACTTTGTCAGTTCGCGTTTATCGAAAACCAGAATGGGTTCTAAACAATAGGAACTCGATAACGGAAATATTCAATGGGTAAAGGCGTATTTAGCATGTTTTGACTGACTGCGTCTTACGCATAATTCCTTTTGATTATTTGTGTTTAATGGTACAGAATCCTTTCAGAATATTCGCCTCCCCAGAGTTCACACTAGATTTTGAAATGTTCCTGAAATGTGTTATGTGATTCCGGACCCTGGCCAGGTTGCACAGTCTTTCTGAGTTGCGTATTTTTATCAGCTTCATCCCATCCCCCGAATCGGTCTGCTCTCACAGTTTCAGCGATGCCCAAACCCGTTTGCCGGTGATAGTTCTTCCAGGTCGTGTTTGTTATGTCAGGTTTTTATTCATTTGGTCTGCTAGCCACACGATTGCCTTATCTTGACCTAATGTTTATGACCATATATTCTCAATTTAACATTGGAGGACTTAGTCCAAGGCTTATAGGTAGCCCTTCGGTATATGATCCTCATCGGAACAAGGTCTCTTATTGAAGGAACAATCTGAAACCACTCTGTGGAGAGGTCTGTGACGATATTTTCTTGGCTCGTGTCGCTGATAGGGGTTTCGGCTTAAGTCAGTTTATCAGGTGCTAATCGTCATAGTTGTGGACACATACATGGTTTCTTTTATTGTATCCGACAGGAATTTTTACTAATGGTTGTTGATTTATCTTTCGTCTTCTTTAGTTTCCTGATGTCCTGCTTTCACAATGGTCTGCTTCTGACCATGAAAGCTAATTACCGTGTCAGGTAAATTTCCGATTGTATATGTCATGTAGTTTTGATACCCTTTTTCATTTGGAGTTGTTTTCTCTTTCGTCCCATCAAGATCCAGTTTTCTAGCAATTCTCTAATCAGTCTGTGTCCATTGAACTGACTCTCTTTTCATGCGGATGCGTCGAATAGGGTGATAGTGCATTCGACTCTTTCAGCAACCCACTTGTCGTTTATTTTATTGGGTTTCATGCTCATCGCTCAACTCCTCTAGCAGAACACCTTTACTTTCTCGGCCGTCTGCTACCTTTACTCGAAAGCTGGTTGGTTTGCGCCTTGGTCGTATGTTTGCAGCCTACCATGACCAGGATAAAGGGCTTCTTCGACCTCGTTCGTCCAATTAAACATCCAACTCGGTTACACTTTTTGGGTATTTTTTGACACGTGCAGCACAACAAGGTATCTGGAATCCAAAATCAAAGAGGACGCCGCAAACGGCCCCAAAAGATGAATCCCGGTCCACCATCCAGATATGTATTTGTCGTGTTATTCACCCAGTGACTACTTCTAATTCCTTTTTATGTCAAGATACAAGCCTAAACTTGTGGAGGATCTGGAGATACAGCGTCTTGGCGCAGCTTCATACGCCCAGAAACACCTTGTAATTAACACTACACTAGCTTGAACATTCTAGTCGCGTTCTATTTTACTAAGGCAGGGAACTCGTATGTTCGAACTTTAACTTCTTATCTAGTAGGTATTTTTTGAAATTCGTAACTAGTGATACATTGATATTTCCAGGAGAAGAAACACCAGTTAAACATTAGGTGCAATTTTTTGTGAAATGTTCTAGCTATTTAAAATTTTGTGCGTGGATGGAGAGTGGCAATAGGAGTATGACGCTGTGAATCGACTCTGGTCGTTCATCTCAGGAGCATTATCCTATAGGTCAGCATAACCACATTCATTCATTAGAATTCATACTTACCCGGGAGATGGTCTGACGTGCACGAGTAAACTGATCAAATCAGTCCCAATTTACTATTCTTCTGATAGGAACAAACTATTTATAACTTAACGTCATTTAATATTATTTGATGGACCCAAAATTAGACATCTGGCATAATTTCATGAATCAATGTATATGCACTCTGAAAGCATTCGTTTAGTTACCATGGTTTTACGTTGGGTTGTGAAATTTACCGTTTGTATGTTCCACTCTCATATCATACTATTTTTCTTCAGGCAAGGAGATCTCCGAGTCATTCGGCCACTTGTGTTCGTACGCGAATACCAAACTCGAAAGTTTGCTGAAACGGTAGGTCTGTAATGGCGGCTGTGTGTACGTGATTCCTCTTAGCCCTGCTTACTCACTAGTTCGTTAGCAGTCCATTCCACTTCTTGTTTATTTTTGCAGGCTGATGACTTCATCAATAATAATATTAGTGGTAGTATGCGAAAAAGGACTTGGCTTGTTGGATAATGTGGTCACGCTGCGTTGTGTTGAAACCTCATTTTCGGACATTCCAACGTGTAACTTGATGATAATATCATGATATCATATCCGTGGCAATGCTCACAGCTCGTATCGTAGTGTCTCTGGCTTTCTACAGACATGTACGTTTTCTCAGTTTTTAATACTATCAGTAGTATCCCTTTATGGTAGCCCTTTGTTCCATACTCGAATGCATTCGTTCGGTTTCCGAAGAGGTTCTACGTAGCGAAATGCACTCATCTGCATGCCAATTCGGTTTCCACGAGACACTAAATCTCTCGTTTATGATGTCCTTTAACTGAATGTGCTGCACCAGGCTGTCTCATGCTTCAGCTGGTACGATACGCTAGTATCGCAATACATTGTATGGACGATGTCCTTTAATGTGCTGCACCAGGCTGTCTCATGCTTCAGCTGGTACGATACGCTAGTATCGCAATACATTGTATGGACACAACACACTACTCATAAGGTCGCTGAGACCCCGACAACCCTACTGGCTTTACAACTGGATACTGTTTTTCTGGAGCCTTTGGGCCCATAGACTTCGACAACTCTGGTCCATCGCGTTTGGGAATTGAAATTGTTCTGTCATCTGCGGCAGAAGTGGGACCGTGGTAGGATATTTCCCCCAAGTAACATGCTTCCATATTTGCAGAAGCAGCAACACTACCCTCTTGAAACAAACGTCGAGTTAGAAGTGATTGACGCTGCATCTCACACACTTCGGTCACCAAACGATTGAGTCGCCAACGCTGACTTATTCCACACAATCCAAGAAATATCAAGAAGATTGATCCCCAATAATCATAACTTACCAGTATAGCGACTTTTTAAAGAATCGGAACAGATTTGGTCTCTTTAGGTAACAAAAATAGCCCGTGAAGTGACCATAGAAGTACTGAGGTGCGGGATTCATGGGCGAAGGATGGGACGTCGCTGTTTCCGGGAGATCTGTTCCTCGGTTCTCTACTGCTTCCAATTTGCACAGCTATTCACAGGTGTTGTGCTGTCGTTGAGGTTGGACTTGGCTCGTGGCCTCTGATTTGAAATGACGGGCCGTTTAGCAGCTGTTTTAAGCATTCTACCAATCGTTTCATCTCCTCACGGTTGTTAAGCTACTGTCCGTCTGCATCTCTAAAAGAAGTGCAGTCGTGGCCAGGATTTCCCGGACGCTATGTGACGAAAAAGTCTGTCAACAAAGCGAGTTATACGTGCTGTATCATGTCCAAGCGGTATCAGGTGCAGTCATTCTTTACTGACTTACAGCTTGTGGACTTCGGTCCAGTCGGCGAGATGAGGTTACTTAACTTTTTTAAATAAGTATTGTCTCCTTGTCTCGTGTTCATCGGATTAGTTCATCGTGACAAGCCAGTCCAGAAACAGATGTCAGCCCACCATAAAACTGAGTTCAGCGTCGATTCTCCACCGTTGGAGCTCTTATCCTTATCCACTCGTAAATTTTGCGCACAATAATGCTGCTTGTGTAATACATCATAACTTCTCTTCGCCAACCTTCCTTCCGAACCGTCAAACTGCGTCTCTCGGGTTTCTTGGTGCATTTTAGAACATGCTGGTCTGGCTCGCTGGGTGCACGCAGGACACGTTGACGAAGATTGTCATATTGAGTGCATTATTACCACTTGATATTGTTTTCTCATACGATCACTAAACATCGTGCGTACAGCGTGAGCAGACTCTGCTCTTATACACCAGAACACTCTTCGGCCTGCTGCTTCACGACTGTTGAACCCCATGTTATCCGCTCGCCAGTGTGAGAAGAACTTTGTGAGGTGTGGTGCCGTGCATTGGATCGTGGAAACCGCATCGTGTTAAGTAACTGTCGAAATGTGTGAGATTTAGGTAGTCACCAAACAAAAGATTTGGGTTAATGATAAAGAGGTCATCTTACTTCGATCGGTCCTGATATTAGACCTAGCAACCGCTCATTTGCAGTGGACCTGGTTCCAGAGAACACCCCGCAACGGCGTTTTCAAAGCTTTTGATATGACTTTTCAAATTTAAAGACGACCCCCTTATATCGGCAGAAAACTGCGATCGATCGCTTAGTTCCTGTTCATAGTTCCTGATTTTATTGAATCTACCTGACGATCTTGTGATACAGATGTACAAACTGACACCGTGAGTGAGTTCGTGGATGGAGAGACTGGAAAAAATCCGTGCTTATTCAAAAAGCAATGAGCAGTTCACCTGTATATCAACTCTCGTTCGAACTACACTCTTACAAACTTGTTGTCCGTTGCATCAGACCCTTCATATGTCTACACGCCCATTTGTACCCGAAGACCGTACGCTCAAAATGACCGAATGTCGCATCGATCGGACGAATGTTTGGCGAGCCAGCCATGGGGAAGCAAAAGGCACGCCCTGATTGGTTGGTCGAAGTATGGGCCAATCAGCATTGAGCCCTCGACGCTTTTCATCTCGTCACGAAGACCTGGATAGTTCTGTGATCACTTCAGTTATTCAGTTATAATAATTCCCCCGTATTCCGAGGAGTCTGTCTTCAGCTGTCGTCCCTGTGGATATGACCTACTGAGCGGAACAGCAGGCCAAGGATCTGCGAGACCACAACCGGTTAGATTCACACGATGCTCTATCACTCTACTCCACCGACCGATGCACGTGGCCGACTAATCCTCTGTACTAGTGGCCTGGTCATCTCGAGGCCAAGTGGATCACGCTTAATAGACAGGCCGGTGATGATTAACCCGTGAAGCTTTCATTCTCTTTATCATCTGTCTGTGTCGGATCATGCCAGCGAAAACTAATTAAGGGTGTGGCAGAAAATTTGTTTTACAAAGGAGGAAGCAGAAGTGTTGTATAGCGCATCACTATTCGTCTCAATGCTCTCACACCCCACAAGATACCTTTAACTAACAGTGTTCAGATAAACGTTGATTCAGTGGGAAAAAGGCATTTTTATGCTTTTTGGTTCTATTTTCTTACATTTATTTGTATTTTAATGTTGGCTGCCCTTTCATAGTGTAACATAGGGGTTAAAAAATGACGGTGTAGGTTTCGGATTTGGGAAGTGCCGCTTCACAACAAAAAAACATTTATTTAAATTGAACTAAAATGTTGGTATGAGTTCTCGCTCTTTGTACTTTCAATCCAATGTCGAATGCCAACAGGACTCGCATAACTGATTTCGGTGAAGGCGTCAGTTATCGAGGGCCAGGTGGCTTAGATCAAATTAATTGTAACTACAAAAAATGGTGATAGTCTCTGTTATGTATCACTCAGAAACAACTTACACGACCGTGAAATGGGGGTCAAACTAGCAATCTTCGTCATAACGACGACCTTCCTTACGGTGATCAATTTTGGTGTTCCATAGGAGTATTGGCTTTGAACGAACACTGTATTAGGTCGACCATTGATAGATTTATGTCTGTTTTCACAACGTCACTTGTCTCTTGTACACTTTAGGTCACGAGTGAATTCCTGTCCTTATTCGTCAACTGTAAATCTCGACATTTCTTTTGCTTTATGCACAGTGTAAGCTGCCAGTGATACCCGAGAATTGTCCTGCTTGTTTTGAAGCTCCCAAAGAAAGATTCCGCATCAAACGTATCTTGGCAGAGCAAGAAGTTCTTTTCCCCCGTCTCTTTCATAACCTTCTGTCAACGATGATGCCTCTGATTGGCGAGAGCAGCACCCGCCCTCGAAAAACCAACTGCACTTCCAGTGTTCGAAACATACTCACGAAAGCCTTTCATAACTTTGAAGTAAACACTAAGTCAAATTATTCCGATTGATTGTTATGGTCTTTGGGACCATCTTTCCATTTTTCTTGAAGATTAATATTTTTTGTCCAGAGGCAGCCATATTATATCCATGTTCATTTCGTCACAATTTTGTAGCAGAGACAGCTTTTGATTTTTGTGCCTTCCTTAGCCCTCCGTTTCTCTGAAACCAGCCAACTAGTAGGAACCTTGAGTTTACCTTGTTTTAATGTGGCTGTGCTATTCTGTACCCTACGTACACCTATCTTATTTGATCAAAATGATGATATTATTTATCTTGGTCGATTTATTTTTACAGTAGATTGTGTTTTTTGTCGGCAGAGATTTTACGACATCTCTCAACCAATGGCCAGTGTCAACTAGGTCGGTCGTGCAGTTGATCGTAGACCCGTTGCGTATCACGTAAAAAAACGAGGTATATGCGGCCTTGACACATGCATCAATGCAGCTGCTCATTGTTCTCCCTTCTTACCAGCTGTGCCCACAATTAGCTTGTTTCGGGATTTTCTGCTCTCGTCCTTAGGGGGAAACTATTCAGTGTACTTATTTACCAGGTAGTAGTGAGAATAAACTGCACAAAATGGATGCACCAACGAGCACGGAGGCTCACGCTGGTGGACCATCATATCGTGCACGGTTCGGTTCGCTTGTTAGTGGTGGTTAATAATCCAGATAGTCCGGCGTCAAACCAATCTTTGGTACAGTGATTCATATACGTAGGTTTTTACTATCTTAATTCCAGATGATTCGCGTCCGAATTCTCCTAATTATACCCTATTCCACATTTGAGCAATTAATTCCTTAAGCAGCTGGATGTGCATTATGTTGCGGATAAGAAAAGAGGACTCATCAGGCGATTAGAAGGCGTTGCACTATCCGTTTGTTAAACTCCGACCCGATACAACCTGATAGTTGCATGTCTCACTGGAAGCGTACATGGGTTTTACTAACCCAAACCCACTTCAATAACCGTGTGTCGTTTCTCTACTCACACCAATCACAAACGGATGCCTTGTGTCTACTGGGACTGAAATTTTAATGCTCTCCAGTGCCGACCAGTTTGGGTTTTAACCAATTTGTTCACTAAGCTCGAAATGTTACTAGATATTTATCATGCCAGGCATCCTGCTGACTGCCGTTCTACACACAACCCAGAACTCTTATTTTGGAATTGGGCCTCAGGGTCGCATTCGACGCATGCTAATATGGAACCTGCTCGTGTAGTCTTGAAAGGTTACTTGTACAATTGAAGAGCTTACTCAACTGGATGCTACAAAAACGGCACTAACGGATCCAGAGCTGTGTAATATACACAAAAATACGGGGCTTCCGCTGCTGAGTTGCGCGAGCTCTAAGCAATTCACTTCTTTGTATTATCTTCGCTGAATGTAATATCTCATATATGCGTCCCTCAAAACAGTCCAATTTCGGCTTGTTATTGATGCTTCTGTATCAACAACTCAGTACCGAACAAAGCCTTGATTTCTAAGGTTCTTATTACTGCTCGTCAGTTCAGGATTAATTTTCCACTAGTATCAATTGAAGACCCTACTGACAAATGACATCAATCTTTTTACGGTTTGCTTGAAGGTGAGTGACAGTGGCTTACACAACGCTAAGCTGGGCGGATCTGTTGGCCATAACGCTATGGTTATCACGGATCGTTGATTTCAAGAAACAGACGTTGTCTTATTTTCGACCAGAGCCTGAAAGACCACACTCACTAATCCCTAGTCCTGTTACGCGTAATTGGCTATCGGCCAAAGATGCGGTCGGATACCAGCCATTTCAACTTTGCAGGTGCTTCATCTTCGTTCAGACTCATCGGAATCGCACCTGAAACTCTGTTTACTCCTTTTTTGGCTAAAGTTCATTCCCACGACTTTTTGGAACAAGTTAGGATAAGAGCAGCTCCCCGTGGCATTTTAAAGACAACTTTTCTACGAATGCTGGGTAATGAAGATCAAAGTAGAAAGAACTCGAATGTTTCTTCTGATTGGTTGCAAGTTTGCATGCACGGTATCAGAAAGCGACTGTCTAGGCGGTTTTATTCTCGCCCAAAATGACAATTGTCGGCTTTCTGTGTAACGTAAGCGGGATTGATCAGATGGGCGTGGTGTTTTCCCACTACTATAGCGGCTAGAAGTAGAGCAAAGTTGAACTGGTAGCAAAGCACCTCCCTAAGCTTGTAATAAAGTAAAGGAGCGAGAAATGGGTACCCGACTAGCAGATGTAGAAGATCCGATTTTCAATGAGTAGCGCTGGTAAGCACCATTCTTTGTAAAATTCGCCTTGGCCTCAGCTTTGTTCCGGATTAGCAGTAAATTACTTGTCCAACTCAGTAATACTGCTCCAAGATCTTAATCCTCTAAGAAGCGTGTCATGCCACTAGCCTGTTATGGGGATATGTAAAAGGGTTCGCCGCTGAGTAGCTCAGTAGTGAACTATCCTTGCCATTATCCATGCTCATGGAATTATCCTGGGGTTGAACTTGGCGATAAAGGACCTCTTAGATAACATTAGATCGATGGCTACTTTTGAGAGTTACAAAGCTCGTTTGTAGGACTTATTTCGTCATTCCTGACAGCGTTGAATCATCGATGGTTTTTGGACCAGCACAACCATATACCCTTTAACAGACTTGAACAAACTGTCATAAATTTACTTTTGTAGGCGAACGCAAATAGGTCGACTGAAGCGACCTTTAAATGGACAATATCAAAAAGACTCACTTAACACGAATGGACCCAAGTTTGTGGTAACGCCATTGACTTTGGGTGGCCAGTATCCAACGCGCAAACAGTGATCACACACTCAGCACGGAACATAGGTCACTTTCGTACATAATCTCGTAGGCTTTGAGAGCAAGTCAAAAATGTGAATATTGTGTAGTTCTGGGATTATGTGAATCACGCTTAGTTTTTTTTAACTGGGACATGGGTATTCTTGAACAGTCATTTGCCCCAGTTGTCGCGCACTAGATTTTACAGAAGGACTATCTTGATTGATCTAATCCCCCTGCAATCACGGTGAACGCGTGTATTTTTGAATAATAGATTATGGATTCCTGTCGCTCAATGGTTATTACACGTACACTGGTCAACGGAGTAGACTCTCGCCTAATAAAAACTCAACAAAACTTCCCTATGAGACCCGACACGGAGAATATTTACCGTAAAAGTGTTAGTGAGAACTGGGCGCTTTGTTTTTGTTTATATATAAAATTTCTAATGGTTATTCGAAGATATATGGCACAAGACTGCATCACTAGATGCTGTTTTCGTTAATGGGAATTCAGTACTCCCGAGAACTTCGCGTAAACCATGAGGGTGTGCTTTCCGTATAAAGTTGGGCTTCTTCGAAAAGACATGTTTCTTCAACTGTATGACTCAATTATGCTGGAAAGGTCTGGCCAGTTTGTCCAATTTTGACAGGTTTCTGAGAACCACATAGCTTTTCACACGAAGTTCAGCTGAATATCTCATTTGGGATACTCTTGAACTAAATATACTGCACAAAGGCTGTCTAGCATTTCAGTTGGTACAATATTCGAGATATCTCCGTATATAATCCAGAAAGAAACTACTCACAAGGTTAGCGAATATACACTCATCTGCAAACTAATTTGGTTCTTTCGAGAGACTCACCTGGAACCCAGCTGAATCTCTTGTTTATCACGTTCTCAGGCATGGATGGATTTTCAGCAACCTTATGACTAGTACATTACAAATACTCACAAGGTTGCTTAGAACTTTTCGACAACCCACGACCGGTTTTGCCCTTCATGAAGCTCATTAACAAGCATAGTCCCCAAGTCTCCGCCAACCTTGTGCTCTACCCGAATTCCACATTTCGACAGGTAGACTCATTTGCATACTGTGAGAATATATTCGAATATCGCATCGGCCGAAACATGGGGCAGCCTTGGTGCAGCGATTTCGGTTCAGCAATATCATAAGCCGTATATTCGGGTTGGACTCATGTGAGTTCCACGTAAAAGCAAAATTTCTATGCAGGTGAGTTTGTCAAAGTTCGTGCAATTTGGATTGAAGTAAAACATACGGTTGGCAGAAACTCGGGGCCTGCTTGATGACCCCCTAGAGAGACGATGCCCGTCTTGAGCTGTCGAAAAATTTTCAGTGAAATAATGGATACTTTCCTTCAAGAAGTGTTCTGAATGGTCTTGAAATGCAGAAAGATCTTTAACCTGGCATTATCCTGAGGTACCAATTAAAAATTCATGTCTGTTATAATCTGATTTCTTTCATCATTTAAATGTGTAGTGACTTGGACCAATTATGGAGCAACTTATGAGACTTGTTGGTGACATCACCAAATACAGTGGCGATATTCCTGTTTAAATCGGAGGTACCGAAGTCTTGTTTGGAAACTTCACTGACGTTGATGTCACCTTAGGCAGAGATATTTTCTCGAAGCATTTCTCTTGTCTCGACTAGAATTACGGAGGAAACAACCTCTACCGGTACTGTGTGTCCTTTTCGGTTGGGCGATCCCCTGAAAAAGTGGAACGATGAGCACTAAAGACGCCCCATGTCGAGCTCTCCAACTATACGGAAGATCGGCTTCTGGTTCAAACATGTGGCCTCGTTACCGACCATGACAATCGCCTTCAGATTGGAGATGGTTCATAGGTAGAGCTGTCGGTTGTGCGCTTTCGCAGCTGTGACAAGTATGGAGTCAACGATTTACACAGCAAGCTTCGTCAGTCCAGGTTCTGACCAAAAACAATGGGACGGGGCAATACTTTTGGAGACCGAAGTGGTGAACTTTTTATACAGTTTAAGCGGATCAATTGAGATTAACTCAGCCTCCTGAAAATATGCAGAAGTTTGTCACCAAATGGTAACACAAGAGACTTAAACTGATTTATTCGCATTGTAGTACCTAATTGTGTGTAACATGCTGATCATTATATACGCGGAAATATTGCTTCAATAAAGACAGTTTGTAGTGCTTTCCTTTGTCCACTACTTGTGTATACTGGTGGCTAGCATAATGGGCACTTTCATTCTACCTTCTCTTTAAATCAGGCATAACTATTGCAACCTATTTTTTGTATTGAAGTTTACTGTGTTTTTCATTCGCGCACATATATGTAATTTTCAAATAACTTACCATCCAAAAACTCATAAACACTACTTTCTATAAGTCGTATTCAGGTTCGAGTCTGTTGTCACATAGCCAATGTGTTGCTATATGATGATATTTTCTTCTCTGCTTCCCCAACGTGTGCCATGAAAATGCGAGTTTCGCTGTGAAGACGTGCGGTATCAAGGTGAAGCGGTCATAATCAGCATTATGTCTGCATGGTCCAGTTTGCTGCTATTATTGTCCGCTGCAGTCGAATGCATGCGCCGTTAGAACGTCCACACCCACACCGATTTTGTTGGTTTACAATAGTACCGGTGAAAAACTAAAGTTACAATTGACGGCCTCTGGTCTAACCCGCTATTCTAGTCGAAAAAACGGGAATCTGAGGACTGATTTGTCTACCGGAATCCGGACGGCTAGGAGGAAACTGTATGGTTGGGCTGCAATAATAGTTTTTTGGAGGAGGTTCTCAGGTGTCATTAGAGGGTGCCATTATGACAAATACACACACAAGATCGATAGAGCCGGTGGACCGAAAACCCTTGAAGTTATGAGGCTATCGATTATACTTGTGCTTGGTAGTCGGCATCCCATTCGTATCACTTCCAAATACGTGCGTTTGGGATCTTCACCTCTCCAATGATATGTTTCACTGTGGCATAGTATTGCGCTGGTCTTTTGGCGGGCTGCATGCCATCCATGCTGTTTCAAATATTGCTTACTCGATTCTGGGTTAAACTGATGTGCATAATGCAGCAGCAACAATTATTGATCTGCGTTCGTCAAAGTCAGACTTGACATCGTCTCACATCTCTAAACCACTGACCTCTAATTGATTTCTTGTGGTTCTGATGTCCAATTCAAAACCATTTTCTACATAAAGGATTTCTAAAAAGACATCTTAGGAGTTCGGGTTTATCTGTCAAGTATATACAAGTTCCCCACGACAGTTGCTCAAATGTCCGACTGTAGGAGATGAGTGGCACATTTATCAACCAATTCGTTGAAGAGTTTCCTTCCTAAATTCATTGTCACTTCGGCTTCCTTGACCATACGTTCAATCTTGTTCATTTTGGTTTGCATCTCACGCGCAGCGCGTACCCGTTTCTCCACATCCGGCAGTTTACCATCGGGTGAGGGATTCAGAAAAATAGACACCATTCCGATATTTGGCATCGGCTGATTGGTTGTGTCGGAGCGAGCTTTTGTTCTGGAAGCCTCCATATTTGAGAGGTATTCTGCACACGAATTCTACAATTCAATAAGTTTTTTGTAAGTTAGCATTGTCGGGGCATTATCAACAAGCTCAATATCTCAGTACTCAGGCGTTAGCTCATGCCAAGATCAGCTGTCTTCTTCATTTGACTGTATTAGTTTGGGCTTCTTGGTGCAGGTCTTGGTTTTAACCATCACTTTGGGCACACATATAACACTATCAGTATAACTGTCGAGGTGTGATGCAGACACATCTTTAGCACGACCACATGTACTCAGGTTATAATTACCTGCCAGCTTATTCAATTAATTGCTTTACCTCAGAGTTCATGTGTGCTGATGAGTAAACTTATCGGATGTGTTGAAGAGGACTTGATGCCAATTAGAAGGAATTCAGCAAGCTGTTCATCACCATCCTTTATAGTATGAGAACCGCACAACATCTTAGATTAAAGACTAGCAGAATGCACCTATAGAGACTGGTTATGCACGTACTCATTAGCCCCGGTGCACATGGATGGCCACTACCGCTTTATCAGCAACATGTCTCATGACGTAATCCGGTGGCAATGATACATCTGCTTCAACTGATACCGAGGGACTGACGATATATCTAAAAATGGCTCTTGATATAACATACTGAATTTTCACAACTTGCCAAATCGTGGCTAGTTGGCAGTTTCACAAGATGTGTGTAGGCGCAATCTGCTGCCACGTGAATAAGTTCAAATATGTGAGCCAGAAACAAAAACGCCTCGAAAAGTAGACAAACAAATTAAGCAAATAAACAAATTAATCACATGAGCTATGTTTGTTCATGCTTTTTCCACTTTCTCTCCCATGCTCGCAGAACGTACTGGTAAGGGTCAGACGGTGCTTAAATGTCAGTAGATACTCACGTGCAAGATTCTGATGCCTCATGGGATCCGTAGTGCTTGAGGTTGTCTGCACTCTTCCTGTGTCCATTTCAGCACATCGATAGACTTCTCGCGGCACTTTTTCGAACAAATATTTAGAAGTGTTGAAAAGCAAAGGATGGTTTGCTGCTTGCAGATCAAATCTAGACAAATGATGCAGGCTGTTTCATATATCTAGCTTAATGATCCATGACAGAATTGATCACTGCTCCGATTCCTAATGTCACAAAAAATCGCCCCAATCTTTTAACTTACCTCAAGCGTAACAGCTTGTCGTATGACGAGTGAGCAATACTCGTTTATTCGGTTGAAACACTCCACTTGATGTACAGTTACTTCATCCAGATATTGTGCTCCACTGACGACGATTTGCATTCTATATCGCCGAGGTCGTTCCAGCTGCCACTTTTGTTTTCCTAGGAAGTAAGATCACAGATAGTGTGTTGTTTTAGATGCACCGTTCACATCAGTGTTGTGCAAACTCTTGCCAACTTTCATTCCATAAATTTCCGCTGAAACAATGAGCGAAGAATCGTTCCTTTCTCACACAGAGCTAAAAATGCTGCTTGTACTGGGGTTTGAATTACAGAAGAAGGAATTAATGCGACCAGAGGCCCGAAGGCCTAATCTGTCCGGCTATCATAGCACCAAGACTCGTTGCAGACTTGTGTACATCAGTAAGCATTTTTGTATCTATCTCAGTGAATCGCATATCCGCTTTCGATTTGCCCAATTTTCGCTGGGGGCAACTTAACTGGGAGACGGCGCGTAAACAGATACATATATTTACTGTTACATATATATATATATATATATATACAGTGTTTACACAGGTATATAAAGATGTGCTAAACATATGACTATTTACATGGAATGCAAAAGAAGGTAAACATTTTGCAGGGTACCAATGAATTTTTAAGGCATGTGATTGTAATAGACTTAATCAACTCCTCTGGTAACTGTATGACTTGCCAGAAATGGTCTAAACCTTGTTGTTCGTTCATGATGGAGACTAGCGAAAAATATTGATGCACTGACAGTGTTTTTCCGGCCATGTATAGCGTTGAATCATATTCGCTTAGTTCTTTTACTACAACAAAGGATCATCTAAATATATCTTCTGGTGTGTGGTAAAGCTCACACTTGATAGAATGCAGTGTTTTTGGAGAAGGTCCTCGCACTCTTGTCTTACACCGACAGGTACAATGAGAGACAAATTCGTGTTTTGGTGACCTCCTGGGGATTTCTGACAAGTGTCTTAGCGTCTGATAATCCTTTCATTTTAAGCCCTTGTTTCCTTATGAATAAAGCTGATGCAGGCTTAATCACAAATTAGGAAACGCGATCGGTAGTGTGTGTGATATTGCAAGAATGAAGTGGTATCTTGTCCCAATATCACGTAGTGGTCTTGGACAAACTGATAAGAATTTGCAACAGGGTGTTTTTTTGGAAAAAAGAGTCGCAAACCAAGTCGAATCTTCTGAGTAGCGATGCTGTACATTCTTGAAGGGAGTGATCATCATTGGGACAGCTCTCTTTCTCAGGAGTAGCAACAGATATTAGGTGCTTTTCAACAGTTCCATTTCTACTGTTCGTGTATCATATGAGAGGATGTTACTGTCGAACACTGCTGATGATGAACTGTGAGGAGCTGAAAAATTTGATATTCACTGGACTACACATAAAATCCGCAACTTTACTGCAATTGAAAGGTATATGCTGAGCAACTAGTCATTGGATTTCACTGTGTTTGTCAGATTATGTTCGACTTTTCGTTATTATATACATTTTTTTAGGTTTCTACACCCTAGGAGACTATCAGATGGTAGTTGTTCTACCTACTTAATTTCAAGTGGCCTGTACTTGACGGTAACCTACCTTTACATGTGTATATACCAATGGATTTCTGTCTTTACTGAGGTCCTCTTGGACGAAAATCATGCTCGAAGGCATTAACCACTTTGGAAACGAATTGTTCTGTTGTGATCAGCCATGTATCCACTTGGTTCCTCAAGGCTAGGGAGCTGAATACAAGAATTTTGTAAGCTGATTTTCGTTGGGGACGCATGAAGCGATCTTATTTGGAGTTGGGGTTTGTCTCTTCAACAGTGACACTTTTGAGTCAAATAGTACGGGACCAGAATAAAGTGATCTCATTTGGGAGTGGTCTGTCTTGGAGGTGGCTTTCTGTCAAGCGCGCCAGCCATCGGATTGCATTCTTAGCTTCCAACGATACACAAGGAGGTGTAGTATTAAGATAAATCAGGGAGTGCGATCCGAATTCCCTACTAGAGGATTCACCGCTTGAATTCATCTTTGTATTTTCGACTACTTCAATGACAGCAATAATACAACACTTCAGCTACTGGGCACCTTTCAACCGTGAATTAATGTGATACTGTAGATTAACGACTGAGTTCAGAAGATATCAAGCAAAATGCATAAACTACTGAGGCCACCAACGCAAGGAAACAACTTATCCTAATTTTTATGGAATGGTTCTTCAGTTAAATGAACTGCGTTCTGCTGGAGTCGGTCAAAGTAAACGGACCATTGCAATAGCTGTATGTGGCATACGAAACATTCAGTGGCTTTCTTGGCTTCTTATGGGCGGAATCAATAGTTCTCTAGTAACCCATACAGTAATTCTGGATTGTTGAATTCATGATATATACCAGGTAAATACTTGCTACCAGCCTGTTCGAAGGAGGTTGCGTTGAGATTTTGCGTCGATTTTGACGAAACAGGATTGATTTGTTGGACTGCTCCTATTAGATGGAAAAAAGCTGATCATGTGTTCAAGGCAACTGCACCATGCAAATATAGGGGAAAACTCTCGTAGATGAGGAAAAATTCCAATTTTTAAGGCCTCCATGTCACATCGCTCAGGAACACAGACCAAGCAGAACGAGAAAGCAACTGTGTTCTTGACCAGGATTAACCGACATAGATAAGGTAATCGATAATCGTTCAGCTGTAACAGTTCTTCGGTAGCTAGCTGTCATGCTACCCAAAGGAAGCATGAGGCCTGGGATACTGTCAGGTTGCCCAAGCCCACACAGGGAAAGTCGAGTGGCAGAGGTCGGGTTCGAATCACGAACTCTACAGTCAGTAAATTCGCCCTCTAACCACTAAGCTATCTCGCGCCCGATTAACTGACAATTTGTACGTGAATACTGTTCAATACTTGATTATTGTTTGATATATGAAGACGTAATGAATTTGTCTGCATTGAGTAATGAGTATGCCTAGGTACTGACTGATTTTAATAGAAACCTTCTGCGGTGATTAAACTGCCTAGGTACTAATTGATTTTAATAGAAACCTTCTGCGGTGATTGGGATCTAGCTATCCAGCATCCTTTTCACTCTAGTTCTCAAGTGGATGATGGATTTACGCTGTACAACACCAGGAGTGTGTCCAACATTCGACCTACCCAGTGCTTCTCTGAGTTTCAGTAGGGCGTTTGCTAAACCTCGGTCAAGTCCATTAGGGTCGCTTGTGAATTGTTCCATCCAGTGGGTCAAGTTCTTTTTGGCGCTTCTTAGGTCTTCCGCCAATCGTTCTATCGCCTGAAGTAAAGATCAGAACAGTGTAAATCATTCGGCCACGTTTATTCACGTTATTATTTCATGTTTCTAACTTAGCAAGACGGTTGGGTTTACCAGACATTTTCACTTACGGTCACGGTGGATATTGTACCTAAACTTACCTGCAATTCGTTTTGACTGCATAGGCTGCCTACCTCGACGCTGGTCATCACAGGTTGAACTGTGGAAAAAGTAAAAACGAGTTTCTTCAGTAGTAAGTACTAACTAAATGGTCCACAACACAGTGAAGATGGGTGCGCATCGTAATTATGATGAATATGACTAAGACTACTGTGTCCAGAAAATTAAATCCACTCCGTAAGGCGACAATTCGGGCTAAACAGATATGATTGCCCTCTGTAGTATATGGGTTGAATATGACGATGAGTTTGAGGGAATCTCCAAACTTCTTCGATATGTGATGTTATCCGTATATCATCAGCAAAATCCTTATTGAATCTATCTTGAACTCATGACAGTTTTCCCATTCATTTGCTTAATACTCCTATGTACTTTTGATCTCCACTTGCTCCGCTCATCTGAACCCGCCCCTCACCTTGCCGCGAAAGCGTTCCCGTTCGACACTTGCGCGTTAGCGTGTGTCTGCGTGAATGTGTTCAGCTGACTCACTTACCCACGCGCCTTCGTGTTCCCTCTGTTGAGCCTGCCCTGACTTGTTCTTCCGTGAGCTCCATGTGATCGCACCGCCAATCAGAACCACGGGACTGTCGTCGGAAGGGACGACAGCAACCCTCGACTACTGAGCCAACACTGCGCTTGCCGATGTTTGGTGTGCGGACGCTGACACTGCACTGCGCCGATCTGTGCACTTGCTGATGCTGGGAAAGTGGACAATTTTTGTTGTGAAGATTTGCTTACCCTTGTGTTAGTGATCCTATAGAATTTCGAAACCAGTTCTTCCTTTTGATATTCAGGATTGTAGAACCTACGCGTCACTCAAAGTTCCGTATCGGGAACCTCAACAATCCTTTTAGTCCGAATGAGCTGACTTACATGTTCTTTTATTATACCTCCTGCATTTCCGAAGACATCCATATCATGAACGTAGAAATGCGCATGTGTATTGGCGGGAATCGGAAGATGCCCCAGTGTGAAGTCAAGTTGTCTTAAGTTTGTTTATCTCCTAGTATGAAGACCGAGGTGTTCAGCTCGATTCAGAGGGTACTAACTTAGTATCGGATCATATGTAGAATCCTGTTAAGGACATGCAATATTCTTGTCTCATCACTATAAGAATTATTGTGAGATCTCATAAAAATTGTTGAACGAATTACAACGAGAAAGGTGAAAGGGAGTAGTGGACGTCTCTGCAGTCACATATGACGACATTAAGCCCATACTGTTATCCACTCACTAGACGACTAAAGATGTCGACCGAAAATGATATCACCTGCTGTGTCATCGGTTCTGACAGACTAATGACAGAAAACTCTTTCTCATCTCACAGTGGACTCTGATGCATGACTCCAGCTCTTATCAACCTGAAAATGCTGTTTGTCATTATTACTGATATGGTGATTCAGTAACTATTACCGCTGGTGTGGTAGATATTTTAAGCTAATGTGTCGCAGTGACCTTCTTCTACTATTTACTAACCAATATAGGGCATTCTGCAGACAGATTTAACGAATTTTCACAAACCGTACTACTGAAAAGATATTAAAAATTTTTCAACACTTCTAAACATCGTCTCTGAAAAGTAGCAACCCCGGATGTGATAAGGAATGAGTTTTATGTCTAGCTGACCCGATGCAAATGCCTAATGCGCTAGTCCACCCCCCAAAGTGCACGCCGGCGGCTGGAGAATTTCAAAGCTCATTTATGGGCGTTGACGATACACATGAAGACCAAATGGCCATGGTGACTGGTCGCTACACTTGAGTTCGAGCACAGTTTGCTGATTGCAACTCGCAGGTGATGAAATCCACCTCCTACGGCAGGCTAATGTAGGGTAAAGATAGGTTGTGTTGCTCTCATACTGCCCCACAAAATAACTGTTCATCACATTATGGTTGTGGCGTGTTTCACCACAAATTTATGGTCTATGCGCTTTTCTGGCACCACTTCAATGAATGTGCGGGAACATTAACATACAAGCGAATCTTTTCTACCTTGAACGTGGCACTCACCTGAAGTGACCTTAAATGCTAAGGTAGTCAAGTTTCACCCTCAATAGATTAATTCCGCGTCGTATGCGTGTGAACATGACCATGGTTCAACTTATTTGTTATTCTGTTCAGTATCGTTCATCGTTATTCGGCATTCGGTGGAGTCACCAAACAACAAACGAAGTGAAAATTTTATTGGTAACAAAATCATCAAAAATAAAATAGGATTTGGTCTACTTGACCGTAGTCAGTAGCCTGTGATTTGTAACAAAACTCAATGATGTTTTTAGCCTGATATTTCAAGTCTGTATTGCTTGTCTGACCTTTGCTCTGATAAACTTGGAGAGGACTTTGTGGTTTGTTCCATCCTTCTTCTGTGGATATCTTGGAAGAGAACAATTCTCTAAAACAGTCTTTCCAAAAGAGACGGCGGTCCTATACAAACTGAGCTTTACTCGGTTTTATGTAAGACGGGAAGAGATGCTTATAAGGGTGTACTTGCCCAGGTTTAATGCTAGCGTCTTCCAAAGCGATTGTATCTCAAGGACTGCACGAGGTTAGGTCGGCCGTCTACATAAATTGTGTCAAGGTCAACCATCTTGTCCAAATCGATCAGGGTTGTCTGCTGATAGCAGTGTGAGGAGATTTGTTAGTTCTCAACTGGGATTTCACCACGTAGAACCCAGTCCATACTGAAAGGTCGGGATAGGTTGTACAGCTGTTTCACACTTATTGAGAACCACCAGCGATGCTTACCTCTCAAAACTCAATGTAGTCTCAAGCACGTGACTTCCATGCTAGTAGTTTGAGCACCTAACCGTCCGACCACGATTGGCTTGAAAGCAGTATGATTTCTAGTGCCGTTTTAAAAAGCGCATTGAAATGCTGAAAATCTTCCTCGCATCTTGTGATTAACTAATTGTCGTGCCATGCCAGCAAAAAAAAGTAGTTTGTCTGTTCTTCTGGTCTAACGACTCAACAGTCCGCTGCACTATCGACCTTGGTTTCATGGTCTCTGCTTATCAAGGGCTCGTTCTGAGTTGCTTTTGCAGTTGCAAAATTAGTCCCTCATTGGTGCACATTTCCTGGGTGTTGTTGAGTTTGCTACTTTCTTCCTCGTCACGCCAAAGTTAACCTTTCTAATTTCAAAACGGTGTGTTCCCTTGATCACTTTGCACAATTCCTTGAGAATGATAGATACAGCGTAAAACTCGTAACCGATACTTAAGCGATACGTCGCAAACTGCTGAGGATGAGTTTAGTGAGTTTTGTTACTGTCATTACTCTCAATAGTATATTTCTCTGCTTCTACTGGTTGTTTGTGAAGCAGACGCTGTGGATGCAATATAGGGGTTTATATGCTGGTCCTGAAAGTGACAGTTCCTACTGAAAGGGCACTGAGTTCTATTTAGTTCATTGCTCGACTACCTGGTATTTAGAATAACTTTTCACTTTAATCACGGTTCGGACGAAAACAGGGATTCGAACACAGCGTTTTCATTGGCCCGTCAGTCTAACCATTACTTGACATCTGTGATCGGCATTTTTTAGTCTTCAGTCCTAGCCAATTCATAGTCTGAAACACTGCACTGCACTGCGGGTAAAACTGGAATAATATCTGGCATAACTGGTATCTCACCTACCTGATGATCTCTGTTCGTAGTCTGTCGAATAGTTCTCAGCAACCCTGTGAGTACTAGGGTACTGTTGAACAATGCGCCACTTGGTTCTGTGAAAATGGAACACTGCTCAGCACCTGTGTCTTATGGTCGCCAATTAGGATCGCCACTCACCATCAACTGACGGCAAGGAGCAATTCTACCGTGACTTTTTCATGACGTTTACTGTCGCTTACATTTATAACAAAAGTTCTCGTGCTTCAGCTGCCATCGGATGTCACCTTCGTCAACATACTTGGAACAAACCACGGATTACTTCAAAAATCAACGTCGAAGACACGACATAACAGCAAATGGTTTGGTTGAAATGATAACCCGACCTGCTAAAATTAGGACGAGATGCCAGCCAAAAACCGTTTTTTAAATTATTTTTTGGGCTTCATGATTTACTGACCGCATTTCAAGAAAGTAAATGGTGTCAAATGAGCTGTTTACGTGTTTGGGAGAATGCTTCCTGATCATTTACACTCACCTGGCTTTGGATGTATCGTCTGTTCTTGATGTGCTCGGAAACGCCTGCTCACCCAAGATTGCGATTGAGGGTTGACAGGAAAGCTGGCCATTATACACTGTGTCAGCTGTAATTTAAAAAATGATGGAAGACGGTCTTGCGTGCAGACTGTAACATACTTAATTCTTTGTTCATGCAGGAGCAGTTGGGTGAAACAGAACTTGGTCGACCTGACTTTAGTTATCTCCATTGATAGACCTTTACTAAACCCAATAATAGGACCTCAGTACAATGACATCCTTTGATGAAAAATGTCAATTGTAATGGACTTTTCATAATTACAAGTCACATACAACCCTATATTCAGAAACTATTTGATTGGGTGAGTGCTAAGCACGCTGCCCAAATTGAGATTGGGGAAAGCCACTACAACATGAGCCATTTAAGCTAAAACCTAAGGAACGTGTTTACGTAGTCAGATGAAAGCAAAATGGTTATTTGCTATCATCCTTAATCTCATCTATTACAGCACTTTTCCCCTTATTTGGCAAAACCGTACTGATAATATCTTTCAAGAATCCCGTCTCAGAACATGTAACCTTCCTATTCGACGACTTCTAAGTCACACCATGTTGCGTCTTGGGTTTTCCGTGATTACACATGAAAGCGTGCATAGTATTGAGTGAACGGGTTTCTCAAGTGCCAGTGTACTTCACAACCTTGGTGGTATCACACTCGGTGAAGCGCGATCTTGTTTCTTCTGATGAAGAAAATAACTGTCGGATGATTTACACGGCTTTCCAACGATATCGGTTCTAGACCGGCTTTCTACAAATCTACCTACTGAGGCAAAACAGAAAATTCGATAACTATTAGAAAATGATTCTTAGTCATGTATAATACGGCAGAACAAGATACTTTTTCTGTAGTCCAGTTCGCAAAATGTCCTCAATTTCAGACAGCAGCTGATGATGCGTTGACCTAGGCCTTTGAAATTCGATCGATGACGTGACCTTGACCAAACTGATGTAATTCATGCAGAGCGACTACATCATTAACCTTAGAGAATCAGCCGTCAGAAATGAACAACCACTCATCATTATTCAACATATAAGGCCCAGTGCATACCTGTGTATGCCGATCAGGCATTTGAGAGTGTCGTTGTACTTAAAGTCGTAATTGTTAGGTCTATGCCTTTCATCCTATTTTTATCGATGCGAAACCCAAAGCTTATCCAAATGCTCGATCCACCAAATCACTGAATTCAAAGGTTCAAAAAACATTTGAACATTCAAGTTGAATGCAGATTCCAGCTTTCTAGTTGTTTTGAATTGACTGGTAGGATTAAACATCTCCGATTTTTTGTGAAAGAACCATGTATGCGAGTAGCAACAAATATTGCTGGAGTAAGTGAGTATGTATGTGACTTCCGTTCGGTGTGTGAACTGCTGGACGTCCTTACAGATAAGTGTTGACAACAGTGGAACTCCGTAGCATTTCTGAACGCACTCAACAATGAGTGAATAGCAACTATATTTCTTTTTAATATGACACATTTTACAACTCAGGAAATGTCACATTTACACTATTCCAGAAGGTTAGTCAGTAGCCATGTGATTCAAAAGACTGATTTCTGGGCGATTTTTTGACGCTTTTTAGTTTCTTTTACTGGTACATGCATCCATACACAAGGCGCTCAGTGACAGTTTTACAATCAGTTGTTTTCCCTGGGCCCTCTCAATTATGCGATCAAGTATCTGTTGTTCTGCCACTTTTGTGTGCAAGATCATCTTAAATACTGATTGCCAGAAAGCTGCAAATGTGTCAAGTAGGTGGTCTGTTCTGTTATTTTCAACACAATGTCCAACAAAAGCCTAGTAAAAGCCATTGCAATGAAAAAGAGCATCTTTGTCACACATACTGAGGATTTTTTTGTCAAAGGTGTGTGGTGGAAAGGTGTGCTGGTGAAAAGCCAAAGAGGATACGGTTGATCGTAAAACTTGCACTCTGATGAAGTATTATCAGAGTTACTTAACACTATCGAGCAACTGCCACGACGTCTGGTACCAGATACTATCGGACGCATTAGCATTACGAATTCGTCTACTTCTTCAGCTTAGTAATGAACGTAAAACTGTCAAGATCTACCGGTTCGACTCCCGAAAATTGTTTGCTGCATTTTGTTGAATTCCCGTCTATCAAGTGAACTAGGAATCGGTTGAATGTGCCTACGTTGAACCCACCATTGTTACCAAATATGAAATTTGTGTCAAAACTACCAACTTGGATTTCGAATTTGCATACGAACAGGTCCGAACAACCGTCATGTGTGGCACTCCCTCATTAAAGTACTGTTCTTATTCGATTAATTGGCATTCAGCTGACCCTACGAAAAATACGACCCTATTAGTTCACGGTTGTCAGATTGTTCGATGTCACAGGACTCTGAGAGCAGCAAACGACTTTCTGCCATAGCAAATGATAGAAACGGCGATGGTGCAACGACTCGTTTGTAAAGGTTTTGTTCATGGTACTGTATCTCTAGAATTCTCTACACCGAATAACACTGGACGCATAGAAGTTGTACTGGATTTAGGTGATTCGCGAAACACCCATTCGAACCTGGAGCTTTCCCTACATATTGTGAAGTACACTTGTGGCTGATTCACAACGGTGAATGACTAGAAAATCCCTGGCAAATATTCGTGGGTAGCGTATTCACGAAACGTAAAGCTAATAATCAAGTAATCTTATCACTTACCCCAGCATCAGCTGACCAAGCTCACTCTGCACTGTGTCAAAAAAGATAATCCGGGCGAGATTCTGTTCAACAGAACACAAGATCAGTCTTAATTAATGAATATTTTGTACCAGTGCAACGCACGCGCAGCAATCAATGGCTGTCAGCTGCTCACTTGTGACTGGTTCCTTGGTCTTCTCAGATGGTCACAATCGATTGATTGTTATTGCACGATGGCACCACGGATGTGAGAATCTGTACGTGTTGATTTTTTGGACCACGGCAAACCAATCGTTTCACTGTACCGACACCAAACCGTTTATTTTGCTACATATACCGATTGTATTCAAACAGTTCGGAATACGCGAGTCAAGTCAATAAGTGCTCCACATGCTCTGGTGAATTCGGACTTACAAAATTACAGTGACTTTTGAAAAAAAAACAAATCTGTGAAGCAGGAAAGGATGAAACATATATTTGTTGTTATGTGTAGACTATCCAGCTAGGAGCACCAGCTCAAGTCTATGGAGTTGAATAGGGGGCAATGGAGCTACGGGAGGTTGTGATGCATGCGAACGTAAATTTGAATTTTCACCGAATTTCGAAAGTTGAAAAAACTTTTGACAGATAGGAGTTGTAACGATCTTTGCTGTGCTTACGACCACTTCATCTAGAAACATGCTTCGCGGATCGGACATTGAAGTAAAAGTGCACTTCAAGGAATCCGGTAAATACTGCAGCGGAACGGTAAATCCGCTGTATCAGTATTTGGTAGGCATGACAGATTCACATGGTCTACAGCGTTCAGGTATCAAAGATGATGCTTTCAATGCATGGTTCTCTCTTTATTTTCTCAAAGCAGCAGTACAACTAGTGTTCCATGCATTGAATTGTTCTGACACCGCCGTTTGTGTATGAATGCCCTTCTTCCTACGTCCTTCAGATAAGCAAATAAAGCTGTGATGACCAGAGTAATCGAACCTCGTTATCTCGTTCCAGCTGACTAACTGAACTGCGCTCTTGGATTGTGCATCAAACAATTGTATTTACATTGTAAAATTCAGCTTTTCAGAAACAATCCCAAACCTGGAAATCATTGAACAAAAAAGAGGCACCAAAAGTGTCAAAACAAATGCCATTCCGGAAACGATGAAAAACAGTTGTATTCCAGAAAAGAATTCTAGTAAAACTCCCCAGAACAAACCTCCAAAAGAGGCACTGATGCCAACCAAAACGGCATTCATTATTCCATGCATGCTGGCCACTATATCAGCCTTGGCATGGTCAGTACGACCGGCGCGTGTTGCTTGATCAAGGAGTGTGTGATACATGAGGGGAAACCAACAACCAAGGAAACTAGAAGAAAACAGCAACCACCAGTAGTTTCGGGTAAATGCAACTACAAGGTTCTGCAATGCAACCAGTAAAAATGCAAGCGAAAGGCACCAATTGTCCCCAAGATAAGTCAGCACTGCATTTGACAACAAAAATCCAGGGATTTCCGCAGATAAAATGTTTACTGTTGTAAGGATTCCAAGAAAATATGGGGGCAAACCCAGATGTTTTGTGAGGATGAGGAATGCGTAATCATTGCTGAAAGAAAGCAGAATTCCTGAAAAGAATGAAGTGACTATACACCGCAGCATTAATTCCGATCGGAAAGCCAATTTTAACACATGAGTAATCTCCAGCTCGTTAGCGCCCACTGAGACTTGAGTCATTCCACCGAACAGAGCTGCTGCAAGAGCGAAAGCACTGCCCAACATAATTGCCGGAAGATAGTCTTGTGAGGGTTCAACAACGGTGGGAAATGAAGAAGACGGTCGAGATGATGCAGTATAGTGGGAAATGAGAAATCCGGTCACTGTGACAGACACCGCATAACCTAGCGAGGCAAACACACGCGACCGACCATAGAGATGTGCATCGCGCTCACCCAGTGCGGCATGTGTGACCGAGTCAAGCAAATTTGTGGTCGGCATGAAGAGACCGTTGAAGATGGAGCGCATCAGGAGAGCTATTAAGAATGTTGTCGTGGTTGCGATTGCTGAAACGTAGCAGAGGTGCAGTGAATTTAGTACGGTTTTATTTATCGTTGCACAGCACAGATATTTCGTAGGTTCAGTATACTGATGGCAAATGTTACCACATAAGGCGAATTATGATACAGAAATCGATATTGAATCGATGGTGAAAAACAGGGAAAATACTGACAATTCATAACCAAAACCCAGGTAAATAAGTAACTCCTGTCTTTGCTTATGACGTCCTAACACAGACCCTGAAAATCACCTAGACCTAAGCTATCATTATGTGAGTTTGCTGTTTCAATTCCATTGTATCTGTAACTATTCACAATCGGACAGGAAAAGTTTTTTCGAAGAATGATTCGCCATATTATTTGTAGAGAAATACTGGTTATATAGTTTGTGGACACACATTAGAGACAAAATCTCCATTACTGGCGTTACGCAGACACCGTCTCAAGATGTTCATCTCTGAAATATAAACGAAGTTTTCAGTGTACTTGATTGTCTCGTAGTCTTCATTATCATTATCACTGTCAGCTGTAAAAACCGTGTACTTGTCGTACAGTGGTCGTTCACTGATGAGTTGTGGAGGTGGGATGGGTAGCTGCGCATTGGAGGCGGGGTCTGATAAATTGGTGTCTAAATACTGGTCTGTCAGGGGACATTTAAGTGAACTATGCATTGAAGACAACAGCTTAGATGCAAGAGCGTCACTCAGGGCGTGGCTGGTCCACGTCTGACAATGTCTCTAACCATTGATGTGTCCCGTCACTGGGTCTTCATCCGGGGAAACGGCAATGACGAGCGCAGATGAGCTTGCTGGCGACGACTGTTTTTACTTCGCTGCCAAGTCGTTGTTTGACCACCTCTGGCTCGTTTTCCCCCTTCATGTGGTTGTTCAAAATGAACCCTTCGAGGGAGTCATCAGGCTGGCATACGGAGCACGTGGCCAAGCCAGCGTGATGCAGTGTGATCTGTTCAGCTATTGTGGGTGAGTTATTTCTTCCGAATGCCGTTCGACGTTCTTCAGCATTGTTGATCCGATGCTCTCACCAGACTCCTGAAATGCTCCGAGGACATCGGTGGGCAGACATTGGATGTCTTTTGACGTCCTCGGCTCGCAGCGGCAGAGTTTCTGATCCGTATAGTTATATGGAACGCACCGCAATCAGATGTACTTCAACAACGTTAATCCATAGCTCAGATCTGAGGAGAAATTGTGCAAATTTGGGCACGACACGTTGAAGCTTCCTCAGTCAGCTTCACAAAATATTAAGCATAAATAATGCCCGGCTTCATTCGGTTGTTTTTAATAAAACGTAGAGTGATTCTTCAGAAACCAAAGCCTTTTGAATACACTATCTCAGATTAATTGTGTCTATCTGGAAACAGAAAACGCGCAACACCAGTTAACAACACCATGTTAACATGGTCTCATAAATAAACAGTTCAACAAAAGGATTGTGGTGATGCTGTTGACGATTTAAAAACCAGCGTGAAAATAACCTCGTCTTATCAGGTTTTGCAGGTTTGGATGTTAGCTAAATTTGGCGGCTTGTTAAGTAAGCTATAGCTGGCGTAAGCATAAGAATCCAATGTTGTGTCTCGGATTAAAATCACCTCCGAACTAAGCTGCTTCCACTGGCTTATCGATCTCAAGACTGGGTGCGTACATGCAATGAAATAACAAAAAAAACTAATTGGTTTGCAAATGAGTGTATATTCGCTAATTTCATGCAATTTGGTTTCAAGTAAAACATAAGATTGACGGAAATCCGGGGACTGCGCCTACCTGATGAGCCCTAAAAAGAGTGAAACTGTCGACGAATTTCCAGCAACCCTCATGAGTAGTACATTACAAAGGAATAAATGAAGGTCACAGTTTTTCCTTGGTCGACAGGCTGTATGTACTGGCTGTTGAGAACCCACTGCATACGTTAGTGGTATCACTGCTGGCTTTATTACTGCAAAATCCAAGTAGAAAAACTGCTTGGCATAAAACCATTGACTAAAAACGAGTGACGCCTGGATGAAATATGGCGAAACTGGAAGGTATTGATTATTAGATGGGTGGTCTTGGTATGCTGTCCCGGTTAAACATAGATCAGATATTTTTATTGTTGCGCTTCCTTTTGTTGTGATGCATTTGATCGTAGTCACGTCGAAAACGGCCAACGGATGAGCGACGAACTAAGAGCACTCGCTGCATCAGGTATTTCATACTTATCCATTGGTTATTCCATGCATATCGTTACTCCATAAATACTGCAGACTCGTACTCAGGCTCATGGTAGTGGGTATAGTTGGATCGGATTCTGTTGGAATCGCACTTGAACCACTGGACTCAGAATAATTAGGAAGTAAGAAAATGGAGAGCAAAATTATTGGTAAAATTACTGATTGCAAGTCCATACATGCTTTGACTGGTTCAGTCAAACTCTAGCAAAACGAAATGCTGTTGAATTACCGCTCATGATCTGCAGAGGGTTAAGGAAACTTTACATGTGGTCGGCTGAAAGTAATGTATCTCCAAGCTATCGTAGCAAAGTATTAAACGATAGTTAATATGAACTGAAAGTGTTCTGATGATCATGTACATTTGCCAAGAAGGTTTTTTCACGAACCTCTTTCTTTCATAGCAGCACATTTGTCTTCTAGTTAAGGCTTTGTTTCAAATCGTTCAGCCTGTAGTAACAAGGTTGGTGTGAGAGTTTTTTCCGGGTTTGGAAAAGCCGCTGGACTTTATACAAGCAAGAATATCTTCAGCTGGGATGTCAAGTTTTTTCTGAACAAATGTCAAACAGCGGTACGGACAGCGACGCCAGCTGAGAAGTACAGACACCGTGAAAAAGCTGGATTTAGGCGAAAAAAATCTGGATATTCTTACACGATAAACAAGTTCACCACTATTTCTCAACCCAAGGACCGCCTGATGGTAAGCTAAGCTCAGGGGATTTTCCGCTCATCGCCATTTCGAGCAAAACCATTATGGAATTGATCATGCCAGTAGACATCAGATTTAAGCTCAACATTCTTCGACCCCACAGAAACAAACGAATATCGTATTAACTATTGCGAGACCCTGAGGAGTTTCAAGAAAGCCTGCACTAAAATGGACAAACAAAATTTCTCAGGAATGTCTCGTCACAAGCTGGATGTGTTCGGAGTCGAATCTCCGAGCCGTTACCCTGTGATGATAGGCTTAGAATTTTGATGTTTTGAGCTTTGTTACCTCCTCCACTAGAATATGGGTATAGTCGGCAGTCTCACTCTTTTTAAACCATCTTTCAGAGAGGCATGGATCCATTTCTTCAAGGATGGCGTGGACGGCGTTTGCTGTGGCAACCAGTTTGAAGTTCAGTCGAAGGTAAATGAATAGCTCCTCTTGTTCACAAGTGAGCAGTTCTGAGGCAGTGTCGGAACGATAATTTGATCGTACTTAAGGGATTTGCCTACCGATAATCGCACTACTTGGTAACACTCAACCAAACTAGAGCTACTTTACTGTCAGAGGTGAAAAATGTTTTTTAGCGTTTGAGCATACTTTTCTTCTGTCTGGTTGGGTCTGTGGGAGTGGAATAGCTTCAGCAACTTTCGTATTCCAAATCGACAGAGATCCTCGCATTGCTAACTGTAATCTTTTCGTTACTTGAGAACGAGGCATAGAATTGTTTAGCTCTTGATCCGCTGAATAAAATATCTCCTGAGTAGCCGCCAAGATCGTTTCCGGGATTGTACGATCAAAAGCGGTTTAGCACGGATGAGAGAACAGATAGGTCAGTGTTACAGTGCAAACTTCTGTGAGGTTATTCAATTTCCACTGAATCCGATTGAGTATTATTATCCGCTACTTGGAGCAGTCGGATATCTCCGCTTGAATCACTTGATCACTTAGGGTCCAAGGATTATTCTTCTCAAGCCTGAAGACAAACTGTTAAGATATACCTGTTAGGCGGTTCACTAAGTCGTCAGCGGACTCTGTATAAACAGTCACAACTTCTTGATAAACCTTTTAGTCTCAACAAGATTCCAATAGTATCCACTTGAGATATATACTTTTAAATCAGACGATGAAGAACTGACTTGAATAACCCCATGCGTGTCCGTTTCGTGGAAGTTTAGTTCGATGGTAGCAACCACATACATTGTTGAATCGATCTTCATGAATATGACTGGACCATTTACGCCTCCGTAAAGTCTTCCGGTCTTTAGTGGGGAATTACTTTCCGCATTCATCCTGACTGAATGCACATGGCCTACATGTTGTTCTCGTGATCTTTTTCTGGATTTTCAGTAGCAAATTAGCAACAAACATTCACCAAAATACTGAAGTTAGTAATCAGAATTGAAGCTAAAACATAAAGAGGCTTTTACAGAAGGGATGAGTTCCACGAAAAGACAAGATGCAAGCTAAGGTATTCTAGCTTTAATCCTGGTCGTGTTAAAGAAGGGACGCCTAAATAATGGGTTCATTTGTGCATACTCGTTTATTTAGTGCAATCTGAAGTGTAGTACTATGATGGATGCATTTTTCATTGCTAAGTCACACTATTTCAAGCCATCACTGCAACTTTTATGAACACTGTTGAATCTGACTATTCAAACACCAAATTATCGTTTACGTTGAATGCTGCTCGTCATTCTTGACCAAGCTGCAGTAATCGGAGTTAGGCATTCACATACAATTGCAGTAGAGACTGAAATTGACTGATGTGGGTGCTTTGCACAGTTTTACTTTTGTTAAAGACGTGATTCGGTCTACTTCACTTATCGATGTGCACGCACATCCGGTCACAGAGAAAACCGATCTCTTAGTATACATGGCACACTCAGCGACTGACTTTCCAAAAGTAATTAATCGACTTCCCTGACAGTTAACGGGTCACGTGACTCCTAACAGCATGTGACCACAAGTTCATCAAATGCGAAGCCGGACAGTCTTAGGAATGTTTAAGGGTGATCCGCACCGAACATAGATTCTGCGGTCGACGGAACAACAAACTAGTGAAAATTTCTTCTGGCTAAAAATTGTTCTGACATGTTTCAGTCAGTTCGGATAAATAAGCCTTTTCTCATCTTAACGATCTGGTACTCGTTAAATTAAATGGGGCAGAAAGGTGTGGTTAGCTGGATTCGGTACTTTCCCATCCATTGAGTGAAACGGCTTGTACAGGTTGTCCTGCTTCGGTTACCTTTAACTTTAAAAAAACTTTGACCTCTGTCGCTGTGGTACTCACCTGGTATTTTGTTTCGTGGTTCATGGCACAAGTGATCGTGATTGGGACCAATAACTGAACAGATAACATTTACAGGTATGTTTTGGCCGGTAGAGCTCTGGCTTTTCATTATCATCGATGACGTTTCAGCCAAATAGAACGCTTGGTTTGATGTGGCGTCGGCTCTGCCGAGAACAAAGTTCACTGGATTTACCATAGTGGTCACATTCGAAAAGCACTGTCGCAGATAAGTAGGCCAGCAGGTAACAAAGCTGCAAAGAAAGTGCACTGGTGAATACGTCAACTCTGCAAGGGGAAGCCATTGGACAAATAACAGGTCTATTCTCAAACTAATAAATGTGCATTGGTGTTGCAGAGGCAGTTTTTTTGAAGACGATTTCCAGTAAACTAACTTGGACCCTTCAGCTTAAATTTCATTAATTATCGGTTCATTAAATTTAGTGTTAACTGAATCGTTCTAGTTGATTGTCTTGTTTCTCCAAAACATGGCACAGTGAATGTGCGAACTGTTACGTTGAGCTGTTGAGACTACCTAAAATGTCTAACACTCGGTGGGACGGGCTTTTTCACATATTAGTCATAGGTTGTGGGATTTGGAGAATTCATGCTCACATCACTCTTGTTTAAACAGTCTTCCTCCTGTCTTGGCGCGGCTATTCTGCTGAGTCCACGCCAAAGGGGCAGAGTATTGGACTAGATTTTCACCTAATTAGAGCTCATCGGCAGTGCACATCCTTGGCGGTGCTGGACTCTGAACTCTGGAAATCTGACATGCCAGGTGATTGTGTTACCACGACTACGCCAGTGCATGCTGGACGCACCTGAATTTTTACTTCTGAACAGGCGAACGCGTGCACACTTGGGCGAGGTGAGTTGCTCGGAGTGTGGTTTGCCCGACCTATCGAACAACGACCCAGTAACTTTCTTGACTGCGACAATCGACTACCCGCCGTCAGGACTTCACAGTCAGGTAGCACAGCCGGTGATTGAAATTTGCTTGACAGTTACGGTCTTGTTGTAGTTGTTTTCTGGATTTGTAGAGCTCATATCACTATCGATTGAACAGTCATCCTCCGTCCTGGAATAATTATGTCACTCAAACACGGTCGCTGAGCTCTAATAACAGTGAAACTCGAGTCCAGTGCTTCACCCCCATGGTGTGGACTCAACAGAATAATTGTGCCAGCAGAAATAAAACGACTGTTCAGGTGAGAGCGATGGGAGCTTCAGTAGTTACATATGTTACACGATAGATCTTGCATAATATTTACGGTTTTGTTCCTACTCACTCCAGAAATTTTTGATCCTAATCTTACCTTTCTGCTGTCATAACGAAGGTTCTTGCGACGGTCAGATGCAGTTTAGACATGCTATCTAGAACGATTTTTGTGTGATGGGGTGATGAGGACTTCAAATTGCTAGTCGGTTAGTCAACAGTTCAGCTAAATGGATGTAGTGACAACTGGGAGGGAGTGAATCCACGTCCATATTCAGATGCCGACAATCTCACCGATATACGTTCAAAATGGGCCACAGTGTTTACACTATGCATTTTTTCTCTGTTGAAAAACTGGAAAAACCTAATCTGGATAGATGAAGATGTTAAAATTTAGTGCTACTCATATACCTTTTGTGCGACTGTCTCTTTTGTTTTACTTGCTAATAATGGTAAATCCAGGGTGTAGATTCACTTCGTTTTTCCTTGATTTATCTCTTCGTTCGAGCCGAGTCACGTATGCGCTTCTCAACATCTTCTTTGGAAGCATTTGTCACTTTTTCAATGTCCACCTGGTGTGTCAAATTTTACCTTTCTACGGCTATCCCCGTGGTCCGGAGTCATCAGCTGTACCCTCTTTGGAGGCATTTGTCACTTTTTCACTGTCCACCTGGTGTGTCAAATTTTACTTTTCTACGGCTATCGCATGGCAGACGTCCCCGTGGTCCGGAGTCATCAGCTGTACCGTTTTCCAGAGCAAACTATCGGACTACAATCTTTTGTACTTCCTGCATTTTGGCACTTGTGTATTTTGTTTACTCTTTCAGCAGACTATTACAATCTGGCAATTCAGAAAGCTGTCAGCTAGTTCACTGAGAATAAACTTAGTAAAAGGACGTCATCTGATTAAAAAGTAACAGCGTCATAAGCCAATAAGAATCAGATACAAATGAAAATAATTTGAGCACAGTAAAATACACCTAGCTTCCCGCTGCACTAATTTAAGAAGGAAAGAGTCAGGTTCATGATGGGTACCACTTCTTGTCAGAAATTGTCAGCAGTTAACGAAATATCTCGCTCCGGTTGTCCATGTACTGAGGTCAACCAGCTACCATTCTTGTCGACCAAAAACAGGTGTTACGTCTATTGTGGTGAAAATATTTACAGTTGAACTTCAACTTGCAAGGTCGGAAGGCGATAAATATCACAGTGTCTGGAACAATCACTTTAAAACTGCTAAGCTCGTCATTCAATGTTCTTTTATATCAGGAATATCTACCTCCTTTTGCAGGGGTTTACTTTGAAGCAGTAGTTTACTGTATGTAAAAGCTGTTCCATAGGTTTACTTGATCAGTCTTCTACCCAAAAACGAAAAACAGTGAAATTTACTGTCATAAAATTCATAGTGTCCTAAATTCAGGGCTAATTAATCGTTAATAAGCATAGAGTGGCTTGATCACAATTTCCATCCTGCATTAACATTTACTAAACCTAATTGGGGGAAAACCTGAAGAGAGTGAAGGAAGTGTGTATGTGGGGTGAGACCGTATCTTCAAACGGAGCACCATTGTGAAGATGTATCGCCAAGCTCGTCCTAGTTCGAAATGCCCCTCAAATTGGCGTTAACATACCCTTAAAAAGTGACAACTAGTGAACTGACTCACGAGGCGCTATGGAGCTTCAAAAGACAATCAGCGTAAGTGATGCATGGCGATGATATTACAGTTTTTAAGTCGAAAATACACTCATTTGCAAATTAGTTTGGTTTTCACAAGAGACTCAACTGAATCTCTCGTTTATGATATTCTACAACTGACAGGCCACCTCATGTTCCGCTTGGCATGATATTCGAGATATGGCAGTATGTTTTCATAAAAGAAACTACTCACAAGTGGACTGTCGAAGAGTTTTCGGTAACCTTATGAGTAGTTTCCTTTGTGAAAAAGTTTTTAATTCGCTTTTTCTCCCTAGTTATTCCTAACTGATGCTGGGGTCGGTTATTTGGTATACACATGAAATTTGTAAAAACGATATAAACGAAAGGTTAAATTGTTCAGGCCATCGTCATCAAATATTTGGATTTTTTGTGGTCAGCTTTCGATGAAATCATAAGAAGTGTCATTGGAGTTGAAAAACCGCTATCAATAGTGGTTCAAAGTAGGAAAGTCTCTTTTCAGGCAACAAAAAGTCAGAGGATTTATCATGCTCGGACCCAGCAAGCACAGCTACACTACCAACTATCTAAATCCAAATTCATTTCTGCCACTGCGCAGCCAAAGCCATGAGATACTTTAGTACTCGAAAGGAATCTCCTTTACTTCGCAAGTTGCAAGTGTTTTCGGGAGCTTTTGTGGTATCGGAAATTCCGGCCTACTTTGAACCAATTTTTCGTATTCCAAAGAGTCCGTCTGTTAGCATGACGGTCGTGGTTCACAAGTGTCACACGTAAGCATGTTTTTAGCAATAACCAAGATTTTTGCCTCAAGGGTTGTTCAGTGCAAGGGTGCCACCGATAGCTGGATCTTGGTTCAACTAAGTGCAATCTAGGCACCTACTGGTCTATAAAGTGCGCGTTTTTGCTGCTTAGTATTGCATAGTAAAGCAATCGGTCGTCACTTCCTCGTGCAGCATTCAAGTTGTTCACATGGTTGAGTGATTCACACACCTCATGAGCAATCAGAGGTTGCTTCTCTATGCTGTAGCCTTAGAGGCCTTCGACAAAATTTTCCTCACATGCACCGACATCTTCCTCATTAGATAATCAGAATTTGTATGTTAACACGACACTACTGATGGGTTCCAATGGGTACACAACTTGAGTACGGTGCTCCCACTTTGTGTGTACTGTACCGTCTACCTCGGAACCCTGAGCAAACATTTTTCGTTTGGCTCCCTTAGGTGGTTTGGTTCTGCGTTATCATCGCCATAGCAACCGAAGTAAGCCTGTCTATAATTGTCGTCACGGTTACCAAAATCAGAACTGGATAACAGACAAACTATCAGGTACGAGCATTTTACTTAAAAGAAGACAGGTCAAGTCGACCAGCCAATTTAAAAAAGACTAGTATACCACTAACTGTTCACATAAATGGAGAGAAATTCAACAGCTTTTTGGACAGATGTATCAAGCTAAATACTAGTGGGGTGTGTGAAAGTTTATGGAGAGCGAAACAAAGAGTGTAAACGTTCAACCTGAGGGAAATCTAACTTCTGGTGTTCTAAATCACTGACAACTGAATTCTTGCATGCCATCCTACTAGGTCTACCAACATGACACCGTGTATACCTCTATAAGTGGGAAGGAAACTGCGAAATTTTCCTGACGAAGTCACTCCAGGATTTGAGGAATTTAGTCCATTAACTTGATTCCCTGTAACCACGTTTGGTTTTCTAGGGGACTGTAAAGATCTCGGGGGTCTCAAAATTTCTCTAGCCCAAGAGACCTTTCAAAACATTCCCCACCAAGTTCATGTGGTACTACGAATCAGTTGGCGGAAGGTAGGATGTTCTTTAAGTATTCGGCTACTCTAAACTGCATATTAGGTGTACACCATTTCGCCATTTACCAAAGACGCCCGAAGGTTGCTGAAGCGTTTTCCGCCTTGAGCGAGAAACAGTTTGGTATTAACCATGGAAAGAGTTAACAAATTATTTAAACGCGGCTTTACTGAGGCTCGTATTGTCTTTTTGAACAATCGGCAACTGAACATATTAGATGGTAGTATTTCGTTGAAAGCCTCTAAGTCCGTCTCCAGTTCGCCAGTTTGGTACCATGGAAAGAGTTAACAAATTATTTAAACGCGGCTTTACTGAGGCTCGTATTGTCTTTTTGAACAATCGGCAACTGAACATATTAGATGGTAGTATTTCGTTGAAAGCCTCTAAGTCCGTCTCCAGTTCGCTTACTTTGTTTCAAGTAAAATTCCACCGTAATAGAAACAGAATACATTCCAACATCACTAAGGTAGTTGGTATTCGTAATCCTATAGGGAGACACTCTTTCAGGCAATAACAAGCAACATTCCCTTTTTTAGAAGGACAGAAGGATTGCAGAAGAACCGAAACGGTATGGTACAGATTGGTACCATGTGGACTCACAGGACGATTGCGTCTGCGGTCAAAGCAAGTTCAAGCGAGTTCTGAATTCAAAACTTGATTAGGTCTTTAAATTTGTGATGCTAAATCTACTTAGCTAGCGCTAAAAACGCGAAACAGGTAGTTGATTTTCAGCGACACCTCCTTGGTCTCTTCAATTCCTGTTGTAAAGAAAACACGTCGACATCTTGAGCGTTTGTTTAAACAGCATCTTACCAATCTTGGTACTTCCTATTCGACTGAAGAAAACATGCACTAGCATACCGTCCCTAGTTCGCTTGAATCTTACATCTACATCAAGCTACTGTGGAGTATGCGTACAAAACTTGCACCGATCGGAAACTCGAGGCCACGACTCTCTGTAAAAGTTTAAACAGAGCTAAACGTTTTATCAAAAATCATCACTATTATTAGGAACACTGTTTACACACGAAAAAAGAGGATGGCATCCTCAGTATCAGCCAACTGAACTTTGACACAGCTTGTGACCACAGAACACACCATTTCAGTTTGCATCAAAATGATTTACTTACTAGCTACTGACAGTAGCTTTTAACGTTTATTTATTTCGGTTTATTTGTTTGTTTATTTCGGTTCTCTTTACCGATCGCATGCTGTTGGTATTTTATCAATAGTGTACTCCAAACAGAATGCACCTGCACCAGACTACATTCGTTTAGTTGCTTATGTGATTTAGTCAACGTGTGAGAAACATGGGAACTTTATCTTACTCTCACGCATGTTGAACGCGCTTTCAGTAGTATATTCGGCCTGAAACGTTGTGGATGGACAAAGAAATAGCTTCCACGATTCCATATCTGAAATCCACCGTTCGGTAAGTACTGTTTTTGATCAGACACTGTCTGTGACAACAGTTCTCCCGTAGTTCAAGAAAACAGAGGATCAACCGCTGAACTTTTCTACTGCAAAAAAGCCTCACCGGAGCAATACACTAAGCCAATAGGTGGACGGTAGAGGCAATAAACATGATTCTTTTTTGATACTAAATGGATTACTGTTAGGAGGTTAACCGTCTGTGCCACTTACGGACAACCAAAAACCACGAAATCCTTCAGGTGTTTTTTGCATTCAGCTGTAGTTGAGGAATGTCCATGTGGTAAATCTATCTCATGTGGCAGATCCAGCGTTTTGCATACCGTCGTGTGATATCCACTTTTTGACTCACAATCCATAATTATCTAAGCTTTAACCGCAGCGCATGTTTTTGGTCACAAAATGTCTGTTACGAAATCCCGACCAGACGGATATTTTTCACCCATGCTTACCTTCGTTTAGGATCCCCATCTTCATTCCGAATCCATTTTGAGATAAACGTCCCGTCTGAATAAATTCTGCCTTCGTAGAAAGCGTTCCAACTTCTGGGCAGAAATCCAAAAGACAGGACCACTACCGCACTGATTATAGTCAACCAGAAGAGCACCTACAAGTTAAATGTGGCGTAAAAATGCGTAACCGTTTACTTATTTCACTTTGGATAGCGCATATGCAAGTTGTTTGGGTTGGTAATTCATGTGACTTATGGCGTTTGATCAGGACCGAAAGTGTTCGGTTTTCCGGACAGAGGAAATGATTACAAATTTAGGGGTGACAAGGCATAAGAGAAAATACGATAACGTTGAAAGACTTGATCTAGGTGGTGACCTCTTGGTGGTATGTTGGGTGTACTGGTATCACATCCAGTTACATACCACTTTGATTTTCGCGGAAGACCCGACTGAAACTCCCTTGGTTATGATGTGTGGTACCAGGCCGCTTCATGTTTTAGTTGGTACGACATACCAGCATCCTACTACATTGTATAGACGTAACACACTACACACAAAGTTATCAGTAATGTTTGGCAGCTTGCGACCGGTTTCGCCCCTCTGGAAGCTTATCGGTTAGGCACTGTCACCGAGCTTTCCCCAAACGCATGCTCCAGTCGTTTATAAAACAGGTTTCGCCTTTCCTCATATCGTTCTACGCTTTGAAGATGAGCGACTTGGACTGACAACTTAAGAGTAGGTTATCTGGGAATCTTCTATCTCAGAGATCGTCCCAACCGGAGACGTAGGGCGGCCTCCGTGTAGAGCATCCAGTTGGAGAGGAACAGCATGCAAAAGATATTCGGCTGAGACCCAATCGAGCCTCTAGTTGATGCTAAGTTCGTTACAACTGGGCGGATTTTGTCAAAACTGTTAACTGTTACGGTTCTGGACGAATAGCAAAGGGCAATCAAGAGCCTCCATTATCAACTGACTTGCTAATGAACTTCAGGAAACTTGCTTGTAACTCCTGGAAAAAGGCAAAATCTCCCAAACAATAAAACACAAACGTGACTTCTGCGAATGTTGTTGTTGGTCAACTGACTTGCTAATGAACTTGAGGACACTTGCTTGTAACTCCTGTAAAAAGGCAAAATCTCCCAAACAATGAAACGCAAACGTGACTTCTGCGAATGTTGTTGTTGGATTAACACGAGTTTCTGAACGACGTTTTCTTTGAACTACTCCCTTTCTTCACCAAAGTGATATGCGACTGAGTTCATTTCTCTAACTTCATGCGATTTGGGTTCAAGTAAAACATAAGGTTGATGGAAACTCCCGATGAGCCCTTAGAACGGCAAAGCCGGTCATGGGCTGCCGTAAAGAATTCTGTAGCTTTATGATTAGTGTGTTAAGTCAAACAGTTTTGTAACGAAAACTGCTAGTGTTCACAGCCATCTTTTTCTGGTTGCTACGGTAAGTCGTGTTACTATTGTAAGCCGACGAACAACGTTAAAGCACCTCTTGTATTCTCGCGCAAGCTAAAACTCGTCTCAGTTTCAATATTACGACAAACAATCCAAATGTTCGCTAAATAGTGGACAGTTTCGCGACGTACATCTGGGAAGAACTTTTTCCACCCTCATCCTTTTTCTGTACCCTACTATGCACTAGAATAAAATGATGAAAGTACATATTTATTTGATTATCAATATGTTAGGCCTACAGAAATACTCACTCAGGGTCATATCTTAAGTTAAATTCTCTGCAAGTAAAATTCTATGAATGGGGAGCATCACTGATACCATTTCGTCCCGACTGCTTTCTGTAAAAGGATGAGTGTGGCCCCTGGAATGTCTCTTCGGTTGTTGCTCGTGATCTGTTCGGTGGGTTTGACAACTCAATCGCAAAGTTTTTGTCAACGACCGTCATCAGTGCGCACATGGATGATTAATGCGGAATTAGATGCGCACGTTTCCGTAAGCTTTCGTAGCAATTCAAGAAAAATGCCGTGCCTGACCAGTTTGTTGTAGTAGGTTTTATTCTACCACCAACTCAAATGCATTCCGAAACTTTTCTAGGCTCAGTAAGCGTCTGATGATGCGTTTTCCTGGTTCATCCATGTGATTAATACATAATTTTGTCACATTTCACCACCTATGTGATGTATAAGCATTTATAATTACTGATCCACGCGAAGTCAGAAACATTTTTAGCATCACCAGTGGTACAAGTCTAGCGTGCACATACTCAGTAGATACACGAAACAGGCATGCAATAGATAAGGTAACAGAAATGCAAACTAGAGGAAGCGATTTGAGGGAGATGGTGTGCACGGGTAGACCAGACACAGGGTCACGGTGGGAATTACGGAATCTCGACAGGCGGTAACCCTTACCCCCTAGCTTGGGTTGGAAGTAGATAGAGGCTGAGCTAAAGTCGGATACAGGGACTGTTTGCATCCAATAAACACGTTCATATTTAGTCAGGAAAAAAGATAACAGTTTGCGTCTAGTGTTTGAGGAAAGGAATAATGTTTTTGGCCTGAAAATATTGAGTGCAAATCGCTCGATTTTGGAAAAAAAATATTCTGAATATGAGTTGACCAAATAAAGATGTTCGGTGGAATGACTAAGGGAGTGATGGCCACTCTTCCGTGGGATTTGATTACACTTACCTAAAAAGTGAAAGGAGAGTGCATCTTGAGATTTCGAACTGGTAACGAAGGATGACCCAGAAATTCTATTTGATCCGATTTGTTTGCTTCCGGAGAGCCATAGTCACAAACGTATCACAAAATCGGTTTGTTTACACGAATAGAAAGAATCAGAAAAAGTAGGCGATTGACATATGAATCAAAAGGGAACAGGGAAGGAAAGGCGCCTTTTTGGGCTAGTAGAAGTTATGAACTTTGGTTTGGTTCGGTTTCCAAACTTGACCTGTCCGTCCGTCGACAAAAAAACGAAAAAACAGATTTGGAACAACCCTACTAAAGGCAGTTAAAAAATCTAGAATACACTCGTCTTTGGTCTTTCTCTCAGGTCCAGGAAAAACCGAATAAAATATACATACAAGAACATCCAGTATCAGTGAAAAAACTCCAAAAACGCGAATGCGTGGGATATTTTAAAGTCTGCGTTTCAATTTCCATCTCTCAGGCCCAAGAGATATCTCTGATGACATGCAGCAGTCGAATGTTCTTGCGCTGAAGGATTACTGACTAAAGATGTCTGCAATGGGCACACAATTTTAACTGTTAGTTTTACACTAGGTTAGGACTACAAAATTTTTTACCTTGAGCATGCCTCGGTGTTGTATGCTCTGAAGGATTACTGACTAAAGATGTCCGCAATGGGCACACAATTTTAACTGTCAGTTTTACAGTAGGTTAGGACTACAAAATTTTTTTACCTTGAGCATGCCTCGGTGTTGTTTTCGTTCTTGTTAAAGTAGCAGTGAAGACATTGCCGGCTGTGTGCGCTACAGGGGTCTTCAAAATAGCTGCTGTGTATCAGGTCTGCGAATTTATTACTGGGCTGGTCTAGACCGGTGAGCTTTGATCGACTTCTGGACCAACCACCACGTAGCGCTGAAGTGCTCGGTATATGTCACGATAGTTATTGTTTCAAAGCTCTAACTGTAGACAGTAAATCATGTTCAGCCTATTGATTCTACCCTTTATTCATCAAATGGTCACTTAATTTCCGGGCGTCACCTATTCCTGAATGTCACTTCTTTCTTTTGCCGGGGCTCATTTTTGGTGCGAGCTGTTTCGGCAAAGCAACGTAGGTTGAGAGCAAAGTCGTACTATTCAGTCAGATGTTGACAATGTGCTGAAGTTTAGAGATCCTTGGAAGTAAGTATTGTTCTTTGTGAGCTGATTTACTGGGTTGCTTCAGGGCTCACAAGGATGGTCAAACGGTTAAACTGTGTTTCACTTTTGAGTACAGCTTTTGATAGGGGACCAGGGTGCAATAGCCCGAAGAACCAATTGGGCAGGCGTTTTTTTGGCGATGATGTCAGTGTTATTCAAACAGACGCTTAAATGTGACACCAACCCAAGTAGTGAAATGCTAATTAATTTGCCCTCCAAAGGAGGTAGCAAGTTATCCAGTCCATTCGAGCAAACTGTTGAGTTATAAAGAATAATATCCAAATAAATAAATTGCTTCGGCGAGAAAGATATCAGCACACTCAACAAGCTCAGACACTGGAGAGCTGTGGGTTGGTTGGTGTTTAGCAAGTGGCGTTCGCATCCCACGACTCACCATCATCATTGGCAACAACACCAAAAAAGCCTGGTGCTTCAATGTCGTACAACCATATCAATTAATTTGCATAAGGCCCTACACTGAAAACAGAGAGAAAATGTGACAGGGGGAGACCCATGACTGGCGTACTGCAAACATCCGACACATCCCCAACATTCAGCCAGATAATCTGGGAAGAAGCTAACAGCATGAACAGCTAACTGTTGTATCATTTAGTATCTCCAGCCAAGCGCAGGAGATATCCTGCATTTAGATAGTCGATTAATCCGCTCGTTCAGCTGCACCATTAACAAGCTTGACGACGATGCCTCTGCCGAGGAAGTGAGATGAGCAGTCAACAAAAAAGCACTTACATTCAGCAAGTGTAATGCTAACATTGTCAATATCACCGTGGAGGCAGATATCTTGAAGAAGAGTTACTCCTATAGTCTAGAGCTGTTTGCTAAGTAAAAACTCTGATAAATAACAAAGCAAGCAAGCTATGAAAGGTGAAGTATGCATTTTCTCAGGGTCAACAAATCCAAGGGTTACAATCTGACTAGCGCGGTTTTTGACTTCCGTAAATTCAAAAAATTTTGTCGAAATGCTCTCGTAACGGGATTCAACAAATGAAGGATTTATTTTAGTCTTGGTAGATGTAGAACACATGACCTTGAAACAGCAGCAATTAAACAATAATCAGCTTGTGAAGATAAAAAATAAAATCTCAAATATGAACAACTAGGTCGATTTTAAACTCTTCGCCCGAAATTCCGAACTACTGATCCATGTTTGCAGATTTTACGAAGGGTGTGAATGCACTAGAGTAATTTCTCATTACCGGCCATTGGTTGTGGCAAAAGTTATCCATTAAATAACACACAAACTTCGTTTTTATCGAAATCTGACGCATAGATCTTTGGAAACTTTACGCGTTAGTTTGTTTAGTTAAAATTTATTGTTTAACAGACCTCATCTAACCGAACGTAAATGGATGCATCATCAAGCGCCGTTTCAAAGTATACTCCATCACTTTTTGGGCCCAACACACAGCTGAACTGCTGAATAGTTTCGGGGTCTCGTTGTGCTATACTGGCTTGGACAAAATGCTGAAAACACGTTGGCATCTACAAACTACACGATAATATGACAGCGTCCTTATGTTAGTATAGACTATTGTCTGTGGATGGGGTCCAACCCGGTGGTTTATGTTGCGGGTTCGGACTAATTTAGCATTTTTTTCGATTGTCGACTTGCCATAAACTGCGACATGCTAGGTGGGACGTCGATCAAAGTAAAGTTAATTCGTGTCTTTGTGGCATAGAAAACGAAAGGCGCTGTGGATAGGTGATACCGTAACTGGCTAACATGATTCCAACATTTCACTGTCAAATCCTGTCATTTTGTGAGTTCAGAGATGCCTCCAGCTGCTAACACATGGGTTTTAGACACGAAGTTCCGGAGCGGGGTGAAGGTGTGATGGTGAACGGATTGTGTTGTTATGAGAGTGCCACGTATTGCACTTTACTGAGCCTAATGTTCAGAAGTTCAATCCAAAATCTTTTGGATATATCAGGACATTCTCGCTATAGCAAACCTAAACGTCTTCCTTGAGAACTTTGTTCGAAAATATGTGTTTTATTACCTTCGACGTCAATCACCTTTAAGCAACTGCAGGTTGTGGGTGAATCCGTTTGAAAGTGAACATTAAGCTTTGTAAGGAAAAGTTTAAAGCAGATAGTATGGTTGCAGCTACAACAAGTCAGTCTTTATTTGGTCAATGAACACAAAAGGTGATATCTGCGCTGCTCAAAAATGGATAATTTTATGATCACCAAGAGCTAATTCAAGGTGTTGTGCTTTCGGAAGGACCTACTCAACCACGTTTAGAGTAATATTACCTGATATATTCATCTTCAAAATCCGAATTCACCACGCCTGTTTGCCCAATTTAGGGAAAAAGAGCATTGTGGTTGCTGACAGGTAAAACATTTACCTGGATATTCCCCTTAGGAGAATAAGAATCCATCTTTAGAGACGTTTGGCAGGGCCAGCTGATAACGGTTATTAATTGGTTCCCGTAAAAGGCTCCACGGTATGTTTGCTGAAATTCCATCCAGCAACCGGAGCAGTATCAGGATGAAAGGTGCAATGGTTCAATGGTTCCTGCTGTCCCGTTAATGTATGACTATCATAAGACAATCGACAATGAAGTCATTAGCTTCAAAGTGAACACACGTATTATGAGGCTAAGACACCCTAGTGGATGAAGGTCATCCTGGCAACGGTGGATATATATGAAAGCATTGGATTTGGGCTTAATCCGGCATGCTGTTGCCTCAGCTGTCGGGTACTGCCAATACACATCCAATGTAGTGAAAACACATGAATTGGCGAACCATGTGTATTTCAAACTACTAGTGAGGAGGAGGTCATATATTCAAGCCTCTCTGGAATTTTTTAAGATTCGCACCGATGATGATTCTTGTCAAGATGTAACAGCTGTAAGTTGCTTCTCAGCATAGGTTAGCCTCATTTAGAGAACAAAATCTTGATTTAAATTCCAAAATATCCTCACATTACAAACACTATTGTTTTGTTACCAACTATTGGCACCTAGGTGATACTGATATTATTCATCACGTTTCATGTGCTGTAATACTGAGGTCATTCCTAATTCCTTTACGCCATACGAATCGATGGACCGAGGTAGATTATCATAGGGGAGATAAAATCATTCGCGTTGCATGTGCTCCGCAGAATCGGTTAAGGAGCTGTTTAGTAACCAAGATATACAAGATTGTGAGCGAAATTTCCTATCACGGTCCTGATTCAGATGGAAGAAGTACTTTGCCAGCGTTACTATCCTTCGATGCAATCGAGCTTACGTACATTAAACGCCTGGTTGTTAAAGAACATCGGGATGTTAAACAAGTTATTTTTGTCACAAGTTAGCCTACGCACAGTAGGAATTCTTTTACCACGGCTAATAAGCCTGGTAAGCATTCTCGAAAGCAGCTATCCTGATGGCATTCCAAGGCTTCTGTTGCAAACAATTTTTGGACCGGGTCAGAACAGTTCGTTTTTTTCCTCGGCATCATTCTGTCCTGATGTGTACATTGTATTCTTCTTGAGAGAGGGTTGCGACATTTATGGCTGAATTGTTGGCCCGTTGGTTGGTTAGTCTTAGTTGCAGGTACCAAGACCGTACTTTTCTTGTGGGTTTAACCAATACCCGTTCATCTGATTCATTGATAAGTTGTGCAAAACTCAAACACCATCGTATAATACTAAGCAGCTCATGGCTCTGCCACACTTTTTTAGGCGTCTCATCGATTTGAATCCAGTGCATGAGTACTTCACATCTGTTGTCATAGGCGAAGATTGAATTACAGCACATTTGTACAGAGTGGTTTTCCACGCAGCCGGACACTATTCTGGGCCTCCTTAACTCGATTTTTGTTGGTTTACAAAAAACAGAGGCTCCATGAAGAAGCTAATTTATGTTGGTCACTTTAGTGGGTTTCCTCTGGGCAAAAAACTCTTGTCATATATGAAATCTGCGGATTATATAAACTCATCCACCTCCGGTAGACAAAAGTTCGAGCCCCAAGAAGGGCGAAACCGGTCGTGGGCTGTCGATGGATTTTCAGCAACCTTATGAGTAATACGTTACAAATATAAACTGACGTAGTGTTACAAAGAGATGAAGGAACAGTTTTCATCTGCCTTAGAAATCAATATTAGACAGAGTCCTCAGGACACGCCCACCGGTAAGCTTTTCTGAATGAGGAACTTCACAGATTTGTCCCTGCACTAGAACGCGCAATATTTATATTCCAATCTGTCACTGTCCGAGTCAAAACTATCAGCCAATGATTTCAAAAATATGTGAGTGAATACTCCTATAACATTAAAATTAAAGCTTGCTCGGCCTCGCATTTCAGTATAGTTTCAGAGCCGACCTCAGAGAACGTGCTATCGCGGAAAGTGCACCAACGACACGATTGTGTCAATAAATTCTCGACTTACTCGATGATACTTCCTTGTTCTGTCCGCAATGATTCCAAAAATGATACGCGAAAAGGTGGCCACACCATTGGAGATGAATGATACAACTCCTATTTGCATTGATGTTAATCCGTAGGAAGATAAAAGTGGATTCAAATAGACTCCAAATGAGCCAAATACTACAAACATATTTTGAGTTGGCTGCATGTTTCCTTACCGAAAGCTTGACAAAAATATGTTATTCTGATATAGAGTGTGCTTCTGCTTGCCATTGTTGAAGCAATTCACTTATCCACGCCTGACTAACGCAGGGCGGTAATGAATACTCATAAGTGAAAAACGTTACTTGTGTCTTGGCCTAGGTTTTGCACGAAAATCATGTGATTATCGATCGCTGAAAATATAGATACATTAGCCAGTGGATGCGTTGGTATACGCCACGTTTACACGTGAGTGAATTTGTTCTTCTTTAATTGGATGATAGGGGGCTTCTGTACAGTTTTTCTTAAATGAAGGGACGGCATGCTAAGTGAGGAGTGCAAAGTACTGTGTTCACAACACAAAAAACAACAAAGGTCTACCCGCTTTACACCAAATAGGGAAGTTATTAAAATACGCAGCGGTCACTATTTCGCCCACAGGATGTGAGTAGACCATAGTTGACGAACAGACTCTTCTTAATTTTCGTAACTGTGGCATCTTTTGCCAGAGAGCGGAATATGGTTTCCTCTCGTTGGTTTGTAATATTAATCTTTGCTTGCGGTGATTGCTTGACAAACATGAGGTGGCGATAAAAGTAGCTACGAGGACGTCTTACATGTGAAATGTCCGGCGGGTACATGCCTACTATTAAAGCAAAGATCATCCATCTCTTGCTGGGTTTTTCGGCTCTATAAAAGGGCAAACGATGTAACTGTTGAAAGAATGCACGTGAAGGAACTACCTCTTTCGCCAAGAAATTCACACGACGCTTTATTTTATGAATACTTTTCATCAGAAGTTATGTCATTTCTCGAACCGGTCGGCAAAATGAACTGTAGACTGCTAGTGATTTTGTTGGTAGTTGATGTACGACGCTGACGAACTCCTACTTCCCATCACATTTATTTGATTTGCTTCTAAGTAAGAAAACAGTGTGGGATAAACTGAGGATAAACTGAACTGATGAAGCTTAGAATCCCATTCATTCAACTTGTACCTGTTTATATTATATTTTGTAGTGTGTAGTATAGTATCTGTTACATGAGCCTCAGTAAGTTCCCAGTTAAGTGTAATATCAGCACTCTTCTTTCTTGAAAACCATAGGCACTTTATGTTCAATTTAGCTAACGTTGAGCCTTTGCTTGTCAGCCTTTTGAATGGTTCGTCCTGAGGAGTTTCAACTGCGGAGTAACGATATCGATCGGAAACACTGACTGTTGTTGCCCCAAGACGCCCCTCACTTTTTTAAACCCAAAGTGCAAGACTATGTGGTAGATCCAGTTTTCGGACACAAACATCTTCATTTTTCCCATGGGATGTTGTAAAGCTATAGACTTAAAAATAGCTAGAAGTGTCGACCTGCTGATTTACTAGGAGACGTATAGAGGAGAAAAACGTAAAATAAATACCCTGATTCTGACAAAGCCCCGCTGCAGGTCACTTTAAACAACTGATTTCCGGGTAGCGGATTAAAAGGCAAGGAGCTGAAAATGTCTCCTTAGAGATATGTTCATCACCCGTTCTCCTCTATAAGTCCTTACTCCTTGCTAGAGTTTGCAACGTCAGCGGTAGGCCAAGATGTGTTTATTGAAACAAATGCCAAAATAGTCCAGCTGATAGTATCCCTTCAAACATGAAACAACAACTTTTATATGCGAACCTGTTTATAAGTTTTTCGCTCCATTGATAATGTTTGAATGCTTTGGTACATCAGTTTTCCAAGATTTAAAGCCTGTAGCTTGTCACTAGACGTTAAACACTAGATGCTCATGTTAGTCCACCGACTGTTTGAAATCACCTTTAGAGGCAACCTAGAGTATGCATGGGCTGAGACCATTGATTCACACAATAATCTGACCAGTACGCATTGAGTCCAAACGTCTTTCAACCACGTCTAATTTGTAAATTTTATTTAACTGAAAGTGATCAGTGTGGTCTGAATATTCAGAGGATTTGAAACATAAGGGTCCTAGGTCACGAAATACTCAACACAACAATTTCAGTTGGCATGCCGTCCCAAATCGATGCCAAATTAATGCGAATTAAAACTGACACGAATTCATCTCTGAAGATGGAGAAATATGGCAACCGCCCTAAGCTAGAAAGCAAGCTGTACTTTTGGTCATATTAATTACCTCACAAATAACATCAATGAGATTGCCAGTAATTTCTGGGTTTCTCATATATGCTTTAACCCATAGAATATGGAGTCTAAGTCGTATATGGTGCCAGGAACCAGGAACTCCACAGCTGTCCCCTTATCTACCAGTTTTCTACACCAGCTACATTTGTCATCTATCCCCACCTGATATCCTGCTAATAAGTAATCGGGTGCGAGTGAACGAAAATGGTATAATAAACAGAGTAAACGTGCATTATCTACGGGAAAACTGACTATATCGATCGATTATAGTAACGCTGCAGTTACTGTTGAGGAAACTGTTGAGGAAGCATCTTAAGTTTTAACCTTGTAACAATGGTTTTTTCTTAAAGAGAGGCCAATCTTAGAGGTCACTTGGTCACCAAACAATCAGGACAGAGAACCACGGTCGAACAATCAGTCGTGATTCAATTCCGGTCCCGGCTAGCAGCAAGTATGAAAACACAAAAGCACCGCTATTCCATACAGCCTACCGCTACGCTCCACTCCGCTCCCAAAGAAGGTAATGGTGATATCACCTCGACTGATGACGAAACGTTTGGAATCCGATCGCTCAGCTCAGCGAGCGAACCAAAATGCTGCTTTAGCTATCAACCTTCTGCTTAATAGCAAATCACGATTCATCTTGTTTGGAAGTGCCCAAAGAAGGTTTCAACTTAGGGACTTAGTAACTAAATGAAAACCCTAGAACAAGATCTGTTGGACATATGACCAGATTGGAAACACAAGATGGCAAACGCTGATAATACAACAAACAAAGATGTTGTATCCTCTCAAGCCGAACCATCTTAGCTAGGCGACTTTTTCATTGCTAATCACTAGACATTATAAAGGATGCACGAAACAAATACTCAGCATCCTCATGATTGGATTTCTTCAAAATGTCGTTGTTTAATTCGTCAGAATCCCTACATTCTGTGAACAATAGTTATGTGCTTCTGGGCATGGCAAACCATTGAGGAAGTTCTCCTAAGAATGGTTCACAACTTCAGATAGCAACCCACTCCCATGAAAATATGTTGGAAAATGAAATGTTCTCTACCAAGAGACGAATGTTAACAAAAAATTTTTTTTTCTTTTCAGAGGCATCCGGCTATGATCCATCTCTGGATCCCTTTGGAGGAAGTTATGAAATGTCCAATTTAGCCCTACAAGCAAACTCAGCACTAACCAGAAATTTAACCTTGATTCAGATTCTTGGGTCCAGTGTAATGCGCAACAATCAACCCTAATAGAATCACAACTAAGATGCTCCGTGGAAACAAAAGTTCTTTTGATATAGTGTGTTATAGTAATATGAGTAGCTGATCGTGTTCTTAACACGAAGAATACGGTTTGAAGATATGGAGGCTATGGGATAAGACGAAAAGCACAACAACTTATCGTGTGCCAAATCCACTACTCCACGAGTGGAGCTCTGAGATCTGCGACTTTATCTATTTCCTCAGTAACTAACACCTCTCTGTATCGATCTTCCTACCCAGCGAGACCTACAGGAAACGGTTTCTGGCTTCCGCTACTAGGAAGAATCTCAGTTATCATGTCCTTGTTATTGATTTAAGAGCGCAAGTACGCAGTGTAACTCAGATCTTTTGATCAGTGATCTTCATACACCACCAGTGAGCAGTGAAGTGATTTTTTTAGCCATCTGTACTCAAAGCAAAGGTGACTTATCAACTTATGTCGCCATGTTGCCAACTGCCACAACACCCACATTTTCCTCAGCTTGTCCGTGGATCGGTCAATCCAAGAATACTAAGATTAAATACACATCTACAGATTAGAGCATCAGTAATACTAAATTCAAAAGAACTACTCAGTTATGATGGCATTAAACTAACTTCGCTACACTGAGTCCTCCAGAGGACTTATGTTTGGTAATAAACCAGACGTCAAGACGTAATACACTACTCATAAGGTTGCTGAAAATTCCTTGACAGCCCTCGACCAGTTTCGCCCTTCTTGGAGATCATCAAATTTATGTTTTAATTGACTCAGCTATAACCCAGCTGAATCTCTCGCTTAGGGTGTTTTTAAGCAACTGAATGTGTTGCACCAGGCCACCTCATGTTTCAGTTGGTAAGGTTGCTGAAAACTCTTCGACAGTCCACGAGCGGTTTCGCCCTTCTTGAGGCTCATCAGGTAGGCGAAGTCCCCGAGTTTCCGTCAACCTTATGTTCTACTGGAACCCAAACGCGGTTCCCGAGTTTCCATCAACATGGTGCAGCACATTCAGTTGCTTGGAAACAGTATAAGCGAGGGATTCAGCTGGGTTTCAGGTGCAAAGCCAAATTTGTTTGCAAATGAGTGTATTTCGCTGAATTACTGTTCATAAGTGACCCACACCATCACCTTGACTTGGTGATCTACAGTAACCGGCATTATTTACGAAGCGTACATATTTATGTTTGAAGTGCCAAGCAGCTGTAAGGTTGACCTCATCAAAGATTTCTCCAACAGCTTACGACAAGGAACAAGCCGTAGAATATTAACGAGAGTGGTCAGTTTACCTTGCTATCCGTGTGGCTTAACAAACTACAACAGAGACGGGAAGGGTTGATCAATGGAAAGCTGCATTCGCATTGGACGATTTCACATCAGCAGCGTACCATGCCTGTGTCTAGTATCGTTGTGCACAAACGGCGGTAATCCGGACAAACAGTGGAGTGTGCGAAACGTTCCTGTTGGTACCACTTCATATGCTCGCTAGCCGTTTTCGGACAGTATTCATGGTCTACAACAACACATCCAAGTTCGACCTATCGCAGTTGCGCACATGGTTGATCTGAGTGCCTGGTGGAATGCTATATTTTAATTATCATCGACACCGTCAATCCACCTGAAGCGGGCGACGTCTACCTGCTCCGAATAAAGTCTGACATCGCTTGGTAAAGATGAAGTGTTTCAAGTTCAACCGACAACTGACATACGTCAGAATAAATTACTTTTGTCAATTTTTTGGTAAGTTTTGCACATGCTGCACTAGAAAGCTTTGCTTTTAGTCATTGGATCCTTTATGGTCTACATAAATCCACTATTGTCCACCAGTGGCCTGACTTCAACTCAGCTTGGGGTCACCGCTCTTGCTGCCCACATATCTTCCACAATTGCTCGGCTCGTCATTGGACCAATAGCCGATGGCACGAAACATCGTCACGTGGTAAGCATTGTGGCATTATTGCCTTCAGTAGCTTGTTTTATGAGCATTTCTCAGTACAGTGTGAGACATGTTTCAAAGAGGCAAAGCTATTGGTGGACGGGAGAAAACCTCAGTAAGTCCCAGGATGCTATAATCTGGAAATTTGGCCGAGTTTGTACTTACCATGACAAATTGCGACTAAGTATACCTAGTGGATACGGTCAAACTGGCTGCATTGAAAAATTGATCGTGGTATATAAGTATAGTGAATTAGAAAAAGAACATCGTAACATAATTCAGGAAACAGCTCTATCTGAGCTGATAGTCTCTAAGGCGTTTTCAGATTCAACTCCTGACGAATTCAAATACGCACTATGTAGCTCATCTGTACATAGGTTTTGGAGAGGACTTTTTGGAATCTCTCTGCGTTCAGGAAATGTAAGATTCCAGTCTGTAAGTAGCATGGAGATCCCAGAGTTTCTTGATTCATCGATACAAATGAGGTCAAACCATTCTCAGAAGTGTTTGAGAACAGCATAGCCATTTTGTTTTTATTGGCCTCGCTGATAGTACACAACTACTCAATCTCTCTGAACTAAACTGAAGAACAGTAAGCTACTGAGATGGATTCTTTTAAAAAAATGTCACTTCTTAGGAAATCCACACCACGCATCATCTGGCAGCTTTCTGTGCGATTTTCCACACCCCAGTCGACTGCACTACCCGTCCAGGGAATCCACCAAATTGTTTCAGCTGAGACGATGTTTTCAGTTGAGACTTTGTCATCAGTGCACATCTCACGAAACTTCAAAGAGTTTAGAACTGGCAACCTGCCGACTAGCCGCTCGAAGACTTAAACATTCGGGCACAACCGGCCGATAAGCAGTGGGATTAAGCCACACTTAGCAGAGATACAGCCCTATTTATTTTTTTATTTATTAATTTCACACCATGTGGTTATGTGTTGGCTGGATTCGTCAAGTTGCAACTTTTTAAATAGAAGCATAATTCATCTAACGGCTCAGAAGGAAGGATAATTTACAAGACGACTGAACCTTCCATCTTACAAGTCGTCACTCGATGAGACCAGTCAACGTGTACCACGTGGTAGGGACTCTGTGATTGACTGATAGATGGCGCTATATCATGTCTATGTGGGAGTTGAGCACACTGCTGATCAGCCACTTGTGGCCGAAAGGTTAAATATTTAAGCTACTGGTCGTGAGGTCACTGATTGGAGACTCCCTGAAGCTTTTTGGGATGCGCACAGCTGATGACCTCCAATAAATTTGAGAAAGCTGAACAGTGTTTCTCAACCTCTCAGTAAAAACTGTCTTTACCTATGGGATGAGATCTCAATAGAAAATTCCCAAATCATGTGGCACTATGAACTAGATGATATTGGCTGCCACACACCTACCAGTTAATGAAGCCTTTAGGAGATTGTATCCTGGGGATGGCTACTGAATCGTCCGATCAACCTCGATTCTTTTGTGCTCTGGGTCTACCGATCTAGTATCCGTGACAAGTTGTACTGGAAAATTTAATAGTTCTCCGTAGCAAGTTTCGTAAGGATAGACACATTCGGAAAATACGAGTGAACGCACATGAAGCAGCCAAACTTTCGGGGTATACTGAACTCTGGCAGTACACTCAGATATACATATCACACATATATACATATCAGGACATAAAAGTTGCATTATATCCATACGTATGAGTAGGCAACTAGAGACTGGCTTAGAATGCACGTAGCTTTCCGGATGAACGTATTGCTGGATGAAGTCAGCAGCACTTGAGTGTATTATCTTAATTGTTTCTATTTGTTGTAAACTTAGGAGAAATTATATTCGAATAGATGTTTCTTGTTGATGGGATTCACAAAAACATCACACAACTAAGCAAGAGGGCCTAGAAGCTAACACTATTGCCATAAATTGGGATCTGTTTAAAAGACCTTGATGAGTGCTCCTTTCATTGGTATGCTTGCAGGTGTTCGTTTAGCACCATCAATCAATAAGTATGAAGTTAGCTACGGTATTATAGAGCGTTTTGATCCGCGTTTGTAAAAACCTAAAATGCCTTCCCAATGAGCTGGTTGTCATAGCTACTCATCCTAAGGAATGTTGGAGACAGAATCGAAGCACTGCTTAGAGAAAATCGCGCTTGGCAGACAGCGTTCCTAAGACCGTGTTTGTAGTGTAAACGTAGACGACGTAATGCGCTATCCATAAGTTCGCGAAAAACTCTTCAATGGCCCGTTTTGCCTTTCTTGGGGTTCATCACACCAGCTAAAATACGAGGCGGCCTGGTGAAGCACATTCGGTTGAAAAAGAACACATGTGCGTCTCCCGTGAAAAATAGACTGGTACGCAGATGAGTGCATAAGTCGAAACTGTGGAGGAGTTACTCGACTAGAAAGGATTGGTTCTTGGAGCCGAAATTTTTAAAAGGACTTCAGGACTTTCCCGTAGGAATAACATGAATAAAAATAATAATAATGAAGGTCAAAATGGAACTAAGCTGCGTATTGCTCATTTGTTGTATTTTCCGAATACCTTGGTTTGTGAAAATGGAGCACTGTGGGTCGCACTCAAAGTGCTGAAATTAAACCCAAACCTATCAAACCCTTCAGACTGCTATGATCACACAGACGTAGAACTATTTCTTCTGAGTTCGAAATCAACACGAAGTGGAGTTAACTGTCTTGGCTACCACCGCGTTTAGGCCCCGCTGTTTATAGGAGAACACAGTCAATGCTAATTTCGCGTGCTGACAAGTGCGATCGCGACGGTTATCAGATTACCTCAGTGCAGTTTCCAGTTAAAAAATAGTTGCATGAGTACAATATCCGTATCCTACAATTTGTGCGCAAACATGTCTTTCTATGTATTTATGCATTCCGAGGCGGAATGGAATCAAGAAACAACGATATTTACCACGGATGCATCTCGCTTTGGCCTCACTATGAATGCTTGTAAAATATTTGGCTTTTATCAGTCTGTCCGCGTGTAAAACAATGCTTCCAAATGGTTGCAACACAGTATACTCTTGAGATTTCCATCATCTTAGAAGCAACACGTCCTAGGACTTGCAAATCGATAGTGTATCATATGATCGGGCTAACGAGTCAGGCGCTCTATTTGGTCAACTACATAAGCGCAATTGAATACCGAATTTGTCGCGCTGTTGACAGTTGTTCTGTTCCCACTATCTTGATAGGATGAAACAGAGACACACTGTCTGCTGTTACCATGCATGACAGATTACACTGAAAAGTCTAGCCCATGATTTGTCGGAGTGAATGGTCACATAACATTTCAAACGTCCAAGTTCTCGAGAAAGCCCTAATCACTGCACTTGGATGCATCAACAACCGTAGGTTGATTAGCTAGTCACCTGAAACCTGGCGATATTTCATCATTGTGACAGTCTTCATGGTTTCACTCCTTGCGTAAGTTTGACGCTTGATAGGACAGTCTGTTCAAATGCATTCTGTAGAGGCCTTGATGCAAGTCACAAATGATTAGCCCAATCCACATAGCTACTTGTACAACCTGTTAGCGAGTGTGTTCGAATAGAATGAATATTTCTGGTTGCCGACACGCCCACCTAAACGATCCAGAATCCGCCTATGAACTTACTGACAAAGATATTCTCCTATTTTTAATCAACCGTTACTCACCTGTGGTGGCGCGGCTGTGGACACCCCCTAGAATCAGTGGATAGCAAACTGTCCTCCCAACTGTCATCCTCGAAAAAAGAATAGTATGAATCGTTTCCGAGTTGTTGTGCAATTATCAAGAAATCAGATACATCCGAAAACGTTTGACCTGAGTGGGTACTACAGAGTATACGGCAATGAGGCTAGTGCTCTGACATCAACAGGAAGGGCCTACGCATTTATTTGCGTACTGACTGACACCTTGGCCTTTACGAACAAATAATTTCAGTGCTGTTTAGCTCTATGTGGTTGGCACTGTAACCGGAAGTGCAGTTCAGAGGTGCCTGGGACACCTGCGCATGTTTCGAAAATCCGAACCAACTTTTGTCAAATCGACACTTGATGCTACTGACATTCGTGACAAGCACGCAGAGGCTCGTTGCTAGTATCACTGAGCGCTGACATAAAATAATTAACATCAAACCGTCGACGTCATCCATCCGCTGGAGTTTCAGCCGAAGGTAGGTGGTACAGCATAAAGTTCTGCAGTAATTCCGTTTCAGGTTGCAAAAATTAGTCTATTTTCCGCAAGCAGCAGTACACAGACGCTGGAAGCATGCATCCATATTTTGGATAAGGATCCCCAATAAGTGGGTAAGGGAAAATCCAGACAGTATCCCTTTGTGAACAACATTTTGAATGGCAAAATTTTTCTCAGCCGGCCCCTGGCTACAAGCTGAACGGAACTCGACTAAGGATATATCCACGCAGTACTTATATGCCATACTCCTGAACCCCGCAGTGGCCGGGGCGCATACCCTCACTCAGGTTTTCGTCCCAGCATGAAAAACCTTTTCAATATTGACAAATCTGGCCGGACTGCAAAGTTTTTTTAGGACAGCTGAGTGGGTCAGATTCATCAACACTCCGCAGAGCAGTTGGTTATATTCACAGCTTTCCCCTTGTACTTGAATTGGTGAAGAAAACTGAGCCCGTCTTAAATTGTTTACTTTAAAATCCGTATTCATGGTGCCAGCAATCCATCGAGTGTGCGAGATAAGCACCTCAAATGGCTTCCTTTTTGGTTGTGCAAAGGAGGTGTTAGTTCATCCCGTAGAAATTGTAAAACACATTCTAATCCTTAAATTTTGCAGTGTAGATAAGTAAAGTCAATCTGAGCTGTTGGACCTTCTTGCTTGGAGGGTTCTACGGATCAGTCGTCCTGTCGCTTCGCTCCCTAATTCAACAGGTGGCTTGTGCCAGTGCGTTTTTCCACCGCCAGGGGTTTATCAGCTGGGCATGTAATCTGTGTTTCTAAGTAGTTGATCCATACAATCAAAATCCACCTATTTTGGCCAACTGAATAGAGTTGAAGATGAAGTACCCAAGGTTTCAGAATCCGCTTCTCGAATATCAAAACACCAGAGGACATCACTGTACGAGGCTGATGTCTTCTGTCATCGGTGGAGCTTGAGCTACTGTATAAGCTTGATCGCACTCTATTTCTACATCAATTTCAGTTTTAGATGCAGACCACTGACACCAAAAACCGTTACCAGGCCAAAGTATTGATCAAACTAAGTGAAGTCAAGATTTTGCGAGACAGGTCCGATGGATGACTGTCACTTGATGTGAGTATAAAAACTGTTGACCTAAAAATCCACTAGAAAAGGTTAAATTGATTGTAACGTTTTTAGAAGTTGAATATTGTGATAGGTCAGTTAGACCAACCAACAGAAGATCGTAAACCAAACAAAACCCACTCTTTTTACGCATCTTAAAAGATGTAGATGTCTGGAAGTTCGGATGATCTTATTGTGGATAGAAACTGAAACCCAGACCGAACTACGTTTGTGGTTTGAAGGTGTTGCAAAAACACAGTCTATTGTCTCGCTTTCTGTGACCAGTATTCTCAGTACCTTTTGTCTCCCTTTGGAAGAATACCCCCGGAAGAGGCTATTCATGGTTCTCCCGTAGGATCAGCTTTCGGAATTACATAACCCACAACAGGAGACTGTTCAGTTGAACTGAGCAGCTTTGGTCGAGTCTTTGATGTGATGCGCCTAGAATGAGTGACCTTATGATCAGATGAACAGAAAAGGTTTCGTTAGAGATGACCTATACGCATTACACAGTGATGCTATTACCAGTGGCGCAAAAATACAGGGCTCTGTATTTCGGCTCTCTGCCGGAAAGTACAACTTTTATGGGGTTTCTGATCAGTAGAACACACTGAGACTCTGAACTGTGCGCATATTAAGTGCTTATCTCCAAGTGCATGTGAATAAAATAGCTCCACATTCTTGATTTAAAGGACAATGTGTGTACTCACTGTGCTGGAAAACAAGCTACTGCTTCAAAGACCTGAAAATAAGCCACTTCAAAGTATATTCAGGAGGCCAGATGGTCTCTCACATTGGGGGCTAAATGTTCGTCTCCTGACAAAGCATGTGTAAATTTAGCCGTTGCCATTTCAGAGCATATTACTTGGCACCACCACTTAAAACATTCACTGATATGATAAAGGAAACTTTATTCCTTCACACCAAGTTAGGTGCTGCAGTAAACGTGAACTTCGAAAAGTATCTTACTGACGCAGAATAATGAGGTAAACAGCTCTTCCAATGGTTGCATCATTAGTTCTCAAAAAATCCATACCTAATTTATGCACACAAGCAGATTGGTAAATGTCAACAATAGCACGAGAGTCAAACGTGATTGATAAGCTCACAATCATCCTACAGTGTAAACGATACTTGGTTATTGTGCGAAATCTTGTACGTACCCACTACCATTAAAAAAATTGGTAACAATGTCAGTTTGCCGCCGACCATTTGCACCCAGGTATTCTTCCTGCTATCACTTGCAACAGCGATGTTCATACTTTCGTTCTTCGCCTTTCCACGAATGACCGAATATGTCTTTGATGGGAAGGTTCATGAGGATGGTGTTTTCGTTCCTCATGTCGTGGGTCACTAGAAAAGGTTAAATTGATTGTAACGTTTTTAGAAGTTGAATATTGTGATAGGTCAGTTAGACCAACCAACAGAAGATCGTAAACCAAACAAAACCCACTCTTTTTACGCATCTTAAAAGATGTAGATGTCTGGAAGTTCGGATGATCTTATTGTGGATAGAAACTGAAACCCAGACCGAACTACGTTTGTGGTTTGAAGGTGTTGCAAAAACACAGTCTATTGTCTCGCTTTCTGTGACCAGTATTCTCAGTACCTTTTGTCTCCCTTTGGAAGAATACCCCCGGAAGAGGCTATTCATGGTTCCCCCGTAGGATCAGCTTTCGGAATTACATAACCCACAACAGGAGACTGTTCAGTTGAACTGAGCAGCTTTGGTCGAGTCTTTGATGTGATGCGCCTAGAATGAGTGACCTTATGATCAGATGAACAGAAAAGGTTTCGTTAGAGATGACCTATACGCATTACACAGTGATGCTATTACCAGTGGCGCAAAAATACAGGGCTCTGTATTTCGGCTCTCTGCCGGAAAGTACAACTTTTATGGGGTTTCTGATCAGTAGAACACACTGAGACTCTGAACTGTGCGCATATTAAGTGCTTATCTCCAAGTGCATGTGAATAAAATAGCTCCACATTCTTGATTTAAAGGACAATGTGTGTACTCACTGTGCTGGAAAACAAGCTACTGCTTCAAAGACCTGAAAATAAGCCACTTCAAAGTATATTCAGGAGGCCAGATGGTCTCTCACATTGGGGGCTAAATGTTCGTCTCCTGACAAAGCATGTGTAAATTTAGCCGTTGCCATTTCAGAGCATATTACTTGGCACCACCACTTAAAACATTCACTGATATGATAAAGGAAACTTTATTCCTTCACACCAAGTTAGGTGCTGCAGTAAACGTGAACTTCGAAAAGTATCTTACTGACGCAAAATAATGAGGTAAACAGCTCTTCCAATGGTTGCATCATTAGTTCTCAAAAAATCCATACCTAATTTATGCACACAAGCAGATTGGTAAATGTCAACAATAGCACGAGAGTCAAACGTGATTGATAAGCTCACAATCATCCTACAGTGTAAACGATACTTGGTTATTGTGCGAAATCTTGTACGTACCCACTACCATTAAAAAAATTGGTAACAATGTCAGTTTGCCGCCGACCATTTGCACCCAGGTATTCTTCCTGCTATCACTTGCAACAGCGATGTTCATACTTTCGTTCTTCGCCTTTCCACGAATGACCGAATATGTCTTTGATGGGAAGGTTCATGAGGATGGTGTTTTCGTTCCTCATGTCGTGTGGAGCTCAAACGGAACAGAAAGTAATTACTCAAAGTGAGTTCTTTGGTGGTATCGTTTGGTAGAGAAATGTTGTTTCTATGGTAGCAACGTATTTGTGATTCTGTAAACAAATTAAACGTTTTTGAATTAATAATTGGATCAGTGACAATGATCTAAAATTGAAAATTTATTGCAGGTTGTCTGGTTATAAAACTGTAAATGGATCACCGTGAGTAATTTGCGATGTACACTTTATTGATCATAGCTGTTATCTATGAAGAGGTCACAATCGTCATACTGCAGCGTTCTGTCATCAACAATCAGGAGACCGTTGAACTTTTAGCATAAGCTCAATGCTTTCACCAGCCCATAGCGAGTGATCAAACTACTTGTTTTCTTCTACTCATTTTCACACACGTTGCATGAAGTCGGAAACAGACTCATCAAAAGGTCACCCTATGTTGATAGTCAACTACTGTCACACACATTAGTAGACGCGAGTTAAAACGTCAATGTGCCTTGCGAGAAAAATAGACGAGCACGTACGATATCATAGCAGCGTCACTCGGTGTGTACATGACTCGGAAATCGAATGTAGAATCGATAGAAATATCACTTTGTTCAGGCGGCGATAAAAACATTAAAAATACAAAAGGGGCGCGATAACATTTTAAGGCTATCCCCCAGGAAAATTTCTTCGAGATACTATTCAGTTTATATTTTCGAAACATTCTCACTCGAAATCTCCAAAATCGCACTCTTCTTAGGTTCCTGTATATGACCTTTCGACTGGGGCTACTCCATGACATCCCCCGATCAGCCCATAGCCCAGTAGCGGTTCACACAGTCGTTTGTGTGACACTATGATTGCTGTGGTAGTAAATTCTTGGGTCCCAGAGGGACGGAGATGGGAACTACAAATTGAGTGCTACGCAAATTAACGAAATGTTGCGGACTTCAGCTGAAATCTGACTTCAGCTCTGAGCTTTACAGCCACATCTTGTTGAATCATACCGGAAATTGCAGTGCTTTAGAAATGACGCATAAAACCATATGAGATCTTTTGGTATTGCTTGCTTGTTTGACTTCAATAACTGAAATCACCACTTTTGTTGAGATAAAACAATCCCTTTTCCACATAAGGAATTTGAGATTCAGCCGTCTTGCAGTATCCCATATTCATGAGCCACCTTTCTGTCTTTGGATAGGCTATCACAAAAAGAATTTAAAAAACTCCATACATATTTTTTTCTTTCACGTATCTGTAAAATTATTTCACTGCGATTGGTAATCATTCCTACCTAAAGGACTGACTGCAAATCGTCTCGCTCTACGGTGTCGCTACTACCCTACGAGATTTTATAACTCATAGAATCCAGTCTGTAGTCTGACGAAGGTTAAGTTGGGAAACCGCGTTGTCGGGAAACTGGTCGCTCCAGTGTGGACAATTATTACATGAGCACATTCCATCATCTAATAAAAATGGCTACAACCTGCACACGATTTCGCCGCAGGTAAGCCAGGTGCTTGATCCATTCGCATCTGGTGTACACGTATGTGCGTGTGGGTATGTGTAAAAAAACTTGATGTCACCTTTAGTTTGTTTAGACAGTTGGTTAACATCACAAAGTCCTGGAGCCAGCTCCCAGTGGCCTGGGGAAAGGGTAAGTCATCGACTGAAATCAATAGATGCCAAGTGGGGCTTCCTCATCTTTTCGTTTACACAGGACTCCTTAGTTCGTTTCGTCCTTCAAATGGCTTCCGACCACATTTGTCGAACAGAGAGATGTATCCACAGAATTAAGGTAAACAAAGAAAAACCCAGTCGTTGCAGACTCAATATTAGATGGATTATGATTGATATTTTGGATAGAAAGTACATAACAACATCTGAAGAACTATGAAACATGCGTTTCACAATGGTTTCTGCGTCTCAAAAAGTTTGCTGAGAGCTATGTCATCACAGTGGCATATCAAGTGACGTTCATAAGTAAATTAGTGAACTTCGTAAGTCAAATTGAGTACGACGCTAATGGTACCTTCAGTAAACTATTCAACGGAAAAGATACGTCAGAGACACTGAGTGCTCTGAACTCCAAATCTTCTTAGAGGCAATTTTGTCACAGGCCGCGATTTTGACCTATTCGTTTCACGTGAGTTAATCGGCTGTCCAAACATTCTCTTTTGCTGGATATCAGAGGGCCGTCCTTGTCCCTTATAACTTCCATGATGAATGACTTCCGAGGACCAGTCGAAACAATAATGTGGAACAGGTTGCGGACGTTTCCAGCATCTCAGCGTTCCGAAAGTTTAAAAAGACAGTTAAGGATCTGGTAGTTCACACGGGTGTTGCAGCTATCTGGAAGATCTTCATTTACATTTCTAAACACAACTGTTGGTAAAAAAATCTCCCAGAGTGACTTTGTGTGACCCTTACACGTTTCCTTTGCTTTTTATTTGCCGTTGTACAGCAAGTATTCATCCCAGAAAATTTGTTGGCCACGGTCCATAGAACAGTGCAATGTAATGAACAACGGAACGCGCGAATGGAATTTCAAACTTGGGTTTCGGCTTCAGAAGAATGACACAAACCTCATGGATGTCAAATACATCGTCACAAACGGAACTTTGTGGATGACTGATGCCACAACTAACGCGAGTAAAAATGCCCGCATATTTTGTCGTTACACACATCCGGTAGAGGAAGAAGCTTGCCACAAACTTCGTAACACAGTGAAAGGTAATGACTTCTCTTTCTGCGTACTTCAGCAAACTCGAATGATGTCAGCTAAAGCAAATATTTGAGCCATTCGATCTCTGGTCTAGTGATTGCTGAACTCAATTGAAGAAAAAAGCAAGTAAATCCAAACCCATTTATAGAACTATGTGGAATACGACAGCTTATGTCCTGACGATATCCCTTGACCTACTTTCCGGCTAAATCTGGCTTTTAACTGGCACCCAAATTTTATGCAGCTATTCCTCGAGAGAGGTGACCTCCGCATAGTGAATTATGGATCTATCATTTCGGTGTGAGATCATCCTGCCTGAACTTGCTTGTTGTACTTACCAAGTTTCTACATGTTCACCTGCTACACTCAAACATTCGGGTTTGTATAGAATTCACTGCCTCAAATGCAGAATTCCATCGTGCCTTGTTCGAGTCATTCTTGTTAGTATAGCTAAGCACTAATGTTCAGTAGTCACTGTTGATAAGAGATTTCGCATGACATGCGGCAGTACGTACGAACTTCTAACGAGATTGACCGTTCCAAAGACTAAGACAACAGTCAAACATTATGCGTATGTTCGCTCCTTACTACGTGTATAGGTATTGTTTGTTCTACTTCATTAATTACGAGGACTCTTGACACTGTTTTGTAAAACACTGCTTGTTTAGGTCCAAGTATATTGCTGTGCATAATTCTCACCAAATGAAAAGCACCGTACGCATCTAACACTCGCTTAGATTTTGATCCTCTGCGAGATGTTTCAGTAAACAACTGGGTCGAGAAACCTTGGCAATAAAGCGTGTAAGTCACTTTCATTCTACAGTGTTACTTGAAGAGGCGTGCGGACTGAACGAAGATGTAGTCATCGTTGTTTTGTACTGGTAAGATTAGATCACTTTTACAAAGCCAGGTAGGAAAAGTCGATGGTGTAGGTTAAGGGCATTTAAATTCTACATAGTTCTGGTTGCATAAACATCATAGACGAAAAGCATAGGCTCACTGTACAAAACCCCCTGATAATCGTTAACTAAGTTAAACTTTGTTTAATCTCGCTTGAATACTGAAATCGCTCACTGAAATAACATTTAAATGCATGATGCTGTCGAAGAACATTGTGGACTGAAGTAACACATAATCTGCTTGGTTGATGGTCTGTTTGTCGAGCCTGGTAGTTGGATTGCGAACAGGCCAACAACCAAGCAACTCATTTGAGCTACCTATATTCCTCAAAAATGCCAACCACGTAATCCGAATGGGTTCTCCGGTATTTCAGGTGCCGCAACCGTTTCGATTTTCCTCATGGCAATTGTCCTCCGATCGCTTGTCACCATGACCCATTCATCTATCCCAAATCTACTGGATTCAACAACCTACGGGATTCTGGAGGAGCACAAAGCACACATGTACGGTCGGTCCCGTGCGTTTGGATCAGCTGGCTATGTGGCTGCAGCGTTATCCACTGGTCTATACATCTCTTCTATATCAAATCAGTTCAGTCCTCCTAGCAATCAACCAAACCCAGGTTTTGCTTCTATCCAACATAGTGAGGAAAATACTGTCGACTACAAGCCGACCATTATTCTTGGGAGCATTTTCGCATTCCTTGGGGCAATCGTCGGCGGAATTCCTTCCTCCGGCATAAAACCCGTCACAATTAATCTGAGAAAAGCCATTTTAATTGGGATTCGGTCTCCAGCAATGATCAAATGTTCAATCAACTCCTTTCTCTCTGGTCTCGTTTACTCCTATTTATTTGAGTTCTACTTTTTCGTTCTTACCTCTGAATACAACGTTCCACCGTATTTTATCGGATTTCTTGTCTTGTCTGTAATGATAGGAGAAGTGCCGGCGTTTTTCGTTGCAGGTTCTCTAGTGAAACGCTTTGGAGAAACTGCTTGCATTGCAGCCGCCCATATTTTGTTCGGGTTACGTGTACTGTCATTTGGTGTATTTTCCAATTATTTGTGCTATATTGGTTCCGAGATTCTATTTACCACTGGATTCTCGCTTCTCTACACGGCCTTGATTATGCAGGCTGGATCTGCTGGACGCAATGCTGAAGCAGAGGCTGGTGATGTTGTCGCAAGTATGCATGCTCTGATGAACGCTATCCTCTTCAGTATAACCTCTTGTATAGGTGGACCTATATGGGGTGTGCTTTTGGATCGCTTTACCGGGAGGCAACTTTTTTATGCTGCCTCAGTGTCATCCTTTGTTCTTGCAGTCTTTACTCCCGTCATCGCCTACTTTATAGACCTCTGTTTTTGTGATTCGAAGGAGAAGGACATTTTAGTGGAACCGACAGATGTTGTGAAGATTGAAATAGATAAAAATGGATTCAACGGTACATCATTTACGTAACAAGAATTTTGTCGTTTTGTCTTGATAACTAGTTTTGTTGTTTAATTTGATAAACTTTTTGTATTGTGCGGCCGAGTGTGACCATTTCCATATCATGGGTAACTTGGACAAAGTGGAGAAAATTGTGCCATATACGCAGACACTGGGTGGTACCACCCGGGGTTTTTGGGGTCAAGGGTCAACCATTTTCAGCAGAAATGATCAACAGCTGTTCACAATGACAGAAAAAAAACAAATAAGTCTGGATCATTTATCTGTAACTTCATTTCATTGTTATACGGCTTTGTTTGATCTGGAACATGCCTGACCGGTCTAGCAGAGCAAGACGAGAATTTACTTGTGTTGTGCATGCAAGTTCAAGGGCCCCACAAGTCCCTATGGTTGCTGACCCAATGGTTGACTCGTGTTGTCCACTAATACACTAAATTTAGTGTACGAGATTAGAGTGGATGCAGATCAGGCATAAAACAATTCGCACATAGGTGATCCTTGTGGGAAATCCAAAGTGCACAACTTTGAATATTATGTACGTTATAGTGGTATCATGTTGTTTTATTTCTAGATTTTAGCGCACAAGGTTAAAGAGGTGTTAAAAGTCACTGTATAGATAGTTTACATCCCCAACACAATAGTGGCTTTGAAAATTCCTCGAATCCTGTTAGGCTGTGAATCTTGAAGTTCTAAACATAAGATGAACACCCTAGCGCTTAATTGTGAATGTTCTCAACCGGCAATTATATTTCCGCTAAAACCTGCACAGTTCGGACCACTGTAGTTAAACCCCTCCCTGGCTAAAATTTACTAGTGAATTTCTGCTCAAGTCTTGTCGACTCAAATCCTGCACACATACATAGTGCTGATACCAAATATAAAAACTAATGTCTATCCGTACTTGTTCGGGAACGACTTCCCATACTAATACTTATGTCATTTTACCTAGACTGGCTTCTAATTTCGGTGGTATGCGCCAGTTTTAATCCATTCTGTGAACGAAACCTAACCGGTTGTCTAACACCAGAAAAATATTCACTAAAGTGGATCCTAAATTTGATTTTTTTCGAATATAGATGAATCATTTGGAATATTAGTGCCAACATAAAACCATGCTGTCTAGGACAATGTTCAAAGGTTTGCTAACTCTTGCGCATCTCGACCAGTTACCGTGGGTTATGGAGTTCTCAAGAGTCCAATGAAGGAGAAGATGCCTACCAGTCAATTCGGTCTTATCAAGAACGATCAACAACTGTGCGTTGCTTCTCCGACTCATCGGCAGTAACCAACTCACTTCATTCTGAATCACCCTTCTGTGCAACGTTAAGAACTTGACTGAGTGCAGACTAAGAATTCTTCAAGTGTGCATGAAATTTAATTTATTATTCGGCGTTGTTAGCAAAGTTCGAAACCATGCTTGCATTACAGTTTGTGTGTATTTCAGTCTCCTACGTAGGGATTTGTTCTATTTGAAAATGATTCTTTCGGTAATCAACAAAATCAGACAACCTAATAGATCACGAATAGCTTCTTTGCTGAAAATTTCTATCTGTTTTGGATTCGAAATATTCACTCATTTTAAGCCTGTGGGAAATATAATATTCTCAAACTATGAATGCTATTAGCCATCAAATTTTCTATCGTTTGGTGTAATTTTATTAGGGCAGTTACTGAGCAATTTTTTACGTGGCTTTGAAATCAGACTGCGGTTTTTGTTTGCCTCGTGCGTGTGTTCTTTAATCGTCCTCAAGGTTCTCCTCTTGAGTACAGACTATCGCCTACGGCACAGCATTGAACATAGCTTTTCAGGATACTAAATTTAGTACATTGGTCAGTTGTCATACCGTCTTGCACCCAGAAGTAGAAGTATTGGCTTATAGAACACTCGGTAGAATGGAACTAGCGGAAACTTTTACGGCCTTGGTTTTTTCTCTTGTTTTGACTATCAGGAAAGTAAGTTACTCGATAACCTATAGTGTGCAATACAGAATAAATGAACATAGAAGATATAAGTTCATCTTGATTTTCAGATCGAAATCTTAGGTTTCAACCAGTTGTGTCGCTCTGAACAAAATGTACAGCCGCTGCAATACCATGGCCAGCGTCAAACTTGTTGATTAGTAACGTCTTGATTGACGGACGGACTGTTTTTTCATCTGATGTCTGGTAAGTTCTTCATGTTATCCCCAAAGTCCGGCAGTAAAAATAGCTTGGTATAACCTTGCATCTATATTTGAAGCCCGTTCAATTACGTTTGATCTTCGACTACATCAAATGGGCAGTTTGGTTTGGTAAGACTGGCTTGGGCCGACGTGGATTGACATGTATTAGTTTACAATAAGTTATAATCTCGGCTAGCTGACAGTCATTGCACTTTTCCTCAGTGATCATCTTGCTGCAAACGGTCATACCAGAAAATGAGTTAATTCTATTCCACAGGATTCCCACAACCGTAGAACACGACGCAAAAGCAAAATTTGGACACGTGGTCAATCAAATATTGAAATCAACGGAATCAACTGAGTTGATTTCACATCGTTGGTAGGTGCCACAGCTTGACTCGATGTGAAGCAACGCATGCGATGGGTCTCATTTTGATATTGCGACCCAGCTTTTTATCTCAAATTGGTACAACGGAGGCTTGAAGTTCGGGACCTGATGACGCGCTGGGTTGAGTTACGCGTTAAAATGGGTAATTGAGGGACAAAACAAGCGTTGTTTTTTTAACGGAGATATATTTTTTAGCGTGTCTCAGCACTTTGGGTACTTTTTTTTGAAAAAAAAAACAGCAAGTGACCACGCAACTGCACGCCACCTCGACAAGTAGCCACTGTTGCCTCTTGGAACGGTTTCGTCAAGCACATTACTGGGAAGACAATTCAGTCCGAGGAACCTGAATAACCATCATTTGTAATTACATGGAAGCATTTTTAGAATGACATTAGTTCATTCATCATTCGTGAGTTGTGTTCAAGAAAACCCGCTCAAAGTACCCCTAAATTGTTGGTCCACTGTTCACACTAGCTTCAAGAAACCCTTCTAAGAGGAGAAATGCTGGATGAAATTTTGCTTATTGAGAGCGCACTTGAAAGGACTTTGATGATCACAGATAATAGAACCACTTAAAGTGCTTCTGGTCTACGGCGATTTTTTACGTCAGAATGTAGTTCAGGTTTGGAGCGGAGTAGTGGTCACAGGTAACTGAAAAGTTGGAAAATGAAATCACAGGTTGGAACTCTTAGGTTTCAGCGGAAGTGTAGAACTCGGTTAGAGGAATAAATATTCCTCACGATTCTCATCGGCTAGAGGGATTAGGTATACTACCCAAAAATGAGTCCTATCTATTCATGTCAAAAATCGAAATAAATCAGTGACACAAGAGGGAAACCTTTTTTGTGCTGGTATCGTCCACAGGCAACCCCAGTCCAATTATCCTCAACAGGTAAGAACAGTATGCCAGCAAACAAAAAGAATTTTATCAGTAGTGTCTCAGTTGTCTGTTTTTTTTAATTTTATTGTTCCTTAGACAGTGCTCTTTGGGATTATCAGCTTTATACCTATACCGCTTTGCACCCCAGTAACTGATAAAATGTGAAATATTTTGTGCCACGGTTTTCTTTTGTACCTAATACAAATTACACTACCCCCACCCGATATGATCATTGCTTTGTAGTTCGTACTTTTGTGACTACTTTTTATCGATGAATACAACCATACGCAGTGCTCAGAAAACGTTTTTCAAGCTTGTGTGATACCACTGCGGTTGTCCCTTGACCTTGAAGAGGTCAACCACAGTGCACGTAAAAATTTACACTTGTTTGTGTGCAGCCAATTAGAAACCATTTATTGGAAATTGTAAACCACAGCCGATTGGTGCAGTGACCAAATTGAACAGTGTATGAGAAACCAGGTACTTACCAATCATAAAACATAACAGTACTTGGACATAAATGTCACATCACTATTTGTAGTGTGCATCTGTGTCTGCCACTTAAAGATTCCCACATGGCGAAACCGACACAACCTCACAGGCAAACACCGAGCGTGACCGAAACGGACCTACTAAGAACACTTGGTAAAGCCCATGGAAGCGCACCGAATATCAGTTTTGCTGCTCCGGCTGTGTCTATTCACCCCCATTCTCGAATGGATGATGATATTCAAAAATCACGACACTATATCCCATCAGACCAAAAATCGTTCAACATCAAGAGAACACACTCTTTCCAAACCATCAACCAGGGTATTTCCGGTGCCACATTGCCTTCCAAACCTTTGAGGCCAGTTGAATCAAGTTTCCAACCACCCACTTATGCGCGTGGGCGCCCAACTGAGTCACTGACAATTTATTATATGGGTAGGCCCATGTCTGCACGAGCATCAGTCGGTTACCCGCAAACAACCGCCAGTGAAATTGGATTCGTAACAGGAGATCCAGGTCCCTTAAGTCTGGTCGGACAACGCTGGTATCCACCGAAAGCAGATTCCCCTGAAGGACGACGAGCACCATACCCAATAAATGACTTTTATCCGAATTACCCAACATTTCAAAAGGAGCACAGGGAACCAAGAAAACACTGGGGTTTTAGCCAGTCGCCCACATATGAAGAGGAACTGTCCGTTCAAATCGACCACAGACCGACGGCTCTACATCGATCTGCATCAGCCAGAGTTCCGTATCCTCTTAGGATGTCACCAATGCATTCAAATTTGCAGCACTCAGAAAGAAGACTGGAAGATCAGGTTCCTTCAGCTAACGAACCACAATCAACATGGAATCACCCGAAATCCGTATCCGAAATTGGCTTCACTAATGGGACACAAACGCGACAGCAGGCAGGCACTCTTGCATTCGAGCGCAAGATGCCATCGGAATGTCCGACATTTTTGTCAGTATTGCCGGTACGATTCTATCCTTCGAATGCAAATCGAGCGGAGCTAATACTTCCTGCGCAAAAAACTAAGAGCAGTGATTCAGTAAATCAGACCTCAGACGTTAAGAGAGATGGTCTTGCAACCGAAGAAATTCAGAAGTTGAGAGAAAAGCAGACTCCGGTAAACCCTGAAAACCAGGAAAGTGAAAAATCTGGTAAACGTGAGGAATTTCCGTCAAATATAACTTTGAAGATAAATCCTACACAGCCGCTTCCAGCTAAGCCAAAAGAACAGTGTCACTTAGGAGAACTCAATGAAATAACACAGAAAAAAGATGACAAACAATCGAAGACAGCTGCTCCAGAATCCCTTCCAAACAAAAAGGTTGTAAAACAAGGTATCAGACGTGCACGGAGTTATTCATTAGACGACACCTCAGAGAAAAGCCCAACAAAACAGTCTTCCAAACCATTTAAATTAAGAGAACAGAAAACCGCCCATCTGCTTGCATCAAAGGAATCGGCATCTACTCGCCCGACTAGGATACCTAAACTCAGTATTCCCACAATTTCTGTAGCTCAACCCCCCGATCGTTCTCCAAAAAAAGAGCTAGAGCTGGCAGCAACCGTAGAGGAAGCATCGCCTTCTGCTGGTTATTCGTCCACTTCAGCTGCCCAACCGACTTTTGAGCAGTCACACACAAACCTACCTCACGGAATCTATACTGAACAGTCTGAGGAACCCTTTTCCAAAGAAGAACCAGATTTAAATAAGGCACAAGAAGGCTTCCTACCACATCCTGTCACTGTACCCGCTACAGAAGCGACATTTTCATCGCCTGCCCCCTTACAACCTCCGTTGAAATCTATTTTGAAGCGTTCTACCTCAGTCAGTCAGTTGAGCAGTCTAGTTTCTCCCCTGTCCATAACAAAACCAGCTTCGAAAACGTTTCCGGGAATAAAACGCACACAGTCAGCTAGAACGCTGGTAGAAAAAGACAATGTCCAACTAAAAAACCCTCCCAGTGAAAAACGAGTAGGTTTTGACATCCGCAGCAATTCCATTCTCGAATTTTATCCCTATGATTCCACAGATGAAAGTGGTTCTTTTGGCAGCGAAGAGTAGAGTGGAGCTAACGCTTTCAAGCTTTGTACAGTTGATGCATTTTGTTTTTTACTGTCCGAAGCGGGTTTTGTTGAAATTTTTGATTTTTTAAAAGTATAATATAATTGTGCGCCCTATCTGAAGACCCAGTACACTCCGAAAGTTACCGACTTTGATGCGGGGGAAAACCATGCTATATCAGAGTTTAGCGGTAAAGCGTCAAATTTGAGTTTTGAATTTGAATTTTGCAGCAGTAGTATGCACAGTAGTAGCACAGAAACAACTCGTTAATTCAACCATCTTGGTTTTTACTGGTTATGCAGTCCGCACAAGCCCCATTCAAGGTAAAACTTACAGGGGCGACGAAGATATTATAAGCGGTATGGCTACGTAATTATTTCAGGACTCCAGTGAAATTAAAGTTCTGCAAAAAAAGTGGCAATTAGTTAATTTTTTTCAAAGTTCGAAAGAAAATGACTCAGGTTGTTGGCAGTGTGATCAGATTTTGGAGTTTTGATTTGAGATCTCCACCTATAGGGTGAAATTAGTCTATGCTTAAAGACCGAGAAGTATTGTATAGCTGTTTTCTTCTCATTAGGAATCATCAACAATGCACATCTAATGGAACTCCGTGGAGTTTCCAACTCACTTCCTCCCCGCTGTTAGCTTAAACACAACCGCGCAGCCAAGGTCAGCTGTTCAGGAATGTGATTAACTCGCAGTTGGAGAGAACATAGTTACATCCATCTTTTGTGACGGAATTCAAATCAAATAGTCAAATATTGGCTGACTGTCCGAGTGGCGACTTTTTCGGATGAGATGTGCGAATTTTTCTTCCCTGTGGGTTACTTGTGCTATTCTGTAGGAAGAATGATTGGTCTACCAGTGAGCAGCTCATGAGGAGAATAATTCACAAGCTTTTTTTCATTTAAGCTTCCAACTGGGAAGCCTTCACTCGACGAAACCAGCCAACACGCAACCACGCAGCGTGGACTGTGTGATTGACTGATAGATGGCGCTACTTTATGTCACTGTGGGAGTTAAGCACACTGCTGATCAACCACCTGTGGCCGAACAGTTAGTTGTCCAAACTACTAGCCTTGAGGTCACAGGTTCGAGACTCCTTGGAGTTTTGTGGGATGTGCATAGCTGATGATTCCTGAGAAATCTGAGAAAGTTGAGCAGTATTCCCGACCTCTCAGTAGAGGCTGTCTTTACGTATGTGATGAAATTTCAGGTGAAAACCCCCAAATCGGCTTACATTACCAACTGGGTGAGATCGCCTGTCACGCCAACCGGTTTATGAAGCCTGGAGTTTCGTGAGATGCACACTACCATCGATTCTCAACAAGTACGAAACAATCGTACAGTGATTCTCGGACAAAATCTCCACTGTAATGGTCAATATTTTTGGACGCGTCGGTTTTTTCACAGGCTCTACAGTGGTTTATCGTTCAGTTAGATTGTCTGACACAAGCGTCTGGGATGCCGTCTAGTCGAACACGTTACTTTTGAACTTAACAGCTATGAACTGGTAAAGTCCAGTAGGATGACCTGTCAGAATTATCCCGGTAGTCCTTACAGCAAATAGGCAGTAACTTTGAGATGACATAGCCGTTACAGTTCCACCCAATCGGTAGACCATCTCGAATAAATCTACTGAAATGACTTTAAAATGAGTGAAATTCTTTCTTGGCGTTCGAACTGGCTGCTGTTGAAAAATAGGCGTAAACTGTAAACATAATTCTATCTCTCTTCCGTCCAAATTAGATTTAAAGAATTATATTGGTAGTAAAGGCCGCCATCCGGAACAGCGAAAATCCGAATACGTTGATAGATCCGGACAAAGTTTTAATGCTCAAGGACTTCATTACCCGGTGGTTAAAAAACGTTTTATTCGCATGCTACAGTAGCGCCAAAAGAAATTTCGTGGTCGTTTAGTTTGGCTTTTCCAGCAGTTTTAACTTTTGAATAATTTTGGCATAAATCAAGCGGCAACAAGTTTTCAACGTCTTTGTCTTTTGTGCAAGTCCTTTTGTTTGTGCTTTGTTTATTCAAAAGTGAAATATTTCTGAGGTGATACAATAAAGTGCAACGTTAATCCGCAAATGCTGATGGGTTCCTGCTGTTGAAAGAAAGCCAGTCAACACATCATGGTAGTTCGATCGATGCAGGCATTAGAGTTACCAATACGCAACTCATATAACAATGTGTGCAGCTTCCTAATGGGTTGAACTTTATGTGAAATAGCTGGCGTAAGCCTGAGCTATAAAACTGTTAGCTATTTGCTACGGGTTATTCAATTCAATCAATAAGCCATGATCGCTATACGCTGGTGAACCAAACTTTACACCTCTACACGTTGTTGGGCTCAAACGTGTAGTCAAGAGTAAAAATTATTGGAAGAACTTCATTAAAACTTTGCTTACGTTAAGATTATCAAAGCCTGGGGGAATATTAACACATTTTACCCGAAGAGAATAAATAGCTGAGTTCCCATGACAAGATTCAGTCCCTCGTTAGGTATATTGTTTAATCGATCAGTCACTGCAAAACACAGCAGAGCACGCATAGAACAGATCACAGTTACATCGAATAAAGTTGTTCTGGAGTGCAAGGAGAACACGATGATCAGAGTTCATGATTATGGGAAAATTAGTACCAGCTATATAGTGCCAGATGTACGATAATATTAGGGATGCTTTTACACACAAAAGTAAAGTGGGACATCAAAAAACCGAGAGATTTAGCTGGGCTTTAGGTGAGTCTCTCGAAAAACCCGATTAGCTTGCAAATGAGTGTATTTCGCTAAAATTTCGTGCATTTGGTTTCAAGTAAAACATAAGGTTGACGGAAACCCGGGGAATGCTTCGATGGACTGTCGATGGAGTTTCAGCAACCTTATGAGTAATGTATTACAAAAATATATAAAACAAAACAATTTCCCCAGCATGTATGTGAGAACTACTAAAAACGAATTGTCCTACCAAATCCAGATATCACCCGATTTGGCGATTATTTTCTTGGCATAAGCTAGGAACTTGCTACCAGTGATCACGTATTGTGCTATTGAGACGATCTGTTATGTGCTTTTTAATTTTTCTGAGTATCCGTAATTTTTTGCGCCCTGTGCATTTCTCTGACCGATTTTTGAGTAAACGTTGAATAAGAACATGTTGAATGTTGCGCACTTTCAGCGTAAAATTATTTTGAATATCACGTTAATCGAGTTGGCCACCAAACAGTTGATCTTTGTACCTCGTTGTTCACGGCTCAGGAAAAAGTACTACTAACTCAGATATCATTCGGCTTGTAAAACATTCTAGAAAACATTCCATTCAATACCGGTTGATATGTACGGAGATAAGCTTACTATAGAATAAAGTACAGTACCATGTAGCTGACTGCCCTGTCAAACGTTCTTAATGTATAACAGTTGAGTACCATCTGGCATTTTGTGCATTTATAGTTCGTCAAAGAAAAGTCTATCTGTGGAGCGTTTTTGGACGAAAAGTAGATATATTCTCACTCAAGATACTGTATGAAGAAGGGCTAATGCAACACTACTAGTCTGTCTCTCTAGTTTTGTTTTTGCTCACAAATCTCGGTTAAAATGTGATGCGGCTCTTGCATTTCTGGATTATGCAATAGTGATGTATACTCAAATCATTTGGCGAGATTTACACCTGCGCTGTTGAGCTGATGCTCTAACTACATGACCAATCTTAAAGAATTCCGCTCCGACAGCCTTATTCCCAAATCACCGTTCATTTCTAATTACTGGTTTCCGCTGCTTTTCGTCTCCTGAAACCAAATCTGAAGACAGTCGCTTGCGTAGGAAGTATTTTCAGGTGTCTTAAAATCCGACGAAGAGGGCAGGACTGATAAAACGACTTCAAGGTTGATCTGTACAGTTGAACACTAAAAAACCGCCATGGAAAACATATATGTCCTATTACTATAACGTTCAGATTGGAAAAATAGCATAAACCATCTTTTTGGAATCCGGGTTGATCACATGACTGACCCTAGAAGCGTTAGTTGTTGACCACGGCCAAGAACGTGAAAATTATGTTCCTACTTTCACTTCTCTTAGGGTCATCCAGCATGTGCGCGCATCGTGTTAAGCTTGCTTGGCGTATCGTATAATCACATCTGATGGAGATGGAATGTGAACAAGTGGAAAGTTCATATAATGAAAGTTCCATGTAGTGATGTTTTGTCTAAAAGTAGTGTTGTCGCGTCTCATAGTTGATTTCTACATTTCAAACTGTGTTCTCTCCGCCGGAACCATATTTGGCAAAAAAATACGTGTACCGAGTCCCCTTTTCTACTAATTTTACCTAAAAGTGAAGAAAGAATTATTTGACCTGATAGTGTACTCGTTTTTTGTAGAGATTTAGAAAGGCAATTGTGGTCGTAACATCCTCGTTGGCCGTATTTCCAGGACTAGGGAAACTTGTATCCGATATTGTCATGTTCAGTCAAGCATCAAACGCGATGATTGTACTTAGCGAGAACAATATTGGGATTTTTTCCAAAGTTAAGCTGAAATGATTAAGACACTCTTTTTATTTCAGCAATCTGTCGAAAACATAGTAGAACTTAGCTGCTATATTTTCTTGACGTAACCCGCAATGTCGAAACGCTTTGGATCGGAGGGGTTAGTCTTTCTATTTAGCGCACCGGCGCTCTTCGCGTTCGGGCCAAATCGTCCTAGTTCCCAATACCAGTTCAAAGTTTCCCTTCACTACTTTTTGTAATTTTGTTCATATTCACACCACTCTCGTTTGAACGTTTGTCCTCCTGTTTTGGTGTAAGTATTCTGGTGAGTCCACACCAAAGGAAAGCACTGGGCTCGAGCTTCGCTCTTATTAAATCTAATCAGCAATGCATATCCAATGGCCGTGCTGGGATTTCAACCCCGGACATCTTACATGCGAGTCGACCGTGTTACCATTACTCCACCAACGCACTTTGGATGCAACTGAATTTTCACGTCAGAACAGGTGAACGTGTTC